GTAGAGTTAAAATGGTTTGAATTATTTTTTCTGGTTAGCGTTTATTGGCAAGTTAGTTTTAGTTGGGATAGGGGCCCCAACCTCATGTCCAACCCTTCCTCGTTTATCCGGGCTTGGGACCGGGAATAGCTTCGAAGGGACTGCAGGTGGAGTTATGAGAATTGCGGAGGCTGACAGTAATGATCATCGGCAATCAGCTAGAAACATCATCCAGAATGCTCTCCTAGACATGTACCTCAGGGAAACCACACGTCCAGGAATAGAAGAACATGGTTTGTGCGCGTCACAGAACGCTTTCTACAGGCCAAAAAGAGGACCTGACTCAAGTAGAAGGTCTCCTTGAAGGATTCCAATCTTAGTTCTTACTTTTCATTGAGAAACAGATGCAATACCAAAGTTTGGAGAGTAAGGAGACCCTTTCACATGAAGCTAGTTGTTCAAATATAGGCAAACCCTAAGCATCTGTTGAGGTTCATGACAGAAAGAGAACCTACGAATCAGGGTTTGTGTTACCTCAAATGCCCGAATGAAAAATACTTCATTAACCTTGAAATGGCTGAGATATTCACCTCCAACTTCACTGATCAGTTAAACCAGGTATCCACAGAGTACTACGTAAACCCAGTGCCAGCTGATGGCTTAGCGAATATCCTCATCGCTCCTGACTTAGTACTAGGGAAACTAAATCCTTACACCCAGGAAAGTCACCAGGTTGTGACAATATTCGCCCCATAGTCTCAAAACAGTGTGCAGAAGCCCCTTGTTCACCGACATGCGACATGTTACGGCATTCACTGGAGTCATACCAACTCCTAGCTTAATGGAAACAACCTACTCTTATTCCAACCTTCAAACTAGGAGATAGGAAGGACCTCTCATGTTATGGACCTGTAATATACTACGAATATTATCAAAGTTAATGGAAAGGTTGGTGGACAAACAGATGAAGCAGTACATGGATAAGAATAAAATACTCCATGAAGCTCAACACGGGTTTCGGAAAGGCTGGCCGTATGCATCTAATCTTCTCATAGCATGGGACAGCTGGACATCCTGCTTGGACCGAAAAATACCGGTGCACATATATTATCTCTAAATCCAGACGGCTAATTGGGTTTATAAACAAGAACTTCTTGACAAGTGAGGCTAAGCTTACACTCTTCAAAATCTGTATAATGCCCTCACTTGAATATTGTTCACTTATCTTCTCGAACATGAATATCATGGACAAAATGCGAGTAGAAAATGTACAAAGAAGCTTCACCCGGCGACTGCTCGGATTGAGCCATAACCTCGATTACACAGAAAGATGCAGTCATCTTTCGCTAGAACCTCTATGGCGCCGTCGTCTGAAGAACAACCTAATGCTCCTCCATAAACTAATAAGTGGTCTTTCGTTCGTAAAATATCGCCCAAATAAGAACCACGACACTGCTTACAGACTTCGAAACAACGCATATACACTGTTAACGGCAAAACACAAAAAATCATTGCGTTGCAATTTCTTTGTAATACGATAGAGTTTACTGTGGAACAGGTTACCAATTACTATCCGTATCTGTGACACAATCACTAAGTTCAAGAAACTAGTCATGCTGTTGCTAGACTCTAAAGAGATATATCGACTATTCCCGGAACTCACACCAAGTCCCCAGGCAATCTTTTATGGTCCACCAAAGATTTAGAAAAACCTCAGAAATGAATTATAGACTATGAACATATTTTGTCCTCATTACCACCCATACATGTATCATGAAATGATAAACAAATCCCCCTGCTCCTACTAACAGTAATATGTTACGCCTTTGAGGTGTTACCCGTGACTTTTCTCTAAATTTAAATTCTAATCATTATTTTCATATCTTCAAAGCAGTTTTAGTTTTTATTTCTAGTAGATAGACAATTTGAAAAACCTGTAGATGCTGATCAACTACTGTCAATTACAAGGAACTCAAACACCGTGTATAATTGTGAGTATCTTCTTATTTAAGTATTAACAGTTTAACAAATTTTTATTTACCCAATTCATTAACATCCAAACACCTTGCCTGCTTACCAACTTATCGCTTTACTCATTAATTTTTAACATTATTTCAACTCTCTTTTTCTTTCTCCTCTTTCCAGCTCCCTGTCCTTCCTATTTCCAAACTACCTATTAACTGACACATCTTACAAATTATACCATTAGTTTACTTAAAATCAGTGTGATATGCTAAGTGGATATATTGTCTGGCAAAGTTGTCCGGATTGCTTGTAATATGGAGCTAGTAGAGAAAGCTTATTCCGATAAGGTGTACAAAAAAAAGAGAGCAGACAAGAGACAATTATTTGCAAATCAACCGCTAAACTTAAGAGAAATTAACATCACAAAAGGAGGGAGGGTGGTGTATCTGTCCAGCATTCATGATGGCGGGGCGATAACCTCAATCTACCCATGTCTCTGTGGAGAACACTTTGTTTGCTTACGGCTCCTTACGATATAGCAGGATGTAACAAATCAGTGATATTGAAGTTACTTTTCCTTGTTAACCTCGTCTACAACTCATGTCTGTAACCTTGTACTGGTCTTTACTTCCTACCGAGAAATCCTATTACAAGCTGGTCTGGACAACTATACTAAAAAAGATATCACTTATGACTTCTTGAGCTACAGAGATGAAGAGAAACAGGATAAATAAAATACCACAGTATCTCTATATTACTGTGTCTCATTATTATATTCTGTAAATCAACATTATTGATAACAACTTCGTTCTTCTGAATTTCCTCTATTCATTCGACTAACGTCCTATCATTTATCTCACGACTAAATTGTCTTCATTAACCTACATAAGCGCAGGTGTTCTGATATTAAAAATGTCTGAGTAAACATACATTTGTTTTATCCATGAGCGCATGTGCGAAGCCGTTGTTCGGCTTTGGACAAGAATATTTTCTGTTCCGCCGCTCGTCCCGTTTTCTTTATTCCTCTTTTTTCAGCACCTTATTCCAATCCTCATATATTAGTCTGGATATTTGCAGTAGACTTGGTTACCCTACCCAAGAACATCTGAAATCATTAGCTGATGACCAGACCTTTGTACATTTACCGCATCAATTCTTGTTATATGCAAACCAGTCTCTACCATGAATCGTTTCTCAGTCAATAAGATGATAGTCGTAAGGCAACCTTCGTAACTCGCGCCAATTATTCGGATTGTACATTCCATCTACAGGAATCCAATGATTATCGTGAAATGCTTCAGTAACTGTATACCGTTTTAAAAGAAATATGTTGTTAATCTTAACATTTTGATCTTGGTCTTGGCATGCCTCTTGTAATTGTAATTTGAAATTAATATTATTATTATTGATATTTCTTGACTTTGCTGAAGACTTCTACACAGTACCCCACGCACGTGTTATCACGGCGATTGCGGAAGTGGGCTTCACTGACCCACATCTATCTTGGCTCAGAAACTACCTTGTATTAAGTTCAATAGAGTGCACGTGAGTTGGTAGGTCTCAATATCGGGAGTTTCACATTGGACCATCCTAAGTCCTTTTCTCCTCCTGGAATTAGTTCACTATCTTTGAGACTAAGTCATCTCGGCAAAATTGATCTACTCAGACGATGCAAAGATCTGGACATCCATTAGAAACGAATAGGAAACGAATGAGCTGCCAAAAGACCTTACGTCCATTAGGAAATGGGCAATGAAAAACGACTTAAAACTAAACCAGCCGATATATCACGTCATGTATATTCTGCCCCATATGACACAAACGACCCTCGCCCTCAACCGACCATCCGCTACCTAAAACCTCCTCAGAGCACGATCTCCAGTTATTAACCACTGGGACCTCGACACCTGTTCGAAATATATGGGGTAGGGGGCACAGCCAAGACAAATGCAACTTCGCAATCCATGCACAGACAGCTTGGTGCTATCACCCAAAATTATTCTTATTCTCTACCAAAAAGAGACATAAATCTCTCGGATCGAGTGCAGAGACGAGCAACGGAATTGGTGATAGGGTTGAAGAACAAATCTTACGAAGATAGACTCTAGCACTTGGGATTATTCTCCCTGAGTTACAGGAGAATCAGAGATGATCTGATTATGGCATGCAACATAATAAGCATGCCAAACCATCCCAACGTGAGCATCTTACCGATGCATCACCACCATTCCCCTCGAGGTAATCCTCGAAAAATTGCTCATTAAGGAGCGAACACTCAGGTTCGTGCTCACTTTATCTCATCAGGAGTCGTTGCAACTCGGAATGCTCTCCCAGTCGAGGTGACCACAGCTCCCCAGTGAACAGCTTTAAGAAACGACTTGATAAACACGTACTCACGTTGGGATCATCATCTCCTTCTTGGAAAAGCTGTGCACGATGCATGTCTTGAGACCTGCTAGTTGTTATCATTGCCATCTCCTCCGATCACTCACTTAATCTTGTTCGCTTTATATCTCTGTTTCATCTCCTTTGCTTACAATTCGGTCCTCTCTCTCACAATCTTCGCCACTAATTATTAAAGTAAATTATCTATTTATTGCATAGTTCTGAAATCTCATTCAGATCGGCATCAGAGTTTTCTGCTGATTATTCTCCACAATGCTACTTACTGATCTCCGCTCTGGTAATATGATAGCTGCCCTGAAACAAACGTATTATTTCAAATCACTGGACGTACAAACTCACAGCTAACTGCCAACTGACTAGAATTAGACAGTTGAGTGTCTAGACCCCCATCCAATGGGCACTACCAAACACCTGAACCCGTAACGAAGGAACAAGAATCGAGCAAAAATCAATCAATTGTTCTATACGAGCTCGTGAAAAAGATACTGGATTTATTGGATAAACTTAGATTGCCAGGTTCCATTGTCTATTACCATAATTTGTAAGAAAACCAAAATGAGACAATTGAAGATTATTAGTCGAACATTGTGTTTATTTCGAAAGATATATATTGTCCCATTAAGGATAGCAAATTATATGTTTAGGCCAGTGTTTGCAACAACCAGTTTTCCCTAACACATAACCTTCAGGATTTACCATAAGTACGAAATCATGGCGGACATCTTGTTCATAAGCAATCTGGCTGTAAAAGCCGGGAAGGTACACTATTCTTATCTTTATTTCTCAAAAAGATGATTGAAGCCGGATTTTCACAAAGTATTCCATATGATAAGAAGGAATCATACGCTGACTTGGTAACTGAAGTGGATAAAAACGTCGAGAACTATATCTGTCAAGAAATCCTCGCATCATTCCCTACACACAAGTAAAAGTATTTATTTCATTCCGCCTTGTATTTAGAATTATTGCAGAGGAAGGATATTCCGGAAATGCTGAGCTCACTTGTTCGCCCACGTGGATAATCGACCCAATAGATGGAACCTCAAACTTCGTTAGCAGGTAATATCAACTTTGAGTAATTCCCAGGTTCCCTTTTGTTTGTGTTTCGATCGCTTACTATGTCGACAAAGAGGTTAGTCTCTATAATTAACTTTTCAAATGCATAGCCCGAGCTAGCTGTTGTTTATAATCCGATATTAAAATGGCTATTTCATGGGATTCGTAATCAAGGAGCATTTTTGAATGACAAGCAAATTCACACATCGAAACTTCAGGGTAAGGATTTATTCCAGCGGCAGTTATTAGTGATAGAAAGTGTGTTCCTATCGAGTGCGTGCAAACGTAGTTGTCGAATGATTATGAATGTGATCATGATCAGTTAGTAATTTTGTCGTTCGATATATATGAACCCTCATATAATTTGATAAAATCCAGTGAGAAATCGCTAGACTCAGAGAAAAGTGTCAAGAACTAGCACCCTTATGGATTTTGAGCGTGCTGAGATCATGTAAAATGTCCACTTTTCAGATTATACTGTTCACATGGTCTGTTGTGGAGTATTATTTTAAGATGATTGTAATTTTCATGGGTTTGTGTGTGAAAAACCATTAAAGCCCTTCAAGACTTGTTTAATAGTAACGGTATAGGAAGCAAGTAATGGACCTGAATCTGGCTCAAGACAAATGGTTTGTCTGGGAAACTTTTTTTTTTAACTCTACCACTATTATTATAATTATAATTATAATTATTATTATTATTTATGCGTCGCCTCAAACAATTGATATGTGTAAATTATCGGTGGCACGGCACCTTTTGGAGATTTTTGATAGGAATCTTTTTTTTCTTAGATCTATCTCAGGCTTTGGTTTTGACTGACTGGGGAGGTGATCGAAATCCGAATATTCTTGATATAAAGTCAAACAACATCCGTCAAATAATATCGAAAGCTCGTGGGTAAGTTATGTGTCTTTTAACGAGTCATATTAATATTTCATAATTTCAGTTTACTATAATGCTTTCGATAACTAGATTGTGTTAGGGTAAGGTTTTTGGAGTACCCTCATACCCCCTAATAACACACGAGATCGACTTGTCGATGATAAAAATTATAATCCACCCCTTAATAACTCTCTAGTCTCCATTACTAACCCTTCTCTCATGCTTTTATCACCTAGCGCCGTTAATACAGAGTACGCAAAATGTTGTTCCCACTCTCCTAAACTTCATGTTGAAGCTTTTAATATTCGAAACTTGTGCCAAACAAGACGACGGGCTTCCTTAACCAGGGCCCAACTAGATCATTTTGGGATCAGCCACCCTTGGAGTAGCTCAATAAAAGACTGGCTCTTTCCGGAGCACACGTTTAGATTCAGGCCATGCCCTTGGACGAGCACGTTTTATTTTGCTGCTTACTGGACATAAGAAAGACAGCAAATAAACTCTTTAAAGTTCTACTAAACGACAGAAAACCAAGAGTATATTTCAGGAATAACTAGTAAACCGGTTAGACAGCCATGTAAACGATGCCCACCTCGAGGCAGCTTGGAATGACATCCAAAAAGCTGTGGAAACAGCAGTCAGGCAAACCTGAGGGTTAGGAAACATCAGTGGATTTCATGAGCATCTAATGAAATAATGGATGCTTGGAAGCTGATATCTGATTCTGAACACAATAAGGAGCGCAATCAACTGAAACACAGGCTGATAAGAAGCCTGCACGATGATTGCAAACGGCGGTGGTTAGCGAAAGCAAAGGGAATGGAAAAGGCTGTGGCAGTAGATAACAGTTGACAATTATTGAGACTTATCAAGGAAACCGGTATTTGAAATGAGACTGTTAGTGAGAACATCTCGGAAACTGATGGGTCTATTATTCATTCTAAATCCAGGAGATTGATGGGTAGAACGTTTAAGGTAGTGGTTCAACTGACCTCTAGCCACACTTCGGTTACCCATGATCTTCAGTCCTCCAACTCTTCATGAGGTTGTAAAGGTTGCAGGCAATCTGGGGTGAGAGGGCAGTAGGATCTAATGGGCTAACTACTGAGATTTTTGATAATGATGGTCTGGTTTCGGCAGTTAGATTGACTGAGATCTTAGGTAGAATCTGGGAACTGGGCGTAACCTCATCCGACTGGTCTAAATCACTGATTGTCCCAATTGATACGAATAGAGGAAAGTCATCTTGTGTCAATTACAGAGGAATCAGTATGATCGATTTATTAACTAGCTTACGTACGAAGTTCTGCGTTGTATGTCTGTCTGACTCAATAACATTTCGGCGCGTGACCAGAGATAACCAAGTTAGTTACAGACATGGACGTCAGCAGATGCTAGAACATCGACACATTCAGATGTCCGACAATTGTTATATTACTTGGTCTAAAGGTGGCATTTGACTCTGATGATCGTGAGGTTCTGTGACAGTGTCTGTCATTGAAGGGTGCACCGAAAAGTAGAACAATCTTGTACGATTCGTTTATTCGTGCACCACTGCTCAAGTTAGAGCTAACGGCGACCTAACACCAAAACCGACCATTTCAAATGGTGTTCGTCAGTGTTACCCGCTTCGACACAATCACCACCGTAGTTTTCAGGGGTTGGTCCTCTACCAGGAGGCTGGTTTGTTGACCTGGAATATGCTGATGACAGTTCGATTTAGTGAAGACTGACAAGGTGCAGAGTCTTCTGACCACCTCAAGCAAAATTGCAAGAATTTCAGAATGCGACTCTCCCCTCGAAATGCAAAATGTTGCTTCCGAATTGGCTTACGTCGGCACTAAGTTCTACTTCTTGAATGATATCCTCGAACCCTTATGTCTCCGATCACTGCTAACACTTCTACTACCTCTACTACAATGTGATTCGAAGTGACAATTGCGTCTTTGTGCTAATGTGCTATGGCAACATGAACTGACGTACGTATGTACCCAGTTCTACGGTGTATTTGACTGACTGACTCAATTGGTAGTTATTTCCATTAGATATCCGAATTATCGTTTCGTATTGATACGATAGTTAGGAGTAAATTGGCTGACGAGATTGTAGAATTGAGACATTAGGAAACGTTAGGTAGTTAAATATTACGAGATGTAGCTTCAAGTAAATATACATAAACATTATATCAATCAGTGTAAGCAACAAGGGTATTTGGTAATATCCATTGGAAGTAGTCTAGCCACTCAGCTGCACTAACTCTAGTCAGCTGGCAGTTATTTGAGTGCATTTGTCTCAGGGCTGTAGGGTCTCTGGATACCAGCAGTTATCACATTACCAGACCGGGGACCAGTTCGTCGCAGCGTGGATAATAATAACGAGAAAATCCTAATGCTTATGAGAAGACAAGCGTTTGCTTAATTGGTAGTGCAAATAATGTAAGAGAAGAGGGAATAGAGGTGATAATAAGCGATATGAGATTGTGATAATAATGACAAACACGTTTCAGGAAATGCATCAGGCACACCTGATCCAGGTGAAAGATGGTAATTCTGTTTTGAGTACGTGTTTTTAACTCTCCTCTTGAAGTTATCGACTGAGATGGATGTGGTCACTTCAGTTGGGAGAGCATTCCCAGTGGGGCAAATGTTAGTGAAGAGAAGTGGGAGTGTACCTGGGTTTTCACTCTTAAATGTTAGGTTTTTCGTGGGTTACCTCAAGGGGCGTGGTGGTGATATCCTGGTTGGATGCTTGCGTTAGTATGACTTGTTGTGCTTAATATGTTGTAAACCATTTATAGATAATTTCTTGTTCTCCCATAACCCAATGAGAATAGTTCCATGTTTGTCCTCGTAAGACTTATCTCTAACCATATCTCACTTGTCCATCTGTACAATCGGTTAAAGAAATTTATGTTTCTTCTGAAAAGGCGGGAGTGACAACACTAAACTTCAAGGTGGGCTGTATGTGTGTTTTGAAGAGAGTTAAAAACAAATCTAGAATGATTGCACAGATTTGTCTTCATATAAAGTAAAGAGTTGAGTTTGTTTTGGCTGCACCCTTTATGTAGCTTAAGCCAATGTCTAGGCTCTCTGTGGTTACTGGACCGAGATCGCGCTCTGAGGAGACATTTGGGAGCGGGATTTCACGTGGGACAGAGTGCTCATGACTTGAAGTTTCTACTGATTGAGTCTGCTGCTCATTTCATTATCTTTTTAAGATCATTTTAAAGCTCAAATGGAACCTTTTCGCTTCGTTGCAAAGTCTTTTATACCTACATTTTATACTATTAGCTTATTCTGAATGTGGAGTCACAAACAAAGGTCTTTTGCATTTTGCTTTTCTTATGTAACATGAGATTAGGGAATTTTACTAAGGTCATTGTAAGTCTTCATGTTTTTCTGCTTACAACTACGGTATATGTAAGAACGATATTTAACCTTCAAGTCTTCCCAATTGTCAGACACTGCGTTCTAATCAAATCAACAATCAGTTTCAATTCAGCGAAACCATGAACATAGTTAATTTAGTTTCTGGAGAAACTTTTGATAGATGTTTTCACCAACTAGAGATCATACCTATCGACATTGTGAGGAAATACTTTGAAACTTGAAACATATTATTCCATTGATTCAAGAATGTACTTCATTCTTCTGCGGAACAAACAGTAGATACTTAGATTACATTCAAGAAAATTATGGCTTAAGAATCATCATACTGCAAGGTAAACTGTTCACATTGCTATCTTTTTGACATTCAACTTGAAATAATAACTACTATCTAAAGCAATGAATATTTATGACGTGCCACATCGCTTTAGGCAATATTTTCAGAAAACATGGTGTATGGTTAAACAAATTCAACGTAATACCTAGTTCAGACTAAACATACCCGGATTTTGTGATATCATGTATTCTAATTTCGTGCAAACTAAATAATTAGTACATTAAGTTTTGGTCAATATAGAGTTTAGTTTGAAGGTCGATTTAATTTAATATTTTTTATATTTCAGTTGTTATACTAGCAACGCGCGTAATTCTTTCTTTTTGTTCTTAAAATAAAATTTGTTTAGTTTGTACTATGGAATTTTTATTAACCCTGTGTACATGAAATGTCTGTTTATTGTATAATCAATTCCAAAAACTTTGTAAAACCGTAACCTAATCAATTTTCTGTTGAACAAAGTAACTAATTAGTCAGAGTTCAACAAAATATGGATGTCGTTGACGACAAGCATTCTACGTAATGCTAAATTAATTTGAAATCACCTAGTCAACCCTTCATGATTACACTTAAAAACCGTTGTTAGTTATTTGTTTGCATTTGGAGATGATTTGGCTGGCAAAAATATGTGAAACATTAAGTAAAATAAGTGGTATTCTGATATCAATAATGAACATTTTAAGGCTAATACTATGTAATTATGATTCTGCTTCATATTATGCATCGTCTCATCCGATCTCATAACCTTTTATAATTGTTGTCAGGTTTCCAAATACATTAATAAATATGCTAAAATGTAACAAAAATATCAACCTGGGACTTTTTTTTCTAAAACTGAGTGGTCAAAGGTTTATAATTACGACAGTCTGCTGTGATTCACCCCCTATTCTGTGTTATGCGATTTCATTTTCAAAGGGCACGTAGCGTCGGGCATGAGAACAGCCTTTTGATTTTGCTCGTAATTTCAATACACTTGTAATAACGATTCTTCCAGATTTGTGGATTTATTGGAATTGAAGTGGTTTGAGTTATCTCCCTGTTTTTTAACATTTCGCTATATTGTCACCCAAACCACTGAATAATCAGAAAAACAATTCATTACTGGTTTGAGCGTCAGTTTTTATTCCTTGTTAATCTGTTTATCGTATAGTCAGAACATCTATTCAGAGTTGCATTGATTTTAGAGTTACTCTCAAAATATTGTTTCTTGTAAGAGTGCTCTTCAAAATAGTGTAAATATCTTGAGCACCTGTTAATGATCGTTGTACTATATCGCCCCCTCGAAATGCACAATGTTGCTTCAAGATTGAGTTGCTTCGGAACCAGAACTAGTGAAGTAGTCGAGCGTGTTGACCTCTTCACTTATCTTGGGAGTCTCATCAGTGCTGATGGCCTGGTGACTGACGAAATCTCAGCTCGGATACAGAGGTCTCGATTGGCTTTTGCCAACCTGCGTCAACTATGGCGTAGGCGAGATATGCGCTTGCTAACCAGAGGACGAGTGTACTGTGCAGTAGTTCGCTCCGTCTTACTTTATGGCTGTGAAACATGACCAGTGAGAGTAGAAGATATTCGTAGGTTACTGGTTTTCGATCATAGGTGTCTTCAAAGCATTGCTCGTATATCGTGGGACAGCCGAGTAAGCAATGCTGTTGTTAGGAAACATGTATACTAGGTAAGGATGGCAGGTCAATAGATGAAGTAGTGAAGCTTGATCAGTTGAGGTGGTTGGGACATGTGTTGCGTATGCCTAACCACCGACTGCTTCGTCGAGCTTGGAAGAAAGTTAGGGGTGGCCAAACCAAAACATGGCAGAAATCCATGAAGTCACTGACAAGTGGACTGAGTCATGTTGGTAGATGTAGGCTACTTGGTTGGGGTGCGCGAGATGGTAATCGATGGTTAGAGACCATGAATGACATGGCTCAAAACCATTTGCAATGGCGTAGGTGCATTCATTCTTTGTGTTCTATGAAATTCTAACCTTCTGAATTGCTCATAACCTTTATCTTTCTCTTTCTAAATTTACCTCACTGAATTATACTTCTTGAATATCATCTTCAAGCCCTAATCTCTCCGATTACTTCTAATAATTTTACTGCTATATTTTCACTACTATGGGATTTGAATTGACATCATATCTCTGTGCTAATGTGGTATGGCAACTTGAACTGCTGTACTTACGTGCAAAGTTCTACATTGCTGTTGCTGTTACTATATCACAGAATTCTAAAGTTTAGATCGTATTATTAACCTCAACACAAGAATCCAGTCCTGGATCATGTTTTTGCACTGCAAGAAGTGTTCAGTTCGAAAGGCAATCCTTGTCTAATACTTTCTAGCCTTCTGACTAAATTTTTGGCAACAATTTTCAAAAGCCGGTTGTGACCTACTTGTGTTTAATTCTGTAAAAATGTAGTATGATAAAATTACGTAGTAGTTTTAAAATCCATCACTTACCTGATATTAGGTTGTTTCTATAACCTCTTGTAAAAAGTTGTTCGTAGCATAGATGCTAAAACCTATTTGAATCATGGAAGTAGGGATTCCAGTAATAAATTATGGGGCTTTCAACATCACATTGAAACAGTTTCTGAGTTTTTTATGTACTGGTTTACTTATATCAGTATTAACTGCTAGTAATGCACTTGAACCGTGTAATGTAGATTATTTAACAGTTGCAAAATTCTAAAAGTTATTGTTGACCACCATTAGAAACTTGGAAGCACTGGACGACCGTTTCTTCATGCTATGGGACTCATCATCAGTGCGCATTCACGATTCCTGCACCTCGCAGGATTCGAACCCATGACTGGTCTTGCTCGCGACTGATTATTTCAATGTGCAAAAACCACTAATCTCCATAACTCTAATTGAAAAATCTAGAAGTTATGTCTAGTTATGTCATTCAGTTTATTTTTTTCGCAAGTGAACGTTGCTCAAATTAGCACATCTTTTTTGTTGATACTTTAAACGTAAAATTATTGTTTAAAGGTTACTTATCTAGGTAATTCCTTTTTTACAACTTAGGGTGCGTACCATGGGCTCAGCAGCCTTGCATATGTGCCAGATTGCTGCAGGTAACGGTGATATATTTTTCGAATTCGGAATTCATTGTTGGGATTATGCCGCAGCTGTATTGATAGTTCGTGAAGCAGGAGGGTTTTGTTGTAATTTTGACGGTATGTTTTGTGGTTTGAAGTTTTCTGTTTTTTTCGTCAATGGATTAAATTTTAATATTTCTATTTTGCTGAAAAATAAGCTGTCAGAATACGTTAACCAACTGCTGTATATTTAGGCTAATATCTTCCTTTAATGTTTGTATTCATTTAGTGAGAATAAAGACTAAGGATTACAATTCCAATTCTTATTCCGTCGATTTTAAGTTACAGACCGTGATTTATGAGTGTGGATCTACTTATTATCGTCTCATGACTGATTTACTTTTGAAAATGTTTATTTTTGATGATTAAATTGCAATTTTGTACATATTTCAATTTTAACCATTACGTTCATGTTATCCAACTGTTTGCATTGGGGCTCGCGTCATTGAATAAAATGAAAATTCTGAGTGAATTATATCCATTTAGTTTGTGTTTTCGACATGCTGCTATCTGTATGTCCTAATTAGGAAATAGTGTTTTTTTACATTAGCGAAAGAAAATCGTAGGATTTATGTTTCTTCCTGAGTTTAAACTTTTATGTATATTTCACATGCATATTTAAGTATAATTCGTAATAGTGATCACAGTTTAAATCTATGGTGTCTACTTTTATTCCTCTAATTTTTATTCATGAATACTCAGGCTGTTATATCTTTCTATTTGTAAACGAAAGTGAAATTTCACACGAATTTTCTACTCCTGCCAAATTTTTCTCACTTCCTCATATTGTGATCATGTTCTGCCTCGAAATTCAAACAAAGGTAAGGTAAATGAAGGAATTATGAACATAATGTGTTCATTGTGTATATCTTACTTAATCATGGTAGGAAATATATTAAGTGAACAATACTTTTAGTTTAAGATTTGTTAATGAATAAACAATGATGAAAGCTTCTGACAACCGCAGCAATAGTCTTCATTTTGAGCTAGTTAACGTTTTATTATCACGTCTGTTGGGGTTGTTAGATCCCCAGAACTCACTTGATAAATGTCTTTATTTTAGATTTATTTCATGAGCTCCCGTACAGTTCCATCATCTACCGTACTGTGGAAGCGCCAGCACTATCCAATACTTAGCAATCTAATGTATTTTAAATGCTAAATTATAAGTAACCACTTTTTATTTCAATCATATAAAATAAAGTCATGCGTAAAATTACGATTTTCCAGAATGATGATCGACCGTTCACTTCTAGATTCATTTTTCAGGTTAAAAACACGGAAAATCGGGAAAGAACTAGTGTCTATAAGGTTCATCTTGATTTTTAGCTTTAGTACTTATAGTTTAACTGAAAGACTCCCTATATAACGAATACGACAGTCGAAGGTAAATCGACGAAAGTGATCTTATTATCTGGTGTATGCAAATTTACAAGAAAGAATTGCTACGGTCTAAATACAACTACTCGTAAATCAAAAAATTGAACGAATTGCGATAATCAAGGTGCTTACCGATTTGGTAAACGGAACTTGATCATATGATTGATTGGTGATGCAGTGTGAAAAGCCAGGAAATAACATCGACCTCATACCCGTTAAAGCACACTAGGCCAAATCGGACATAATCAAATGGCTCCCACGCCTCTTAATAACTCTCTCATCTCCACAACCAACCCCTCTTTCGTTCCTTTGTCACCTCGTGCCGCTGAAGCAAACGTTACGAGCGCACGAAACATTACTTCTGTTCTCCTGAAACCGCGCTCTAAACTATATATTGGAGCTTTTAATGTTCGAAGTTTGTGTCAAATTGAGCAACGGGCTTCATTAGCTCGAACTCTGGAATCCCATGCCATCAATATGTATTGCGTCTCCGAAATGCGCATATAATATCCTAGTGAAACCATCAATTTGATTGCACCTTGTCCAGATACAAAGTCAACTCAGTTTATGCTTCGTGTATCTGGAAGCCCTGCTGCTGCTTCCCGTGGCCTTACTGGTATAAGTATAGTATTTAGTCCTAGGACAGAACGAGCTCTTTTAGACTGGATCCTGATAGACAGTCGCTTATGCGCTGTCGGACTAAATGGGACAGTGAAGACTCGGCAAGATAGGGAAACTTACCGTTGTCTCTTCGTCGTGTCTGCCTACGCTCCCGCTGACAGCAGCTCATACGAGATGAAAAATGAATTTTGCGGAAACCATTCTAACCTTCAAAATGTTAAGCGCTCTGATACAGTAATAATAGCTCAAGTAGGTAGACTAGGTATAAAGAACGGATACCTAGGTGGATCGAATAGTGTCGTGGCTCAAAGACCATATAAGGGCCTATTTCTAGAAAACAATAGTTTTAAGCATAAAGAAATATACCTTTTCACCTGGCGGCCCCAGAGCCGACCCGGCGACGGGTCCAACTAGACCACATTGTTATCAGCCATCAGTGGAGATGCTCCGCTGAAGACTGCCGCTCATTCTGAAGCACTTGTTTGGATTCAGATCATGTTCTAGAGCGAGCGCGTATTTGTTTGAGGCTGACTGGACGTAGGAAAGACACTTCAAGGAAACCTCTTAGGGTTCCACATAATGATAGCATTACAAATAACATATTTCAGGAGCAACTAGAAAGACAAGCAGCAGTGTGAGTGATGCCCATTGTGAGGTTGCTTGGAATGATATCCAAAACGGCTGTGGAAACAGCAGTGATATGTGCTACTAAGGTAGACTACAAGGATAGGGAGAACCCGCAGATCTCAGTGTCATCCTACGCACAGATAGACGCTAGTGTACTCATCCCACTTACCTCTGAACATGACGAAGAGCGAAGTCGGCTCAGGTTCAGGCTGATAAAAAGCCTACGCAATAATCACGAACAGTGGTGGGTGACGAAGACAAAAGCGATGTGAAAGGCAGTGGCGATATGTAACAGCAGACAACTGTTCCGCTTGATCAAAGAAACCGGTTATATTAATCTGACTGTTTGTGAGACTATCTCAGAAAAGGATGGGCTTATTATTCATTCTCAATCCAGGAGATTGGATCAATGAGCTGAGCGATTCAGAGATCTGTTCAACTGGCCTTCAGCCACATTCTCGTTGTCAACAATCTCCAGTCATCCTGAGTGGTGAATCAATGCAAATCCTTCGAATCTAATTGAAGTTGAAAAAGCTATAGGAAATCTAAAGCGAAAGAGAGCAGCGAATCCTGACAAGCTAACTCCTGAGATTCTTGAGGACGGTGGTCCAGTTTTAGCAGTTACATTGACTGAGATCTTGGGTAGAATTTGGTAACTGGGCATAACCTCATCTGAATGATCTCAATCCCAGATTGTTGCAATTTGTAAGAAAGGACAAAAGTCGTCTTGTGACAATCACACAATTATCAGTTTAACTAATATATTATCTAAAATATTGACCTCAATAGTACTCGGACGTCTTACTAGAGCTAGTGAAGAGCAGACTATAGAAAACTACTCCGGTTTTCGACCTGGACGTGGATGTTCAGACCAGTTATTCATACTTCGTCATAGACATTCGTTCCGACGCTCCACAATAGTATTATTCCTCGACCTGAAGGCGATATTTGATGCTTTCGATCGTGAGGTGCTTTGGCAGTGTCTCATTGGAAGGTGTTCCAGAGAAGTACGTTAATCTTACACGGGCTTCCTACTCGCACACTATTGATCGAGTGAGAGCTTTTGGCGAACTGTCATCGTAATATATTATTCCAAGTTGTGTCCATCAGGGTTGTCCATTTTCTCCATTCTTGTTCAACTTTTTCGTAGATATGTTTTTAGAGTTAACAGTCTCACTGCAGGGGTGGACCTTCTGCAAGGAGATTCGCTTGTTGATTTAGAGTATGCCGATGACATAGTTCTACTTGGTGAAGACGCTGATAAAATGCAGTCTTCTGACTACCCTAAGCAACAATGCAAGCATGTTTGGAATGCAAAATGTTGCTTCAAGAATGGTTTGCATCGGCACCTGAACTAGTGATAGGGAGTGAAGTAGTCGAACGTGTCGACCGCTTCAATCAACTTGAAAGTCTCATCAGTGCTGATGGCCTGGAATGTGGTGGAGTCTCGGCACATATACAGAAAGCTGGAGTGGCTTTCGCTGACTTTGGTCGCTTATGGCATAGGCGAAATATCCATCTGCTAATTAAAGGACGAGTTTACTGCGCAACAGTTCACTACATCCTACTAATCGGTTCTGAAACGGTCAGTAAGAATAGAGGAAATTCGTATTTTGCTGGTATTCGGTCGTCGTTGTCTTCAAAGCATTGCTCGTTTATCCTGGGACAACCGAGTAAACAATGCTATCGTTAGGAAACGGGTCCTGGGTAAGGATGGCAGATCAATTGATGAAGTGATGAAACTTCATCACTTGATGTGGTTGGGACGTGTTTTACGTACGTCTAACAACTGAATGCCTCGTCGAGCTATGTTCTGTGATGTAGGATTAGGTGGGAAGAAAGCTAGGGGCGGCCAAACCAGAACATGGCAGAAATCCATGAAGTCACTGACAAGTGAACTGAGTCATCTCGGTAGATGTCGACTACCTGGTTGTGGTCCGCGAGATGATAATAATCGATGGTAAGAGACCTTGAATAACATGGCTCGAAACCGTTTGCAACGGCGCAGTTGCATCGATTCTTTGTGTTGTCTCAAATGCTAATCTTGTCAATGCCTCATGGAAGTTTTTTCATTTTTAAACCGATTCCTCTCTGGTATACATCTCAAATGATATATTCGATCATTAATGTTTTTGATTACTGCTGATACTTGTACTGGCTCTACCACTATGAGATTTGAAATGACAATTGTGTATCTGTGCTAATATGGTATGGCAATCTAAACTGATGTAGGTACGTAAGTACGAAGTTCTACGTCGCAACCTACTGTCTCGAATTAGTAGCAAAAACATTGTGGTGATACATTTTATCATTAAATACTTACTGAAGATTTCTTTGCATATTTTCATGATAGAATTGAATTTATTTTATGTATTCTTCGTTAATTTTCATAGGATTATCAAACTCATATTGACCAATATATATTTGTTTATAATCTTCTTGTATGTATACTTTTTTTGTTTAACATGTTTAGTGAAAATACAACTTCCGTCGATTTCATGTTATCATGTCCTTTTAGTGTTGCGGAGTCTTATCTGGAATTTCGTTTATGAATACAGCCATTTTTTTTATCTCAGTTCTGATTATGATAAATTCAACATCAGTTTGGATAACTTAAATCTATGCCAGCAGGCAATACTGACCTGCATTTTATACTATCCACTTAGAAAAAAAGTTTTTAACAGCAATATGTGCTAACACTTATCCCTCTCCTTATAACGTGTGTCAATTACATTTGTAAACCAAGCAAATGAACTAAATAACAATAATAATATTTTATCAAATATTTTCTTTCTGACTTTTGTTTAGGTAAACCTGTAGATTTAATGGCGAGAAATGTAATATGTGCAGGAACTCCAGAACTAGCTAACGCTCTTATTCCTCTTATTCAACCTGTTGATTATGCGAGAGACTGACAGAAGAAGCAGAATCAAATAAATATACCTATTGAGAAAAAGGAAACACAGAGAACCGAAATTCCAAATTATCCATTTTTATTCTTGATCCTTTAAATCTAAATAGTCCTCTTTCAATGTGTTTTAATACTTTCAAAATGATGCAATGAAATTTTAACATATGGCCATAGAAATGTTGTGATTCCTTGTCTACTTGTTCAATGCAGCATTTACATTGTGTGTATGCTTATTTATCTATCGAGAAATATGATGTGCATAGATGAAAAAACTTAAAGATCTGTTATATTATAATAACTAGTGGTATTTAGTTTTGAATGTATTTCAATTTTCCTACTTTAATCGAATTCTTTTCTTATGGTTCCTAAGTTAGTTGCTATTTTCCTATGGACATGCAATGTTTTTGCTCTTGTTGAACTTTTTTCTAAAGAACTGTAGTACAAGACAATCACCATTATGGATAACAAACTTTAGTAACATTTTTGCTTGTTACTTGTGTTTGACTGTTTAAACAAATTTGGATAAATCATGAGACAGTTAAGTCTGCTTTTCAGATACGTAAAATAAATCAGGGATATATTTATAAATACCTTGTTCAACACTTCACTTTAAGAATCCAAATAACTTGATAGCAATAATTTTTTAATTTTCCAACAGTTTTCTAGAGAAACTGTAACATAGTCCTTAGTGAGTTATGATTAATAAACCCTTCACAAACTGCTTTAAATTTGCTATTTATGTATATATTTGCATTTCCGTTCACGTAAGTGTGAAGTAAAGGTAGTACTATGTCTAGTTATTTTCCATAACAGCCTAATACTTATTACTTTTTTCACCGATACTTCCAAACTTTAAGAGTGGAAACTTTCGAACTGAAACCTAAATTATTCCTGCTAGTTGTTTTTGAAGCAATCAATAACACTTAAAATCGATACACTTGACCAACTCACAACTATTGAATAGCAAGCTTGCATACTTGTGCTACTTTAACAATTTAACGAGTTTAGTAAGAAACCTTAAATTTCGGTTGAACAGAAATTTGTTTTCGAGGTACTTGAAAGCTCTTTACAAAAAAGTGAGTGAACAAAACATTATCGTTGCATTAAATTAAGCAGTAGAGTCACAGCGAACCACAGAAACCCATCATCTTTCTCTAAATGCTCATCTATAGAATTTCACGGGCGGAATTTTCTTAATGATTTAAATCTAATAACCGTTCTCCAACTTGTCCGTACATGTGAAATGTTTTGTGGTTCATTTAAGTCGCACCTGCATAAACAAAGCATTGTCCAGGGTCAAATCATTTCTAACTTGTTCTCTAGTTTTCTTGGGGAGCTACTATGATCCTAAATATTTCGTCCTCCTGAGTGTAAAATGTCTGTTCGACTCACTCTTAGAAATATCATGTTTATAAAAAACCCACTCTGTAGTCTCCGGTACTTAGCAAAACCTTGCTTGTAACAGATAGGAATGGTTGTTTGTTCACCGAATTAGTTGATTCATATGCTGTGTCAATGTTGCCTGCCTGGAAGATGTATACTATTTGTGGTAGAGAGTTCTTGACTGTTGGAATTAACGGTATCTATTGCTGTTTATCTCAGAACTCGGTTTTGTACTTTTGCGTTCATGAGTCAGTCAGTTAATACGGTGAAGCAAACAAGTTCACCATCATACTACTCATTCCAAACGTTCAAGTAATTTGCTTTTCTCAAGTGAAAACAGTTTGAAATGATAGGTCGTTTATGATAACATAAATTTTACTTTAAAAGTGATATTTAGTAATTACTAAATCATTTCCCGTAATTGATTCTACTTATTTTAAATTGTCCATACCGCAGATCACACATTTTTGTATTTTTAATGACTGATTTAATAACTTGATAAATAACAAACTACTGGCGTACTACAACTACAGCATTTTATAAATAAAGAGGTGAATATGTGAGCAGACTATTGATATCAGCATTTACCAAAATAAATTTTAATTTAATCAACTATCATTAGCTTGGGTACTTTTTAACGTTAAGTGGATGTATCCTATAAGTACGAACCCACTTCATATGTCTTACGAATGTTCCCCAAACTGTTTGTGCACCAAGGCTATTCGGATCACTTAAAGAGGGTTTTAAAACAATTTCAGCACATCTTGATAATGAGAACTTGTTCAAATTGAATACGTGGTCTTAGTTGATCATTCTTATAAGTAAAAAACTAAATAATCTTAAGGAGTGACAATAAACGGTTTGTATGTAGTATATCTTTTATTGTATTCGAACTTGATCTCCTATTACGTGATATAAAAGTTGAAGCAAGAGCTAACTCGGATAATTTCATAGCGCTGTTTACTGGTAAATGGTATCTACATTTTTCCTCGGTGATATGATACGTATTTTCTACCTTTTTAAAAAGCATGTTGATGTGAAGAACTTATTTTAGAGGTCAGATGCTTTCTCAATTTCAAGCAACATCAATCGCAAGTCTGCAGATGCTGCGATGATTTCTAATGAACGGTCATCCTGCATTATGTCGACATTCCATGTGCCCTTACAGTTTCACTGATTGTCACGCATCGGCCTTTAATTGCTGAGAGAATTCGGCTTTTACTAGATGTTATAACTTTTTAAAATGAAGACTCTTCAAATCAGTGTCATAATTTATTTTAACATTTAATATTATTTGTAAAAAGCAAGTGGTTCACTGATTAACTAATTTCCAAAAAGCATTGTGATTTCTTATAAAGGTTATCAGTTTCACCAGAAAGAATCTGGTCGATAAATCTTGTCTGTATCTTAATGAATATAGTGTGTAATTGATACGTAAATTTGACAACGAATCTCGTCAATGATTAAGGTGAGTGCACATATTACGACCATGATATATCATGAATATGATTAAGAATTGTTGGTGATTGGTCGTAAATTGTAAAGAATTAAATATACGTATTTTGACTACGGTGGGATAATTGCCTAGAACAACTGAAAATTTTAACTAGTATTTTATAAAACGTCAAAAATACAAAATAAGCATTATTCTTCTCTAGTAATTAATCACCTGTACTATTATTATTGAAACAAAACTAGGTAGAGCAAATATATTTGTTTAGTAACATGCTGAAATAAAGTAAGTGAAACGAGAAGACAATCAAAAAAGTTCGATTAACAAAGACAAAGCTTAAAGAATAAAATGGTGAATGTACATGAACAACTGTACACACTGTTCGTATGATTACAATACTTGTGTCGTAGAACTCTGGCTAATGTACACAACAGCACCAACTACATTTATAAAACAAGCTAGTATGAATACAGGAAACCACCGTCCACCAGATGTGATAACTAATTCGGCAGTTAGTGGACCACATACTATTCCAGGTATAGTAGCCTATATAAAGTAGGGAATGAAATGAACATTAAAGCAAAACAGGAATTAGTTACTTCAATTACTACTCCAATCCATCATCCAGTACTGTATTTAAATTAGAATCGTCTTGTCTAGACTTTCGACTATTGTTCCGAGGGAACATACAGCAGGCCTCAACTGATCACTGTTCCCCTCAGTCATCCATCATTTGCAGCGATGCCACCTTCTCACCAAATCGGACAAAAGCAAATCTTTTCTACATCTCTTAACCACTCTCTCATCGCCACAATCAACCCTTCTTTCATTCCTTTATCACCACTCACCGCTGAAGCAAACGTTACGAGATCACGGAACGTTATTTCCGGTTTCCTGAAACCCCGTTCTAAACTACATATTAGAGCTTTAATGTTCGAACCTTGTGTGTACATAAAGGACCGAGTCAGTTTACGCTCTGTGCTTCTGGAAGCTCTGCTGCTGCTTCCCGTGGCCTCACTGGTATAGATATAGCATTGAATTCACAGCAGAACTAGATCTCATAGACTGGATTCCTGTAGACAGTCGCTTGTGCGCTGTCCGACTAAATGGGACAGTACGGACTCATAAGGGTAGGGAAACTTGCCGTTGTCTCTTCGTCATATCTGCCTACGCTCCCACTGACTGCGGCTTAGACGACGTGAAAAATGAGTTTTACAGAAAGCTTTCGGATCGACTGCATAAGGATTATTTATATCCCAACACTAATTCAGTTTACATCATAAGGGATTCGATATTAACTGATGCTCAGGGTGCAATACTACAAACACTGACTAAATTGTTCACTAATTATGCGACAAACAACAACTTGAAATTTCATGAATTCTTAAAAAAAAAATAACACCAAGATTTTACTACGTAGGTGGGCTTGATATTATTTCTAAAAACACTTACGTAAAATTTTGAGAATTTTGAATATATTTTGTTTGAAAAATAGTGTGATTCATGAGATTAATATGTCAGAATAAACAAACGTAGAGATATTTAATCGACTTCATGCATACAGTTGTTAACAGAATTAATTATTTATGAAAGAACCACCAACACGTCAAAGTCAAACTTAAGAAATAAAATATGCGTAAAAAAGGTAGAAACTTGATTAGTGAAGCTGTGGAACTTTCTCAACCGAAACAGTTGCGTGAAAGATTTGCAGTCAACAGTGCAATAAGCGCAGTAAAATATTCCTAGACTACAAACTGCAAGTACGTCAAAATTTAAAAGGAATGGAATGAATAGTACTGTTTATCTGTTTAATAATGAGTTAACAAACTCCTAAAATAACTGACAAACAATACATATGGTAATTATAATTTTATTAGTCAACTGTTTACGCCTTCGATTTCTTTAATTATGGTGCCGATTTTTTATTTTAAATTCTGTTAAAATTAACGATAAACTTTGATAGATACACAACTCACCAAAACAGGAGACACCAAAAAACATCTTCCATTATTAGACATACGAAAATGAATTAGATTTCAACAAAACAAAACACCATAAGAGATTAAGTCAGTGATACTCACTAAAACATTGCTTATGATAAATGTGGTGCCTGCATGATTAGGTGCAACCTCTGCATGGTTACATAAATGTCCAGCAGAATTGAAGGCAGAAAGTGTCATGGACACAGAGATAAGGCTAAATGAAATAAATTGAAACAAGACAAAAGACGTAAAAAAAGGATATCAAGAATATATGATACAAACTTATAATACTTTGATATTGACAACAGTATGGCATGAATGCCATTAGGTAGACGATAACCTCATAAAACTGATAGGTGAATTTACTGATCATGTTATTGGTACAACTACAAATTCAACTGGATGAGTTCTTTGGGAAATCATTGGGAGGAAACTATTTCTTGACAAGTAATCAAATAAACTACTTTTCTACAATGTGTTACTGGACAGTGATAATGAAACTTACCTTACCTAGAAATGACGATTTACAGCTAAGTGTAACCGACAGTCTCTAATTCACTTACCTAAGTTTTATTCAAGTGAATCTGCAAAAACTGGAATCTTTTTACCGTAGGGATTTAATATAGCTTTTTTTAAGACTAAATTTATGTCGAAGCTAATTACCAGTATATAACGAACGGTAATGACTGAGGAATAAACATGATTTCTAATCATATAAAAAAAATTAAACAATTGGAAGATACAATGAACAACTAATGAGCAAAACGTGAGCTTTGTGATCACGAATTCCAGACAAAAGTAGATTTAAGCTTCTGTTCCAACATGTTACAAGTTATACTCCGCTAAACAGTTCGCATAAACTAGAAGTGATTATTCATAAATGACAGCGAATACCAAATGACAACACTACGCTAATTCATAGGAATATTAATTTCATTTAGTCCTTGATAAAAAATCATCATTTGATTATATTTCATGTTTATTGAAAAAAATCTCAGTATTACGCTTCGTTTTTGTAAGTCAAAAGGGAAAAATGAATAACTGTTTACATGAACGATACATACTGTACACAGGAATATAAGGACAAGCATATCCATGAAGTACTGTAGATTTACCTTATTTTTTATTGTTGTATCAGATTCATATACTCCGATCAAAACTAAATGACTGTACGGTTAAACACATATGATTGCATGTTAATGTCAGAATTGTAATGAAACTTCTCCATCATGGAGTTTTTCAGATCGAATGCTTTAACTACCGTGTCGTCACGCTTCATCAAAACCTCATGAACGATGATTTTCCTATAAATACAAGTAACTCATTCTGCCCAGCTTGAATTTGACTGGTCGTCTTCACTTGCTGAATGAAACACGCTTCATTGGCTTTTACACAGATTAAACCTCAATTAAAATACTGGTGTGCAAATATACCATTGCGAAAATTCGCTTATTCCTCATGATGGATTTGAACACAAGTTACGCCATAATTGATGAATTTGCATTTCTGTTTGGGTAATCGAAGGAATAACATCATCGCTAAGTTTCGCCATATCCTACTCGAAAATGAATGTTAACGTTCCCTTCAAAAAAGAACAACGTTATAGCTATTAGTGGATAATCGCCATCAACCTTAAGAAATTATTCAGGCTGTCTGTAAAGGAGCCATAAAGGATTTTGAAAACGAATAATTCGAACAAGGGATTTGCGATGTCGTAGTGAAATGAATCCCGTCGATATTTTGATGCGAGAACACGAAGTTCACGTGACAGTTCACAGATTAGTCCAACGTTTATTAGTCGACAGGCAAAATGAAATGTATACATAAGTATAGACAGATTAGCAGCGAAAACTGTCCTACTATTATGTAGTATGAAATGGTCAAAAGAATAAGGATGGCAGGAGAATATTAGAGGTGGAGTGACTTAGATTCACGTCGAAGTTAACTTCACTGCCATTAATGAAGCTATATACCTAAGCTTTTTCGATTAGTTCCACTAGCATCCCTCCTTTCGATATTTATCCCTTTTCAACACGGTTTCTACAAAAAGCCTGATAGTTTGTGTACTGTTCGAATTCGATTAACAAAGTAATCTAACTCTACCTGGGATACAGCCTGTCCCTAGCCCAGATAAAGGAGGAGGATTGGGCTTGTGGTTGGCGAGACCGTCCCGTAGAAAACTAACTCGCCATAAAAAGCTAACAAGGATAAAATTATTCGAACAGTTTAAACTCTGTCCTGGGAGTCAAAAGATCTTCATTTACAAGGGTTATGAGGGCTTATGATGAAAGTCGAAATCCTTCGTAAGTTACGAGGCCGATGACCCTTCTGAAAACCAGAGCCGTTCCAAGGTGTAGGCAGCCAGGAACTCATCCCACTTGTCTCTGAACATAACGAAGAGCGAAGTCGGCTCAGGTTCAGGCTGATAAAAAGCCTACGCAATAATCACGAACAGTGGTGGGTGACGAAGACAAAAGCGATGTGAAAGGCAGTGGCGATATGTAACAGCAGACAACTGTTCCGCTTGATCAAAGAAACCGGTTATATTAATCTGACTGTTTGTGAGACTATCTCAGAAAAGGATGGGCTTATTATTCATTCTCAATCCAGGAGATTGGATCAATGAGCTGAGCGATTCAGAGATCTGTTCAACTGGCCTTCAGCCACATTCTCGTTGTCAACAATCTCCAGTCATCCTGAGTGGTGAATCAATGCAAATCCTTCGAATCTAATTGAAGTTGAAAAAGCTATAGGAAATCTAAAGCGAAAGAGAGCAGCGAATCCTGACAAGCTAACTCCTGAGATTCTTGAGGACGGTGGTCCAGTTTTAGCAGTTACATTGACTGAGATCTTGGGTAGAATTTGGTAACTGGGCATAACCTCATCTGAATGATCTCAATCCCAGATTGTTGCAATTTGTAAGAAAGGACAAAAGTCGTCTTGTGACAATCACACAATTATCAGTTTAACTAATATATTATCTAAAATATTGACCTCAATAGTACTCGGACGTCTTACTAGAGCTAGTGAAGAGCAGACTATAGAAAACTACTCCGGTTTTCGACCTGGACGTGGATGTTCAGACCAGTTATTCATACTTCGTCATAGACATTCGTTCCGACGCTCCACAATAGTATTATTCCTCGACCTGAAGGCGATATTTGATGCTTTCGATCGTGAGGTGCTTTGGCAGTGTCTCATTGGAAGGTGTTCCAGAGAAGTACGTTAATCTTACACGGGCTTCCTACTCGCACACTATTGATCGAGTGAGAGCTTTTGGCGAACTGTCATCGTAATATATTATTCCAAGTTGTGTCCATCAGGGTTGTCCATTTTCTCCATTCTTGTTCAACTTTTTCGTAGATATGTTTTTAGAGTTAACAGTCTCACTGCAGGGGTGGACCTTCTGCAAGGAGATTCGCTTGTTGATTTAGAGTATGCCGATGACATAGTTCTACTTGGTGAAGACGCTGATAAAATGCAGTCTTCTGACTACCCTAAGCAACAATGCAAGCATGTTTGGAATGCAAAATGTTGCTTCAAGAATGGTTTGCATCGGCACCTGAACTAGTGATAGGGAGTGAAGTAGTCGAACGTGTCGACCGCTTCAATCAACTTGAAAGTCTCATCAGTGCTGATGGCCTGGAATGTGGTGGAGTCTCGGCACATATACAGAAAGCTGGAGTGGCTTTTGCTGACTTTGGTCGCTTATGGCATAGGCGAAATATCCATCTGCTAATTAAAGGACGAGTTTACTGCGCAACAGTTCACTACATCCTACTAATCGGTTCTGAAACGGTCAGTAAGAATAGAGGAAATTCGTATTTTGCTGGTATTCGGTCGTCGTTGTCTTCAAAGCATTGCTCGTTTATCCTGGGACAACCGAGTAAACAATGCTATCGTTAGGAAACGAGTCCTGGGTAAGGATGGCAGATCAATTGATGAAGTGATGAAACTTCATCACTTGATGTGGTTGGGACGTGTTTTACGTACGTCTAACAACTGAATGCCTCGTCGAGCTATGTTCTGTGATGTAGGATTAGGTGGGAAGAAAGCTAGGGGCGGCCAAACCAGAACATGGCAGAAATCCATGAAGTCACTGACAAGTGAACTGAGTCATCTCGGTAGATGTCGACTACCTGGTTGTGGTCCGCGAGATGATAATAATCGATGGTAAGAGACCTTGAATAACATGGCTCGAAACCGTTTGCAACGGCGCAGTTGCATCGATTCTTTGTGTTGTCTCAAATGCTAATCTTGTCAATGCCTCATGGAAGTTTTTTCTTTCTTAAATCGATTCCTCTCTGGTATACATCTCAAATGATATATTCGATCATTAATGTTTTTGATTACTGCTGATACTTGTACTGGCTCTACCACTATGAGATTTGAAATGACAATTGCGTACCTGTGCTTATGGGGTATGGCAACCTGAACTGACGTATGTACGTAAGTACGAAGTTCTACGTCGTAACTGACTGACTGACTAAACAAACTGTTTCTGACTACTATGTTTTCGTGCTACAAGTGTGATTTTTAAGTGCGTTGAATAGACACTAGCAAAAGCTATAACAAGTAACCCTAAATTACAATAGGAATTATGAATCTATGAGTAATATGTGTAAAGTACTATAATGAGCGAAGCTTTGGTGTTTTCAATGTTTGTACCAACCATATACACACAAAAACTGATATAACTGTCAGTAACGAATATTACATACGTATAAAATGAAAAAGCTGGTGCAGAGAGTCAGAAAGAACATCCAAAAGATTGGTAGTTTATTGAAACCGTTGCAAGTGAAAGAATATTATGAATCTACGTCAGACATAAGTTGGGATTCAATTAGCGGGAACTGTAAATTCAAAGACAGATATTTTAGGGAGTTTGAACTAAATACATCCGGGATATTAGTTAAGCAATTAGGATCGCGATTAACTTAACACTACAAGAAATTACATAAACGCATTGACAATAAAGTGGAAAACTATGCATCTTGATAGCATTGAATCTTCGAACTGTAGTATTGTCAAGTAGACCTATGTAAATACTCCCTACTTGAAAGATTGTTGCAAAACGCTGTTTCAAAGCAATATTCTAGAGATAACGGGAAAATTGAAAAATAAATGTAAACTTACACAATAGCTGGTGTTATACTGCTTGATAGAGAAAACAAAAAAAGTACCACACCAGGACCAAGAAGACCAATACATGACATTAGGCGTCGAACAGTTAGTACATTGAACTGCCGTTTAATCAAATAATTAGCTAACCGTCCAGCGACTGAAAGGAAAGAATCAGTTTAGAGTAAAAACTCAGAAATATTTTTAAAAGAGATAAATTTGAGTCTTACTAAAGAAACTCACGACACTGTTTTTAGATGCATAGTCTTACATAAAAATGGATGTTTAGCTTTGATTGGGAACTTGATCAAGTTAATAGCTGTCATGAAAATTTAACTTAAAACGTTGATTTCCTTTCGCGGATGAGAAATTTGGTGGTGCCTAAAGACTAGTTGTTATAGTTTGGGAGTCTAAATATTATCAGAATCCTCACGCATATTTATTGATGAAGCATTCAACCTAACAACACAGAGGATACTTTCGACCATAATATAGTTCAGATACAAATTTCACCACCAAATATTTGCCTATAATTCCACCAATCAATGAAACTATAAAACACTGATCTGCAATGTGTATGGAATCATAAGATTTATAAGAATTAGTATAATCAGGGATTAAATATCCAAGGCAGAATAGTTTCAAATCATTCTGAATTATTTGCTTATTTTACTCCCAAAATTTTACTAAGATTTATTCACGGTGTGGTTGTTAGTTTGTTTTAACTTTGTTGTTCTCTATTAGTGAGGATGAATTACTGCTTGATATAATTATCGTTATTTAGTAAAGGGAATTTTATATAAAGTCACTCGATTTATTTGGCAAAAACAAGTAGGCAAATAGCCTTTGATCATCTCTAAATGCTTTGGAAGTAATATAAACTGATGGCACTTAATATGATCCTCTTTAAACAAGACTCTTTAACACAGTACACAAATCAAATGCGTTGATGCCCAGATGTTATGTTGTAGATCTTCACCGTCAGCATCCCCATTGGAAACGAAGACGTTAGCAAAAGAGTTAATTAGGTAGGTAAGTAATATTGGAAGAGGGTAGGAAGAGAAATGAGTCCATCTGTATGGAGGCTTTCCGTTGCTTGAGAGAGCGTAACTGGAAACATATGACTCCCTTTACTTATGTAGGGGTGAATTTCAGACCTCTGATCCCCAAAACAGTAGGAGCACATGAGGAGACTTTTTCGGGATGTTTTACACTAAGCGGTTACTACCATGTTAATGTAGTTTGGGAATACGGATATTATCTTCAACCTATTTGGAATCACATGAAACGTCTGAATATGTTTAACGTAAACAAACCAGAAACACGGAGTCTACGTGTTAGTTAAAAGGGTAAACTTACTAACACTCCCAATACAATTGCATACATAAGGTATAGCTGTTAGCATTATGACATATTTGGTAGCTCCCAAATAACGTACTAAGTAGGTCGGCAACCAGAGCATTACAATATAATTTGACCAGTTCATACTAAAATGAGCGATATAAATTGCCCATAATGGCCAGTGTGAAATGAATTCGGTCCAATGAAGAGACGGTTTGAAAGGCTTTATTTTAAAGGTTAACAGAGAAATTTAAGGCACAATAAACAAACTTATTTCTGTAGCAACGACATTATAACAGGTTCAAACTCACAATATACCCAAAATCACAGGTTCGTTTGTCATACGGTGACCTCAACCTTAGTACTAAGTAAAATCAGGACTGAGTTCCTGTCAACAAATTATCCTTATGAATATTATACTAATCAGAATTATACGACAAAATGGATAGCTTCTGTGATTTATTGGTCAGCAACATCCTTGACAGAAGTGTTGGATATTTTAGGGCACGGTTTCAATAGAAGCAACATTAACTTCAAGGTTGTAAATATCCCTTACTGATAACCGCCAAACAGCACAAAAGGTAGATTAAAAAGTCGGTTAATTTGAAATATCTACGGCGAGATAATATACAAAAGACCGGTCGTTAGCCGAAATTCACTAAATTTTCGATGTCCGTTCTGTCTTTTGACGCTGATCAGTCAGGTTTTATGTAACTTTATTCGGTCTAACGATTTCGGACATTTAATTAAAGTCAGAAATAGTGCAGCTGAAAATGAGTTACTAAGCATCTTTGGTTATTGGTCACTTGGAAATTGTTAGTTGATATATATATATATATATATATATATATATATATATATATATATTCTCCTGGGCCATTACTAAACAGTTACATTGTTTCACCAATAACCGACATTCTTTTATTTCAATAGTCAAAGTGTCACTCAATAATTCATGACTACATTAATCTTCAATCGTAAATGAAAGCTGGCAGATGACTGTAGAGCTTCATAAGATGTTTATTACATTAACTGACAACCAATCATAAGAACTAATGCGGTTACTAACAAAATTCACTGCACAGCTATTCTTTTTAGCTATAAGTAATTTATGTCTGTTTTAAAATACTGATGGTCAGTAAATAAAATGTATCATAAATATACATACGTATACATATCAGGCATTCATGAGATTTGGCGAACTGGATTGCGTAACACAGTCAACTACGTTTGGATAGATGATAGAATTTCAAAAGCGAAAAAACATCGAATCCAGAATGTTGAAAGTATACCTGGAGATAACAGCTCCGTAGAATGAGTGAAAACACTTCAAACACTATTGAAAGACTACGAATTCGCGACAAAGTGCGTTCTTATAAGGTGGAGTTTATTTTAAGTGTTATGCTCATAACTCTTCACTGTTTAGACTCCTAACAGAAGTAGTGGTTAATTCAGTTAGTCCTGAGTTTGCTAACTTTCTTAGGTGAATTTAAAGCGGTCGATCTACAAAACATTTTCAGTTAGGTACACACACCTTACGTTTGGTTTCAGTGATTTAAAGTCTCACGAAATGAAATAGATTGGCATTTGTTCCCCAAGCACCTTGACATGCTAAAAGATTAAAGATAGGAAGGCTTTTATCATGTTCCAACGATTATCGAAGTAGTTTACAATCGCCTAAACCGATGACAAAAAGGTATTTCAGTCTCATTCACGAGTCCCTAACACTAGCTAAATGGATTTGAGAGACGAAAGTAACCTGGAAACAATGAGTCTACTACAGAATCAACTTGGTAGGGAGATAGAATGTACTCATCTACGGGGTTTTTATCAGCTTGAAAATGCATGTGGTACAATCTGACCCTTCTCAAATTCGATAAGTAGAGAAAGATAACAAGAGAGTTTGGCTTACCTGAGATTGCTGAACAGGAAACTCATTTCGTGACTCAGCTCTTTTAATAACGCTAAAGACAGGGATCCAGAAACAAATCCATACAAGACCGATAAAACCAAATATGAAAAACGAGTAAGACCAAACTAAATGAGGGCAAACCAAGGTAGCAACCGTTTGACCAATAGCACCAAATGCAACCATATAACTGAAAGCTCGACTGCGTTCTTCAACAGGTACAACGTAAGAAAATATGTGGAATACCGTAGGAAGACCTATATTAGCAGACAAAAAGTAACCATTGTGGCAACAAGGAACAATGAAGTACCTATACATTACATATTATATATATATATATATATATATATATATATATATATATGTATATATATATTGCAATAAATGGAAATTTCCAACCAGATTTTCATTAGGATGGTCGGAATGCTGGTAAGTTCTGATAGTGAGACATATTTGATACCAAAACATATGAATCTAGAGCTACAGAAATTCTTCTCTTAACAAATATTTAACATACAAAGCATCCAGTAATAATAATGAGATGATGGAGAACATTTATAGCTCAGATGGATGATTATGGTGGCGTTTCGTCCTAACCTAGATTTTTTTGGTTGTGGCGCTTTCAGTATTCCTCTGAACAACATCAGCAGAAACTTCACTTCTATCTTACGTTTGTGCTGATGTTGCTCAGGTGAATAATGAAAGCTCCACAACCAAAAAAATCCAAATCAGAGAACGAAACTCCACAATGAGCAATAACAGTAAAAACTAACAGGTTTACAGTTTTAGACAAGGTTATACCACAAAATTTCGAACTTCGGATTTCTATTGATTCTTAATAGGACATAAATTAATGTTTGAAACTTATCTGTTAGGTTCAACTACAGACTAATACATGTTGAAAGTAGGAGAAACTTACTAGAAATCACATGTATTCTACAATGTTATGTTCTCATCGATTTTTATAATAAGATGACGATGAAAATCCTATCCTGTAGTAACACTTCCAGATCGCTTATGCTTCAAAACATACATTCCGAATGGTGAAAACAGCGATGGTAGAATTATTTCATAGTGTAAACAATCTACTCTGAAAGAATGAAACTTAGAGTATGCACTATATAACTTTACTTAACTCTAACAGACCTGGTTCTAGGATATGACACAAGCGATAACTGTTTAAAATTGATGAATCAGTCAATTAATCCTTTTGCCAATAGTTTAAGTATATCATATACAAGCAGCAGGATATTACTTAGATGAGTTAATCAGATTTTTGATTACATTTGAGTTTTAGTTAAGTGTCAATTTTCGACCGAAAAAGTATATTTCTTACCTATTCCTTCTCTCAAGCCGAGTAATATGCGCAGAGTTATCAGAGAGTGAATAGAATGGGCAAGAAATGGAGTAAGGAGGGATGATAATGACCAGAATGCGACGGCGAAACCAAGAATCAGACTTCCACCATATCGTTTTGCTGCACTCCCACCTATAATCTGATTAGAATTAAGAGAAAAGGACTGATAATACTCACCATACTTCCAAGGTAACCCACAGAAAATGAACTTAGAACCAATCCATATTGGTGAAGATTCCAGCCAAAATGATTTGATATCGGAATTATAACAATAGGCATGATCACTCGATCAGCTGCGTTAATGAAGTTGGCTGAACAACAAAGCAAAACAATTTTCCAAACATAGTTTGGCTCATTAAGCCATTTGAATACGTTGTACGTAGGTAGAAAGTTGAGGCAATTAAGGTAATACATGTTTCTACTTCTAAGGGCAATTTTCTATAGGTATTGATATATGAATACTAAAGATCCATTGCATTCGAAAACCAAACACAATGAGTGTTTTAGAGGCTGCAGAAAAATTAAGTGTTTAATAACAAAGAGATGAATGATGAGTTGGAACACAAAAATGAGAAACTTTTGGAATAGTCAACCTTCTGAGTATTCGAAAGAAAAATAGCTTTCTGGTCAATAGCATTAATGGTTAAAATAAGAACCCTATACTAAAACCGTAAACAGATGAGTTACAATAAAGGAACTAGTTTTAATGGCCTTATTTCAAAGCTATATATACATCGTTAAAGAGACATTACATATCATAGATTCAATTTCCTAAAATCATCAAGTGAAACAGTTGCTGTTAGTACGCCAACCAATACTGCTTTCAGATTAGTGGAAAATCAAACAGTCACAAGCTAAGACCTACTACATATGTCTACCGGCTTAAGTTGTCACCGACATCAGTACAGTAATATCATATAATAAAGAAAAATGTCAGAGTAGCTGGAGCAGTAATAGTGTCCGTGATAGTAAAAGCGATTAGGCATCTGTATCTCTATCAATCAGAAAGGACTAAAAATTGAACATTTTCATTCTACCGTTAACAACCAATTTTTCGCACAATGAATGTATCCTTATGAAATTTGAAGACGCCATTTGGTTTGTAAAAACACCTGCGAACCATTCAAGCAGCTTTTTGCTGCCTTTTTAGAGCCTAACTCCATAAATTTTGCCTAAATACTTTGTACTGTTAAATAATGATAATGAAATTCGCATAAGTTTTCCAATAAATTGTTCGTAAGTTAATTCCAACCTGATAAGAAGTTTCATCCTTCAAAATGAGAGTCAAACTACTTATTGTCCAATGTAAAACTGCCGATATTTCTGCGTTAGAGAGAAAAGTGGGACGTATTTTTAAGAAAAAACTTTTGAAAGTCAACAGCTATTACGAAATTTAGTGCCTAAACTTATATATAGGAGTGGTGCATACAATGTGTAATTGGTTTTTTCAGTCACTTTTAATGTTTTTAAGTCAACTGAGGATAGTCATAGTCTTCCAGAGATTGAATATATCAAGAAATAATTAGTTGATGGAAAAGTTTACACGGTGTAATAATTTACAAAAAACTTTATTACAGCCTTAAAACATATCTCCGTCGGTAAGGGCCTCTAAGTGATATACTAGCAAGTGATGATGAAATTGGAACAGTAAGTAATTTATTGAATACAGGTATATATACTCAGATTAAAAACACATTTATTGTGACTGTTAAGTATCAACTATCCGTTGATTATCGTCCGTCGATCGGTGATAATTAATGTAGAATATCAGCCCAAGTTGTCACCGATATCAGTCAGTTACAACGTAGAACTTGGTACGTACATATATCAGTTCAAGTTGCCATAGTAGCACAGAGACGTAATTGTTAATTCAAATCCCATAGTAGTAGAGGTAGTAGAAATAACAGTAACCGATATCATCGAAGCAAGATTAAATTACCAAGACACTTCAGAGTAGCAGGATCAGTAGCATTATCCGTGGTGGTAAAAACGACTACGTACGGAAGATATGATTTTTTAGCCGGGAATCAGGTCACGCTTCGGACGAACAACCGAATACTCTGAAACGAATCTCTAGTAGACCAAATCAATATGAAGAGACATGACTATTTATAGCCAGGCAAAAATAAGCGGAACGTGATAGGTGGGTCAAGCGACACACATACTAGTGAAAAAAAAATTAAGGTTAAAAACGAATAAGTGACAAGGTCGAGGGACGAGTTTGTAACTCTGGAGGAATGGATCAACTAGTTTGTCCGAAAGCTAGGAAAAACCGTACGGGCTTGGCATTTTAGTCCACACACTACAGATTCGAGAAAGAATGGATACACGAAGTTAGCTTGAAATAATGTTGAAGCTCAAGACATGTGCAAAGATACCACTGTGACCAGTTTTAGACTGTCACCAACTGTCCCCAACTACTTGTGATGCTAAACGAAAGGATGTTAACGACGTAGTTTGTACCGCAAACACGACTTGACAGGAGTATGAAACGTTTGGTTTGACTGTTACCAACTCTTAACCTGCTTCTACACAACCATAGATTCGGTGCCGAAAAAGTGCTTAGGCATATGTAATGTAGGTCCCAACCACTTTAATGCATAAAGACTCAGTGTTTTAACGACAAATATTCAGCCTTCACTATTAACCTCGCATCTAACCAGAAAAATCGAAATGCCGAGATTTTAAGTGGCTTAATGTGGAGGCCATCTGGCAATCAGCCACAAATACTATTATTAAAGGCCACATCTCAGGCATAAAGTAGAACGGAACTACTAATATGCAGTACACTCATCCTTTACCTGTAAAACATGGATCTTATTTACACCCAGATTAAGCAAGTTAACGAAGGTCAAGACAGATTTCTATGTTTAGGTAGAGAGATTGTTAAGCACTGACCCACCAGAGTTTAGAAGTTTGATCTGTTGGATACATCAAAGAGTACTGATTTGTCATATGGTTACGGAGCTTTTATTTATGATGCAAGACGTGAAGAAAAAAGTAACAATTTGAACCCGAAGCTTAGTGTAGCTAGTTGTCCTAGAGAAAGCGACATCAACATTGTAACCTTAATCGATAATACTAGTAGCCGAAGCAGCAAATTAAAGGACTAATAATGCTGATGTTCACCTGTCAATATTTTAAAACCACTTGTGGTTCGAAGTCTCGAGGCCACAATGTGTGCTTCTATATGGAAGTCATTTTAAAATTCCACAACTGTATAATTAACTCGTTTTACAAATCAGTGATTTTCATAGAATATATGGAATTCATGGGACTAAAAGGATCAAAAGTATTTGAATCTCTTAGCCAAGGTCAAAAGTTATGCTGAGAATAAACCAACTATGGTTGAAGTACGAGGTAAAAATCCAAGTGTAATTTCGAACACAAGTCAGAATGCGTGGCGAATGACCTACAGTTTAAGACGGTGGACTATTTCCAATATCCAATATCTTTTTCACGAGCTAGTGTAAACCAATTTGATTTCTTCGCATTCGATTCTTGTTCTTTCGGTACGGTTCCAGGTGTTCGGTAATGTCCAATGGATGGAGGTCTAGCCACTCGACTGTCTAATTCTAGTCAGTTGGCAGTTGGTTGTGAGTTTGTATGTCTCGGGATTTGAATGAAACATTTGTTTCAGGGCAGTAGGGTTTCTGGATACTAGCAGCCGTCACATTACCAAACCGGAGATCAGTTAGTTGCAATATGGAGAGTAATAAGGGTAATAAGGATAAATTAAAATGATAATATGAGTAAAATTTCAGAACTGAGTAATATATAGATGAATTTAGTTTATTAATTGGTAGTGAAGATTGTGAGAGAGGACCGAAGTGTATGCAAGGGAGAGGAATAGGCGAGATAGATTAATTGAGTGATCTGAGGAGATGGCAATGGTAACAACTAGCAGGTCTCAAGATATGCATCAGGAACAGCTTGTCCAAGAGGGAGATGACAGTCCGCATGTGAGGCTCATTGAATCCAATATCATTTTCACGAGTTAGTATAAACCAATTGATTTCTTTGTGCTCGGTTCTTGTTTCTTCGTTACGGTTTCAGGTGTTTGGTAGTGCCCATTTGATGGGGGGTCTAGACACTCAACTGTCTAATTCTAGTCAGTTGGCAGTTAGCTGTGAGTTTGTACGTCCCGTGATTTGAAATAATACGTTTGTTTCAGGGCAGCTATCATATTACCAGAGAGGAGATCAGTAAGTAGCATTGTGGAGAATAATCAGCAGAAAACTCTGATGCCGATCTGAATGAGATTTCAGAACTATGCAATAAATAGATAATTTACTTTAATAATTAGTGGCGAAGATTGTGAGAGAGAGGACCGAATTGTAAGCAAAGGAGATGAAACAGAGATATAAAGCGAGCAAGATTAAGTGAGTGATCGGAGGAGATGGCAATGATAACAACTAGCAGGTCTCAAGACATGCATCGTGCACAGCTTTTCCAAGAAGGAGATGATGATCCCAACGTGAGTACGTGTTTATCAAGTCGTTTCTTAAAGCTGTTCACTGGGGAGCTGTGGTCACCTCGACTGGGAGAGCATTCCGAGTTGCAACGACTCCTGATGAGATAAAGTGAGCACGAACCTGAGTGTTCGCTCCTTAATGTGCAATTTTTCGAGGATTATCTCGAGGGGAATGGTGGTGATGCATCGGTAAGATGCTCACGTTGGGATGGTTTGGCATGCTTATTATGTTGCATGCCATAATCAGATCATCTCTGATTCTCCTGTAACTCAGGGAGAATAATCCCAAGTGCTAGAGTCTATCTTCGTAAGATTTGTTCTTCAACCCTATCACCAATTCCGTTGCTCGTCTCTGCACTCGATCCTCTCTTTTTAGTAGAGAATAAAAATAATTTTGGGTGATAGCACCAAGCTGTCTCTGCATGGCTGCACCTCTCCCCATATATTTCGAACTGGTGTCGAAGCTTTCAGTGGTTAGTAACTGGAGATCGTGCTCTGAGGAGATTTTAGGTAGCGGATGGTCGGTTGAGGGCGAGGGTCGTTTGTGTCATATGGGGCAGAATGTACATGACGTGATATATCGGCTGGTTTAGTTTTAAGTCGTTTTTCATTGCCCATTTCCTAATGGACGTAAGGTCTTTTGGCAGCTCATTCGTTTCCTATTCGTTTCTAATGGATGTCCAGATCTTTGCATCTTCTGAGTAGATCAGTGCGAACGAGCTGATTTAGCTTAAAGTTTCTGAATGTCTATCAGAGACAGAAGTGGACCTACGGTTGTCCCTTATGAAACACTCAGCGTTCAAACACGTCACATCTCATGAATTCTATTCACTTTGCTGCGGAAATACTTTTCTGAAGGTTGATTCTCAGCCATGCCGGGAAAATTTTATTTCATCATTTAACTCATATTCATACACCTTGATTTCTTTGCTATTTTTCTCAATACTAATGAATTTTCAACTATATTGTTCCTATATTTTTAGTCGTCTGTCTATCAAACCACCTATAAACTGACGTATGATATGCCGCACGGATATTTAGTCCAACATACAGAAGCCATCGTCGTTTGGCTGGCTTGTAACTTGGAGCTAGAAGAATGAGTGTATTCTGATAGCATGTAAAAAATAAACCTTGGAATAATACACAATCATTAAAATCTATCATCAAACGTAAGAAAGCTTATCATTACAAAAGAAGGGAGTATGGGGTATTTGACCAGTAATCATTGTAGAATCCATTTTGAAGGCTTTGTTTTGGGAAAATCCTTCGGTGTATATATTTGTTATATGTTCTGACTTACTCTTTCTGAGCGACATTTTAGCACTCTGTTTAATCCTATTTCATGATGTTGATATTTTTATTCTGTCATACTTTCTATTTTTTGTACCTTTATTGGAGTATATATTTTTTCTACTGAAGTGTATCATGTTGTTTAATGTGATACTTAATTATGGCGTCAGCCATATCGGATTCGATACCCTGGTGGGTGAAAAGTGCGTCTGGACTGGAACGGTGCAATTTTAACCTAAACAGAAGCATTCTTTCAGAATTGGAAACATTATGTTAATTTGGAGGTAAAACTGTGTAATATTGTTTAGGTAATTGTCTGTATTATCTAAATAATAATGAGACCGTTTCCTACCCAGATAAATTGCTTTCTTGTTGGATTAACTGGGAAAGGCCTCTATCTAAACTTCTCGAACTGCTCTTCAGAATTCAGAAACCACTCAAAAACCTTACAGTCATGACGGTGAGGAAATTACCTCAGTGTACACGTGTTTGCGGGGCGCAAAATTCGGTTTGCTTACCACTCCTTACACTATAGCAGCTTGTAGTCAGTCCGTGACATTGATAATACCTTTTCGTGTGAACGACATCGATGACTCATGTTTGTAACCTAGTATTGCTTTCATTTCCTACCAAGAAATCTTATTACAAGCAAATCTGGATAATTATGTTGACAAAAAGGTTCATTCATGGCTTCATCAGCTACGGCGTTAGAAAGTGAACCAATAAACTAGATATCACTAAAGAATCACATTACTGTATCTTCATTATTGTATTCTGTAACTCAACACAATTTCTAACAGTTTAATGCTTTTCGATCTACCCTATTCTCAAGTTTATTTTCACGTTCTCTAACTTACTAGTGACTTGTCTTTTTTAGCTTACATAAGTGCAGGTGTACAGTTAATGTTCTAATACAGGAAAGGTTTGATTAATCATACCTTTGTTTTATCGAGAAAATGATCTGTGGCTTCATGACTCAGCATTAAACGAAAATACTTTCTGTTCTGTTCCTCAACCCTGTCTCTTTATTTATCTTGTTCAGTACTTCATCATATGCCTTAAATATGAGCTATGATAATTGCCAAAGTCTTGGTTACATTACTCAGCAGGCTGTAAATTCATTATCTGGCGAATTTCAGCATGGGTATCATAAGACATTTAGCTCACCAATTCTTGTTGATTGCAGACCTGGATTTGCCTCGCGTTGGTCCTCAACCATCAGTAGTTCGTTGCAACTGAAACGTCGTGGCAGGCGTCAACTATCGTATAGTACATTGCAGTGTGTGAAACATTATCAATAACTTCATTTGAAAGTATTCAGACATCTTTAAGTGGTCAGTGTTTCTTGTGAAATGTTTATTTAACTGAACAATCTTTCACAGTTACAGAGTTACTAATTTTACCATTATGATATTGTCTGTAAATTGGCATGATTCTTGTAACACGTCATTGTTTAGGAATAAATAATAATTTTTATAACTTATGATGATATCTCTACATAATTGCGTCGGTCGTATAATTGTGTTTATCTAGGGAAATAACAAACCAACGTATCAAGTAGATTGAAATCCATGATTTGTATACCATTATGTACTTTAGGTCTAGACATAATATCGGATTGTGAATACAAGTTTTTGAAAGCGCTTATCTCAGAACGTATTTTGAAATCATAAGCTCGAATTATTTGTGTGTATCTAGAGCAGAATGTGAAACGTAGCTTATACTTGAATGGAATATTATTCGTATTGTTTCCTTATATTATTGGCATACAGTTCATATCATCTAAGGTGTATTCGTATATTTTTTTACCAAACTGAGGTTACTTTCGATGACCCAATTTCAAGCTTAAAATTTCAGAGTATTCTTAACTTGATTTTTCGTAATTTTCATTGAATGGAACTGACGCTTCAGCTCATCTTGACTTCTTGATCTCGAAGTTTATTCCCCCACAAAAATAGTTAAATACTCTTAACACTTTATCATATTCTATTACTTTATACCAGTGTAATCGGTGTCTGTAGTCGGGATCCTCAGATATAATGGCGCGTGTCGTACAGTATAATTAAAATGGCAGCAACACAAACGGAAAATTTGCGCGTACAGAGTACGAATAATCAACGAGTACAATAAAACAGTCACTGGGAAAATTGGTTATAACGATAAATGATTCTATTAAACCAATGGATTTTTCTCCATAAAAGTTGAGTCACTGCACCAGTGGATATTATTATTCGAAAAGTAATGGTTAGATTACTTTGTGACAGTGTGGTCGAAAACAGATGGAAGTGATATGAATTTTGCCATTAACTGGTCTAAATATGTGAGATGTTATGAAGGACTCATTGCCATGTCTTTGAAATAGTTTTAGATCCTAAAGTTAAGGTAAAGTCACTCTCAGTTAAAACCAAAGCATGAACGATGATTTATCTATGGCATATCGTGTTTGTTTCATTTCTATAAGAATGATCAGTTATAACTATCACGTGAACCTCGTTTAAGGCATTGTATATAACCGAGCATGTGGTAGGAATTAAAACGGCTTTTGAAATAGCTTGTTTTTGAACAAGTAGATTGCAAGCAGTATTAATGGTCTAGCGTCTCTAAACAAATAATAACAGCCAAGAATACTCTCTCTATTTAATACTGTACCAAATTATTCAGGTAGCCTATCACACCTACATCTCGCATAAATAATTCGATTAGTGATTCTGTTGAATATGCTGATAAAGTCTACCAGTAATCATAAGTACAAAACATTTGACTTGATGTAAATGTAGGTTTATGTCGCATAAAAAGCAGGTACAAATAAACTGGTCTGCCTAAGAAATTTCGCCTTTGAAAAGAGTTAATAAGACAAGTATATTCAGAAATGCGGTCCTAATTAAGATTCACTGTCATATTAATACAGGTTAGACGTGAAAAAATAGTGATAATTGTAATTATTTTGAAGTTGTAGTTCTATAACAGTCATATGAGAAGGCTCATATGATCATTTCGAAGGTCGTTGGCTGAGAAATATACTTTCATTTAATTATTTGAGCTTATTTTATTTTGTCAACCTAAATGAAAGCCTTTTCACAAATAAAGAGTACTAACTTCGTGATTAAAATGAATTTTAGTGAGATCCAGTCTTAAGCTGTTTTAAGTGTGGTGGGGACGATTTTTTCTCCTTGAAAAATTATGAGGAATCTACAATACAGTCCTTGGTAGAAAATACAGTTTGCATTTCTGATGGAGCTTATCATATATCGATCATGTTACCTATACCAGTTTACACAAATGTTTTCATTAGATGAAAATATGAATTAGTGTTGCCGTTCAAAACCACCGGCATGAATGTTAACTCGCCGTAGTGTAAGCTCACCAACGACAGTTCCGTCGAACCAGATCTCTTATGAATCCTTACGCTGATTCCAGTTGCTGAGAATACTAGAGAGAAAAGTCCAATACTGCAGAGAAAAGGAACACTTGATAAACTAAGTAAATAAGTAAGTTAGTTAATTGGTACTGCAAATAATGTGAGAGAACTGAAGTATGAAGATAAATGACGCTAGAACATGGACACATTCAGACGTTCGACAATTGTTATATTACTTGAACTAAAGGTGGCATTTGACTCTGATGATCGTGAGGTTCTGAGACAATGTCTGTCATTGAAGTGTGCACCAAAAAGTGGAACAATGTTGTACGAGTCGTTTATTCGTGCACCACTGCTCAAGTCAGAGCTAACGGCGACCTATCACCAAAACCGACCATTTCAAATGGTGTTCGTCAGTGTTACCCGCTTCGACACAATCACCACCGTAGTTTTCAGGGGTTGGTCCTCTACCAGGAGGCTGGTTTGTTGACCTGGAATATAATAATATATTTATTCTCAAATAAATACGTTACAAGAGTCACGCCAGTTTACAGGCTAGATCAAATTGTCACAAATGCTTTCACAATTACTGTAAAGTTATAGCAGTTAAATTAAGTGTCATAGTCAGTTTCTGATTGCATATTTACACTAAGTTCTACTTCTTGAATGATATCCTCGAACCCTTATGTCTCCGATCACTGCTAACACTTCTACTACCTCTACTACAATGTGATTCGAAGTGACAATTGCGTCTTTGTGCTAATGTGCTATGGCAACATGAACTGACGTACGTATGTACCCAGTTCTACGGTGTATTTGACTGACTGACTCAATTGGTAGTTATTTCCATTAGATATCCGAATTATCGTTTCGTATTGATACGATAGTTAGGAGTAAATTGGCTGACGAGATTGTAGAATTGAGACATTAGGAAACGTTAGGTAGTTAAATATTACGAGATGTAGCTTCAAGTAAATATACATAAACATTATATCAATCAGTGTAAGCAACAAGGGTATTTGGTAATATCCATTGGAAGTAGTCTAGCCACTCAGCTGCACTAACTCTAGTCAGCTGGCAGTTATTTGAGTGCATTTGTCTCAGGGCTGTAGGGTCTCTGGATACCAGCAGTTATCACATTACCAGACCGGGGACCAGTTCGTCGCAGCGTGGATAATAATAACGAGAAAATCCTAATGCTTATGAGAAGACAAGCGTTTGCTTAATTGGTAGTGCAAATAATGTAAGAGAAGAGGGAATAGAGGTGATAATAAGCGATATGAGATTGTGATAATAATGACAAACACGTTTCAGGAAATGCATCAGGCACACCTGATCCAGGTGAAAGATGGTAATTCTGTTTTGAGTACGTGTTTTTAACTCTCCTCTTGAAGTTATCGACTGAGATGGATGTGGTCACTTCAGTTGGGAGAGCATTCCCAGTGGGGCAAATGTTAGTGAAGAGAAGTGGGAGTGTACCTGGGTTTTCACTCTTAAATGTTAGGTTTTTCGTGGGTTACCTCAAGGGGCGTACTGGTGGCTTTTGCATGATACTAGTGTCGGTGTGATTGGATTTATTTGGTGGGTTATATGAAATTATAAATTCACTTATGATTCCCTTATAATTCGGAGGGAATAATCTCAAGTGCTGGAGTTCGTCTTCGTTAGCCAGCTCGTCTGCACACACAGCAAGAGATTTATGTCTCATTTAAATAGAGGGTTCGCCGACACTGTGAACTTCAATGTGAAATAACTGGTGATAAAAAGCAGTAGAATTAGAGCTGAAAGTCGTGAAGTGAGTCATTCAAATATATTTACATTATCAGGTTTTCAGTCACCAATTGACTGTCTGTATTTCACGAATAGCATTAGCCATTTCGTCAGGTGATTATGTAGCCGAAGTCTGATTAGACAGTCAATATGCTTTAATGCAGTTTATTAAAAACTAAGCAACAATACGATATTTCTATCTTTCTTGGACTTGTTTAATAATGTCGAATTCTAATCAGCTCCTATTGGCGATTTTTCAAATGCTTCACTTGAAACGGATTTGAGACATTATACGACGGGATCATGGATCGGATTAACAAAGTGTCCTGACATTCCGCTTAGTTATTGTTATCAGTTTTCGATCAGTTTCATCATTATTCATAGGTGTATTATTTGTATATACTGTATTATCAACTCTCTTTTTCATCTGCTGTTTCCTCTACGAGATTCTACCACATAAACAGCTGTGGATGCAACCTCAGAAGAAACTTACTTTCAAAATAGACACTCACTTAACAAAATCTTAGCTGGGAATCGTCTTTAACATCGATGAATTGACTCAATTGTATACGTTTACGATGAACAAATATTCATCATCTCACATTCCACTTCCAATACAAAGCTTCCTTTTTTCTCAGACATGGTAGGTTGAAAAATCATTATTTCACAGTTGTACAGTTCGTTTTTGCAGAAGCCTGCAGCAAGAGACGGGGTTTGTACTGTGAGTCAAGTGAATCTTTTGTGTCTAGAAATATGTTTTTATGATTTAACTGTATTTAATGGGCTTTCGAAGGATGTGATGGTACATGGCTATATGTATAATTTTTTCTTTTGGATGTAGTTCAAACACCACCTGATAAAAGATAATTCATACTAATACAATTGATTCAGTATACATTACTAAGGTTTTGAGTATCTAAACAAGATGTTTATTATACTTTATGAATCTGACAAAATTACTTTCGTGTTAGTCTCTACCTTAAATCTTTTAACTGCAAGTAGCCGATTGAAGCTATTACCGTCATCTGATCGAGAGTAATAACTTCTGAAGACTTACGGAAAATCACCTATTTTCTATATTTTTCTGCAGTGCAAGTGTTTCAGCTTTGATGTTCACTAGCACTGAAAATGATTTCAGGCTATTAGTATTGGTAATTTCAGTTTCTTATCATTTTATTGATTCTTAATTATTTTGTGTTTAGGTGTCCAGTTTTATTTAATCCGATTCATATTAGCTATAGTTTCGGCTGTTTTGAAGATGCACTTAACAAATTTTAGCTACACGTTAAACGAACAGATCAAGTAATCTTTTTTTCTGTTTTTAAATGAGATTAATAGACTTAATTTAAAAAATGAAGTAATATCAATATTCTGTGAACAGTTAAAGCTCTAAGATTGATCCATCTTGTAGTTGAATTATTTTTTGCGTTGCGTTATTAAATACTAAATGTTTGACTACTAACATTTTTATCTTAGTTTAGAAAGCTCTCATCTTTGGTTTAAATTTGGTAGACTGCTGGTAATGAAAACTAACGTTTTAAAATTGGTTTGCCTGAAACAAATCCGAAAACTTGTTTATACTATCCCAAAATTTCTTTTGGTAACTTTCTGATAATCTGGAACCCGTCTTTCCTGGATTAGGGTCTATAAAGCTGATTTTTTGGGCTAGATAGTAACCAAACGGTACTATCAGTAAAACGAATTTAGTTTGCGGCTTAGAACATGAATCTTTATCAGGTTGTAAAACCATGTTGTTTTAGGATTATGAAGACTGTGGATGTATTACGACTCTCTTTTGTCCAATTTTAATAACTCTGTTATCATCAATTCTAGAGTTCTTAAACTGGTAATCAGGATGCTCAAAATTTGTTTTGAATCAGAAAAGTTTCCTCCAGGCATTTTAAGTCTATGAATATTTTCTTGCTGGACTTTATATTACTACGTTTTTCCTAAAATAATTATCAGGACGACCAGACTAATGAATCATTCTTAAAGAATATTAGTGGTTTCCAAAAAGTCACTAATGTTTTGGACTCACTTGAAATTAAACATTCTGTATTCTAATTAGGTTTCAAGTTACTTTGCACTAATGTATTCGGAAGACAATTTTATTAGTCAGACGTCAGCTTTGTATCAAGTATACTTTTTAAGAAATAGTATACCTTGCACAGTTACTTCACATTTGTAAAATTCAGTGCATGATGTTTCAAATATTGTGAACTACCTTAAGCAATGAACGGAGATCGACAATATTATATCATATGTATGTGTTTATTTAGAGGATAGATCACTATACACTCACCAACAGATATTTTAGCCTAATTTCAAAATAGTGTTATTAGGGTTTTTCGCAATAAGTATGTGCATTTCCAAATAAAGAGGGTTCAGTAAGGGAATCATCATTTTAATTGGTATAAAGTTTAAAATATTTGCTTACCTTATATAATAGGTCGACTAAGTTCACATTTTGTAATAATCGATTCTGTATTTTACAGTCATTTTTGCTTCCTTATTTAAGAAAGATATAAATGATCAGCACTCAGATATGAAGAATATTATCTCATTACTGCTTCTGACTATCATCTGCCTAATCGCTTTCTTTGACATATAAAGCGAAGCTAAGCATGAGAGAATAAATGACTTAAGAAAGCATCAAGTAGTGAACGTAACCAACAGTGCATGCAAGTAAATGAATTCGTCGGTATTTTGCTAAATCACGGAGACAATGCAAAAATAATGATATATTTAGTTAAATCGCATTATGAATGTTCTGAACTGATAATATTAATAGTTTGCATATTTGTATGGAAACCCATAAAATCGTTTATGTTCATTAACTAAAGTAGTTTGGCTGCAAAAATACTTTTATTTAAATAACCTTACAAGATTAGCGTTATAACGTAATAAAATTTTGTTCTTCATGAAAATATTTATAGCAGGTTTTGAAAATACATGTTCCACTTAACGTAAATGGGTAGATATAATGTAAGTCAATTTACGAAGAGTAAATTGAACTGCTTCATTTTGACAAGATGAAATCAGCGTTTTGTTTTGTAGTGTAGGAATAGGTTGGAAGAAAGTTAGGGGCGGCCAAACCAAAACATGGCAGAAATCCATGAAGTCATTGAGGAGTGGACTTAGCCATGTCGGTAATTATCGACTACCTGGTTGGGGTCCGCGAGATGATAATAATCGACGATGATAATTGATTGAATGACATGGCTCGAAATCGTTCGCAATGGCGCCGAAGCATTTATTCTTTGTGTTCTCTCAAATCCTAATCTTCTGGATACTTCAACACCTCTAGTTTTGACTTTCTAAACTTTTCTCATTTAATCATACTTCTTGAATAATACCTTCTAATCCTAACCTCTCCGATTACTTCTAATACCTTTACTACCTCTTCTACTATTGGATTTGAATTGACAATTACATCTCTGTGCTGATGTGGTATGGCGGCATGAACTGATGTACTTACGTGCAAAGTTCTACGTTGCATCTGACTGACTGAAGTCAATTTACGAGCTACCTTTGTAACTAGAAATTTGGTCAGATTCATCCACTACTTAGAAGAAAACTCAGCTTAAATTCAAGGATTCTAATAAAATTAGATAACCACATGTATTCTTAGCGCTTAAGAAAATTCTTTAAAAAATAAGATAAGCTTTTTGCTACACTTAGTTGTTTTAAATAAGTCGGGCATCTTGAGTTTCATTATACATTAAATGAAACCTTTTATAGCATTATTTTACGATTTCATACCAATTTTTTTAAACTTTGAAATCATACAGACTTTTGAGAAAGTTTTAGTACAAAACATACTACACGGTCGATCAATAGTTTTGTGCGAGGCTATACATTCAATAAGCCGATGGAAATTTGTGAAAGCTGCATTGCCTCATGTACTTCATTGTGGTGCTGTAATGCTTCGTGAAAAATTACGTGACAAATCTACTGTAGATCAACCACATCATAAACATACAGTAAACAGTTATGAGTCCTCTCATGATCGAACTCGATTAAATTTCAGTCAAACGGAAACAAAGTTGCTCTACACGCTTCACTGGATTCTTTTAGACGCCGCTTCAGAGTGTGAAGATGCAGAAATAGAGGCTTCTAATCATCCAGGTGAGTTTTGTCTAAACCTTAGCCTTCAATACCGCCTTTTATTATTCTAGATAAAACAATACTCAATGTATTTCGCATAATGATGACATTATGACGAAAAGATTCACATTCAGATTTTTTTCTGAATCACAGGTATAAAACCAAATGAAGTGATGTCCATCTGGCAGGTTGAAAAAGAAAGGATTTATTTCCCGTAATTGATTTCGTGACTCAACTTAAGTCTTCTTGTTGTTTTACATACTTAAAAACTACTTCGTTATTTTCAAAATCAAGTACAGTTCACATGCCAATAATTCACAGTTTCCATTATCTCAAATATTTTCTGTAAATTGATGTTTAAGTATTTATCATAACTTCGCCAATATTTTGAAGTACTTTAATATAACTTCAGGTTAATCTATGCAGGGTAATGATACGGTTTATTGCCTACTTTGCAAAACCTTGACAATAGTTCTATCATTAGTGAGTAGATATACTTTTAAAACGTTCCTCAATTCTAAAACTAATTTTGATAACACTAACCGTATCTCATGCTTGTATGAAATATTTGATTCCGTTACGTCATGATTTTTATACAGAGCCCAGAAGTTGGACTTATCAGTCAAAATTCTTCTCTCAGCGATTATATTAATAAACTGACTTCACGTTTTGAGAAAATGTGGTTTGTTTAATAATGGAGTAAAAGTTTCACGAGATCTTGTTCATTATTTCTTGCACTAATTTGAGTTAAGAGCGATATTCCTTTCACATTGAGAGTCGAATATAAATGTTTTCTGTCGTACAATGGGTTCGCTTGAAAACATTCATACTGAAGAGTTTGACAATTGTTTCATTTGAATACAGTCTTCGTTTTGCCGTTATAAAGAGTTAATCATACTGATCAGGTTAAGTCATCGACTACAGTGTGATCACAAATACAAATTAAACACAGCTAAAATGTCTTGAAAATGTTTCATATAGTTCAGTTAAGTCAATAATGTTTAGTCATCACTGTCACTTAGATTTCCACGCTTTCTATAGATAGCATTTAAAATAACAGGTAGGTAGAACATCATATTGACTATACTTGTCCGGATAAAAATTAACTTTATTTGAAAATTTACGAATGAATCTTATTCTATTTTGATCAGAAATTCGATAACTTAGTCAGTAGTCCAATGAAGCACTCATTATGAAGTAAGTTGCGATCCCTATTTTCTGCATATATTTCTGTAGCTGATATAAAGGATAAAAATTTAAGGTTTTGAATGACCATTAACAATGAATCGCATTAAGTTAGACTGAATTAACTTTTGTTGTACTTACTGCAGAACGTAGGTTGAGAAAAAAATAAAATAGCATGTTTCTAACTAGTGAGGTTAGATTGGATGCTTGACTTTTATATGCTTGTTAGCTTCTGAAAAAGAAATATTCAGGTAGAGTGTTTTCGCTCATTTCTCTACTATTAGTATTCTTTATCATAATAGAGAAGTTTGTAGAGACTTCTCACTTTCAGATTACACATGCAGACAAATAAGTTTTAGTTCGAAATCCTTTTGGCGTCAAGACAGGAAATTTCAAAAGCTATTATCCTGTGTTCGAAATCAATCACTTTCTAATGTTTTTAAACCTGCGATGAAGAACACAACAGTCTGTCAAGCCTTAACCGTTGAAGAACGTGGGATAATAAACGATTTAGACAAGTTTCAGATATGCTTACGTATATGCTTCGTTGCCAGAGATTACAAGGGAAACGTCACTTACTCAGCATGTGGTCCTGATATTTAAAATACTTTATGATTTCTTTATAGTATCCGTACGTATCGATTTAGCTGAAATGACAAAGACATATAATCCTTCCGCGTACATGAGTTTGGCTTAAAAATTTTAAAAAATAATGTCTACAAATTGAGCTAAACTTAAATCTGTATTGTTTGTTTTTTATCGCAACAGTGCCAGCGAAATTCACTGTGCAAACTATTCACCAGGTATGACATGATTGTACCTGTGAGGTTTATGCTTCTTTTTATGTGCGTTTATTGAGGTATATTCTCTACTCTCAGTAATTTCAACAAGCTTGCTACAACGACTACTTTTAGGTCAGTAAATGCATCCGGAGAAAATTTTAATTCATTCAACTTTAAGCGATTTAATTGAAATACTGCACACCTACTGAAACCGGTTTATCTAAACAAATGATTCATTCTAATATTGTCTCAAGTCTCTTTATCATTACTCTTTTTTGACATATTATCTTGATATAAGCCAGCGAAATCAATCTCTTAATATAGAAACAATTTATGGTTATTAAAAGACCGACTCCGTCTGGAGTTCTTCTAGGAATACTGATGGTAGAAAACGAACTTTCTAAAAATAACTCTAACCAGAACAAATGACTCAAACCGTTTAAACTCTGCCCTAGCAGTTGGAAGGTCTTTATTTAGAAGAGTTATGACGCCTCATGATGGAAGCCACATTTCTCTCGAAGTCACTAGACCGATTCCCCCTTCTGATAACCAGAACGCCCATCAATATGGGCATATGTAGTGTTTGCACAAAGTAGGATATCGGAAGAACCATTCAAGTTGCTGAAGAAATAGGAAGATACAACGTGATGCTGCTTAGATTAAGTGAAGTTAATTGGACTCAGGCTAGACTAAAAAGATTGGCTTCTGCAGAGGTACTGCTGTACTCGAGCCATCAAGAAGGCGCCTAAATCACAGAGTTGAAGTGATACTATTCGAAGAAGCCCGAAATGCGCTGTTGTGATGGCATCTTACAGACCCAGGATCATCAAAGCATCCTTCAAGACAAAGAAGGCGGGGATTACTATGAATGTTACTTACTGATATGTGCCCAGCAACAATAACGATGGATATGACAAAAATCGAATTGGCGAAGGGCTACAGTCTATAGTCGAGAAGTGCCAAGAACCAGACAATTTTGATAAGAAGTCAAGGCTGGAATGGTGGGCAACATTGGATGTGAAAACATCATGGGAAGACATGGATTGGGAGAAAGGAACAAAAACGGTGAGAGGTTCGTAAGTTTACGCACATTCAACAAAATGGTTATAGATATCACCGTATTTCTACACAAATGAATACACAAAACTACATGGGTTTTGTTAGATCACATTATGAAGAACCAAATCGATGACACCTGCATCAATAAAGTTTGGGAAGGGTAATGGAAGACGGAAGAATAGGGAGTGGTGTTGACCTGATTTTGAATTACCTCTTGGCAATGGCCATGATGAAACTGAAAATAAAGAAGCACTGGACAACGCAGAATACGGCACTCACAGGTATAATACGACTTTTCTTAGAAATTAATGAGTTTGAAGGTCTGAATATGAGAATTGGAATTGTTTCTTTGAATTAAATTGAGCACTGGATAGAAAGTTAATAATAATTATATAATTATGACTTTTTGGTGATATCCCAATGAGTAGAAACATGAATTTTTGACATCGGTTTGAAGAAGTGACCTGCATTAAGTCACCGATTTCAGAAATACAAATTTCTGTTAATTGAGATATTCTCAAAAATTATGACAATTTTATGATTATTAAAGTTCTTCGAAATACTGACAAACTCAACGAATTCAGGAGAATTCTCAGCAATACGTCCTGAGTCTAGCACGATCCACTGAGAGGAGAGGAAACTTCTTGGAGCTGAAACATGTGACAACTATGAGATAGAGGGAACAAACTCGGTGGAAAGTATGGTAAACCAGAACGACCACTGAAGTGCAGAGGGCAAACCAATAACCCAGATCGGAGAACAGCGAATCACTTGTGAAGAGCAGTTTGAAGAACCTTTTGAATAGACCAGTCCGACAGAACCCACTGATCATCTAAGCAGCACCTACGGACGTTCCGGTTGATGTTGACCCACTAACAGTGGACAGCTCAGATGCAGCTAGATGATTCAGAATCTTCAGATGATCTAGCTTTTATATCCCCTACTGTGCAGGAAATCAAGGAGAAGACAACCAACCAGTGTAGCAGCAGCCTATGTAGAAGTAGGTCTCAGCATACACAAGGGAAAAGGCAAGATCCTCAGATACAGCACAGTATGCACCAACCAAACCAAACTTGACAGGGAAGCTTTGGGAGTTGTCGAAAACTCTACATACCTGGACAAAATCATTGATTAACAAAATAGATCTGATGCGGATGCGATGACACAGATTAGAAAATTAAGGGAAGCATTTCTATAATTGAAGAGCAGATGAAACTCAAAACAGCTGTCGGAGAACAGCAGGCTCAGAATTTTCAACACAAACATAAAAAAAAATTCGATTGTATGAAGCTGAAACTTGGAGAACTGAGAAAGCCGTCACCCAAACAACAGAGGTGCTTATTAGCAGTTGCCTACCCAAAATATTGTCGATCACTTGGCCAGATGCCATCAGCAACAACCAACTGTGGGATAGGACAATCTGGATCCCATCAGACGAAAAAATTAGGAAGACACGCCGGGAGTGGATAGGATACACCTTTTGGAAACCTCAAAACTATGTCACAAGGTAAGCTCCTACTTCGAATCTTCAAAATCATAGGAAGAGGGGTAAAACCACAGACAGATTGGGCCCAGAATCATAAACGGATATGAAAAGAATAAATAGCAATCGAGAAGAATTGGAATGTGGAGCCCAGTACAGAGTTGGTCAAAGAATGCTGGTGAATGACCTATACCCTTCTAGGCTAACGGGCATAAATAAATAAGCAGTGAAAGATCATTCTAGGATTTTGGGTTATGCCTTATCCTAATTTGTTTATCATTCATAACTTGGTGATTGTTTCAAGGGTTTATCGGTATAAAAGCATTAATATTTTTTTCCTTTTATTTTATGTCCAAAAAAGCTTCCAAGCCAAAAGATCCAACAGATCGCTATGTTCACGACTTGGCTTCACTTCAGTTATTCATCTATTTATACGCTCCAATTATTGAGAAACTTAAGCCAGCCGATTTCGATACTCTCAAGTTAGAGGCAGGTTTACGCTTGTGGATTCCATTAATGGAACATTGTCAACCAAATCGAGGGACATTATCATCACCTGTGAAAGTTTTTACTCATGATTCAAATATACAACCTCGATCAGTGATGGTTAATATAGATGGAATAGATATTCCTAGAACCTCATCCGTTTCAATTAATGATTCAAAGAGAAAATCTATGAGTGAGGAAGCTTCTAAAGAAAAATCTTCGAACGTTTTTACTGGTAATATATCGGATAAAGTTTCTGAAATCATTCATAAATTACCATCAGCTGTTAAACCATTCGAAGTTTTAGTTGACAGTGCTTCCATTCCACATGTTGAAGTAAATTCAGATGTAAGTTTTTGACTGTTCACCATAATTGTTCAGAATTCATTTTGAAATAAAATTACAATGTATTGTTTGTAAATAGATTGTTAAAATTTGGAGATTAAAGTGATTATAACTCTTACGAGCTTCAGTATCTCTTGTCTGCAAAGTTCTAAATATACCTAGTGTTCAACTCTGAGGCTGTCAGTCAAGATAAATATCTGTGAAATATTCCATTACAAATTTAGCATTATGCATTCAAACTAATTATCAGTTGCACTTTTACCTTAACGTTACGTCTAGAGTATTACTTCAACACAGACTTTATTTCAGCGTTGTTTGTAGAAACCATTTATTGATTGATGCTTTAGCACTAGCCAAAATTTTTTCCTTCATTGTAAACAGATCTCATTACAAATGAACCCAGAGTTTTTACTAAGAATTAAAGCTCATGCTATTAACAGTATTGTGTGTATAACATTGTGGATCATTAGATTACAGAAAATGCTCGGATAAATCTGATCATAGTCATAATCATTTGTGACCCAGTTGGTGAATCCATTATTAACTGACAAAGTAGTGAAAACATTTTCTCTTCGTTTAATGATGCTTAATTGAAATCTCATTTTGTTTTCGGTGTTTAATTCTTGTATTTATAGGTTAGTGCTATTCATAGGGTTTAAATATAACAGGCTAAAATTTTATTTCAGTTTGTTTATCTGCTTGTGTTGGCATCAATTTTACCAACTGCCATTTCACAAATATCGTGAACTAACCATTTCATTGGCCCGGTAACTGCCTCACATATATGTTGGAAAGCTAATTGTCATGGATCCCCACTAGAGTTCCTGAATTACCAATCATACACTGTTAATGGATCCCTGCAACGTTTCTATTTATTTAGACTGCCTCGCTTTTGCAGCATTAATCGATTTCCATATGCTCAGATGACCAAGGTCAGTGAATTGGCTAAAACATCTATGCTAGCCTTCTATGAAAATTTTCCGCAACAGAAATGTGGACGTTCCACTGTAGGATTTGAAAAGATCGAATCTCGGGAGTATCACTTCTTCCAGATGTTTTCAGCAAAATTTGTGGATAATTTGATTGTCCTTTCATTCTCTTCTTAGATTAGTCACTACATTAGACTGCCAAATCCAGTTATAACATCTGAGCTCGGTATACAATGTGGTACTGTCAACTTTCTAGTCTCCAAATTAAAATTTATATCTTTCGTTTGATGTTTCTGTAGACTTGCTGATCTTTGTCTCTGCCATATTCGTTGACTCATATGTAATTAGCGACCTCATATTCCATCTGGAAATGCTGCTAAAGTTGAATTTTCATAATCAGTCGTGATAGTTGTCATTTCTATTGATGAGTTCGTTCAGTGCTTTATTTTATCAATTAATTTTTTGCTACTATACAAGTGATTATCTGAAACATGATTGTGTTCTGTTGACTGATTTGTAATAGCTTCATATTTTGTATGATAGTAGCATCTGTATTCCATTGTAGGACGTTCCATACTCTTCCGAATCTGTTTGTTGTTAACCACTCATTTTTTCCTGAAGATTAAGCCACTGACAACCAAAAAGTCAGTTATACTGTAATTTTTTACATATAATTCCATTTGTGTGCAGCTGCTCAGATGGCTCTCGGAAGCGTCCAGAGGCTCTCAAGAAACCGAAGAGATCCCTTTGAATCACAGCTCGTTAAAATCCCCGAAATATAGACATGATATACGGTGGATGAAAATTGTGTAACATCGCTGTTTGAAGACTGGACGATTATAATTATGTTTTCAGTCTATAAGAAACACCATTCATGAAGACGATTTTTCGAAAATGGCCCACTAGGCTTTTTGGTAGCTAAGTGGGCCATCCATGAAGTAACTGACAGGTGAACTGAGTCATGTTGGTAGTTGCGGACTACCTGGTTGGGCTCTGCAAGACGAAAGTAACCGATGTTTGGAGGCCTCGAATGACATGGCTCAGAATCGTTTGTAGTGGCGCAGGGCCATCTACTCTTTGTGTTCTCTCAAATCCTAACCTTCTGAATTGCTCATCACCTCCATCTTTCTCTTTCTAAATTTATCTCACTGAATTATACTTCTTGAATCACATCTTCGAACCCTAATCTTGTCCAGTACCGCTAATACCTCCACTATCTCTACCACTATGGGATTTGAGCTGAAAATTGCGTCTCTGTGCTAATTTGGTGCGGCAACCTGAAGTGATGTATGCACGTACGAAATTTTACGTTGTAACTGACTGGCTGACTGAGACAAGGTTTTCCTGTACATTTCAACACTTTCTAGAGCAAAGGCTTGTTTTCTCCTTGTTTTTTGATCTACTACAGTCTGGGGGGAGGGGCACCAAAGGTTATGTTCCATATTAGTAGAATTAACAGAATACCCTCATTTTTTGAGCGTGCTCATATTGAGGTAGACGATTCTAACAGAGACTCCTTTCACCACTGAGTACGATATATTTAGGATACATACTAGGCACGCTATCATTAATCCGTCGACTAGAAAAACAATATTCAGTAATAAGTAAGTGATAAATCGCCTATCCTATTCGACAAGTATCAAACAAGGAAATGCTCTTTAGGTTGATAAGTGTCTTGCGAATCAACACATATTTAACTTGCTTATGACAGTTTCTAACTGTAATTTAATACAGTTCAAAAGAGATATTTTTAGTGGAAATATTTTGTAGCATGTTACCTCTACTACAAATGCCATCGTAGTTATAAATTTCATTCGTGGAACTATCTTTAATTCCATTTTCCATTATTTTTTTTTCGGAGTAAACTGTTTCTCTTACATAAAGAAATGTCACTGTACTTGCCAATTACGTCCTAATATTCGCTATTCGGCTTCACACGCATAAAAATTCTTCAGTATCAATTGTTTGATAATAAAACAGATGGCGTAAATGATAGGCTGTAAGGTGTCGATTCAATATCAAATAGAAGTCATGATATATAGCAGGCTCATTAAAAAGTTTTTAAATCCAAATCTGCATAACATAAAACAATCGAAAGATACAATTGGCATATGATTTTAAAGAGTTCGACCGGAATAAAGATTACCTTATTGTTTTCATCTTGTTTCTACTACCAGTTACCATATGAGATATGACGTTGGTCAATAAACCAAATAGTCGATTTTTATGTCATCCTATTCTATTTGAAACCAAACATAAAAATAGATGATTCAGTTATAAACTCATTTCATGAAGTGCTAAAATAGATACATCCTCAATTGAAAATCACATATCCACTGTTGAAAATCCGGAAAAGTTAAGATATAGCATCCTGTTATTTGTAACAGAACACTTTGCAGAAGATACTCAACTTTATCCTAACCAGTTCGTATTTGTTAACCATCAATCTAGGAGGAAATGAGAGTTAGAAAATTGTTGAGTGGTTACTTTTCAACATAATCTTTTGATGCATGCATTTTAGGAACTTCATTATTAGTGCAATGCCAATTACTAGTAGGTTAGTTGATAATTTTCTATTCTGACTTTACGCATCAACAGGGATTCTTAACAATGAATTCAACTAAACCATCTAGCTCAAAAAACGAAACTCCATTATAAGGCACTCCTAACATTCTATACACACATAGTATAGCAAAAATATATTTTAGATTATTTTTACTCGTTTAAGAATAATTATTGAAATCCTGTAAAGTTTACTAAAAAAATATTCAGTTTATTTCAGTTCAGTAAAAATTTTAAATTAAAATGACTGAGTAGGATTAAAAAAATACCTGCAAGTCATCAATTTTGAATACAAATCGAACTGACATTCATTAAAATTGAAAGGCTTATGTGCTCAACATAAAAATAATTTCACTGACTTCATCTTCGGCTGAAAGCTTTTTGATGTATCCCAGGATTTATATTTGTTGATAAAAGTTGCTTGATTTTTCAAGTATAATTGTGTCTTTGTCTACCCTATAGATTAAATTTGACAAAAATTTGTTATTTTGGCAGCATCAGATTTCACACATGTACATTATCTAGAAAATTTGAATATGTTCTATGGATGAATGGTGTAAAAGGAAGCATTACCATATGAGTTAAAAATTCCACGGTTAATACAAACACTTTGAAATATTTATTCTTGATATAATTCTCTTCACATTGATTGGTACCAAAGCATACTTACATCTGTTAAGTTTCAATCCCATAATAAAATTAGTTAAAACTCATTAGTTAAGTATGCTACTCTCAAGCCTTACATAATTTTGTAATATTCATTAGTATACTGTTTAACAGTCTAGTGAACGTTCATCCTTCCTATTTCAAAGTATGCTTGAAATGTTGAGGAGAGAGGGAATTGAATCAACACCCCAAGGCACGGCACTCAGACAGTTGACTATTACCAAAAATCTAGATTCTGGATTACTTTCGTCCAACCTCTCAACATCAAGAAATTCATCGTCGAGTTACTTAAACTAGTAATGTCGTTGAAATCCGGTCGAGTTTCATTGGTACTCAGGACTAAACGAATGTGACATTATGTCTAATCAGTAACCTATCAATGTATCTCTGGTAATTAAATTTCCGTGATCGTTTTACATTCTGTCTTTTGAAATCAGTATACAACACAATTAATTTATTTGTATAAAAATTTATATTTTACATAGGATTCAGTAAGCAGCTCAGTAAATATTCCAAATAACTGCCAAAATTCCCTGGCTCATTCACATAACGCAACTGAGCATATTTTACATCTACAACCTCCTAAAGCTACACCTGAATGTTTAGAAGATGAGGAAGAACTCAGCGAAAAATCTATTTCAGGCACTGCAGACACCGAAACGACGACTATTATGACGGCTGCTGCATGTATGTCTCCACCGAAGCAAGTAAGTGTTATACAATATTAGTTACATATTATCACTTTATTAGAGGATATAGTTTACCCTGAAATAATTACTATTATTCAATGGAATATTAATCACAGAAGCTTGATGATCTCACTCGATTATTTGTGAAATGCACTGGTACCAGTCAATCATGATATAGACGACTAACCATCGAAACTTTAACTTATTACTTTTTTAACGTAGATCTAACCATGATCCTTGAGTGATATAAGCACTTTCATGTACATGTGGTTTCGATGCACAATTCAGCAGAGTTTATCTATTCCAACCTTTGAGTGAAGTGACATAAGAAGGTCGATAGGCTGAATATCTTGAAGCAGGAGAACATAAACCTTTAAATTATAGGTATTGAAATAGATCTCCTACGAATTTTGATGGTGACTAGAAAATGTCATTCGTAATCCTCTTCATTACTGTACTTTCCAAATGTAAGCACCTGTTGGTGAGATTCATTTTCATCCAAATAACTCATAAAGAAAGAATACGTTTCCATACATAGTTTCCGTTCTCATCTTGAAGAGCTTAAAAACAAAAATAGTTGCAGAATTAATTTTATTTAATTAAGTTCTCATCAGAGACTTACCACCTCTAATGTTTTAAAATCAAAATTAGCAAAAAATTGACATACTTATAAATACGAAGGTGATTAGAGATAGGTATGTGTATCATGGTGTTGCAAAGTTTTCAATAAAGTGTGTTACGGATATATGAAATATGAGCGTAAAGGTGACAGAATATCAAACTAGTAATTAGAAAACAAAAAGTTAACAAACTTTAGATTGTTGTGTAATGCAGTAACCGAGATCAGATTAATGGCAGTAAAGAATAATGTGAAATTAAATATAGCAGGAACAACACATGTGAATAGTATTTGTCTGCGCGTCGCTACCTTCGTCAGTTTTACATATCAGTACGCTTATGTAAGTTACCCCAGCCAAAGCATGTCTGTCAATCCATCAGCTGTAACGTTGAACTTCGTACGTATGTACATCAGTTCGAGTTGCCATACCACACCAGCGCACAGAGATGGAATTGTCAGTTTAAATCCCGTAGCGGTTTAGGTCGTAGCAGTAATAACGGTAATTGAAAAGATTAGGGATCGAAGATTTGATTGAAGGAGTAAATCCTGATGAAGTAAATGTAGACAGAAAAAAGGTCGTCAGGAATTCAGAGGATTCGAATTTGAGAAAACACAAAGAGTGGATGCACCTGCGATTTTGAGCCATCTCATTCAAAGTCTCTAACCATCGGTTACAACCTTCTCGCGGACCACAACCAGATAGTCCACACTCATGAACATGGCTCAGTCCACTTTTCATTGACTGCATGAATTTGTGCCATGTTTTGGTTTGGCAACCTCTAGGCTTCTTCCAGCCTGCCCTTACATAATAAAACATCGCTCCTAGAGGTAGTTGGTGTTCAAGCATACGTTTCACATGCTCTAACCATCTCAACTGATGGAGATTCACTAGTTCGTCAACCAATTTTCCGCTCTTAACTAGGGCTCGTTTCCTATACTCAGCATTGCCCACTGGATGGTCCTAGAATACACGAGCAATGCTTTGAAGAGACCTATAATTGAATACTAGTAACCTACGAATGTCCTCTATTCCTACTGTCCATGTTACCGAAACACATACATTAGGAGAACACAACGGAGAGTATATGTTTGCATCAATGAGCATAGTTATCTAAGTTTGAGACTTGAACTGTCAACTTACCTTCAAATGTTTGATTGCTCGTGGATAGCTGAGATTTCTAAATCGTTCCAAATTATTGATCAACAAACATCTTCAAACTTATTATTAACCAACTAATCAAAAAAATATTTGTTGATTTTTGTGAAACGTGAAACGTTTTGGTAAAGAAAATAAGCATTTGGTAGTAAATTCATTTTTAACAAGATAATCAAGAATTTTCGTTAAAGAAATAATTATGTTAAACATAATGCTCGAGAAACCCATTCGGATGCAATAAAGTATGCTGACTCCCTAATTTTACTCTTATGAAGAAGAAATTTTCAATTTCTGCAGAGACACATTCTTTTAAAAATTGCCATCATGCATTCGTGTAAGATGAATAAATACACAAATCCAGATTAAAAACTTAAGGACCTAAAAGTAGTTTGGTTGATTCACAATTTTTCATTTTGTTTATTAACCAGGAACACGAACATATAACCCCGGGATTTCAACGCATTCAAAAATTTTTGAATTCATTCACGGATCCATATAAACAATTATCTGAAAACTTAAAATATTCTACAGTTGACAGCGAATTCACTCAACGGGAAGTCGGAACTCATATATTTTTTGCTACACATTGCGATCTGGCTGTAATACGTTGCTTATACTGTCCTGAATGGTGTGAATCTGGTATCTATTGGTCACTATGTTATTTGTTCAATCGTTTATTGCAAATACGCTCAGAGTGGATTAAAATCAAACCAAATAACCGTAAATTATTAAGGTTACGCAAAGGGAATCTTCTGCCTGAATATTTATTCAAATGGACACCAGGACTCTGGTCAGCAGCATCATCACAACAAGAGAGGGTTAATCATATCACCGGAGAAATGATAAAGGCTATTCGAAGCTTATCATTACCTAATATATCATCGAGGTGCATGTCAGGTGTTTTACACTATAATCCGGATGAACAATTCAACAGAGAATGTGGACAAGACAGTAAAAATAGTAAATTTAGAAAATTTTTTTTCATAGGTTTGCTTTTAGAATGACTGTCACTTGCGTGATATGTTGAAGTCTAGATGATAACACTATAAATTACTAGGTATAGAATAGATATTATCTCAGATAACATCAAGAATTCAATAATATGTTTATAACATTCACCTCACTGGACTACATATACAAACGTGGCCATAATAGATAAAATTTATGTATTCCGAAAAATAAATGTGTTCTCATTGCTGTACTATTTATTAGTTGTGACTATTGTAATCTTTGTTCATCTTTATGAATGAAAATTGACCTGTGTTTAAAACAATTATAATATTCCGATATTTTTAGTACCTTCTATCCCAAGTCTATTTAAGGAGAAAATCTCACTTCTGATAGGGCCTTTCCCCTTTCGTATGTTTTTCTTATCATGACTAAAGCACGGGTGGAGAATCTGTAAAACTAACAAGAAATAAGTAGATACATCATACTTTATTATTTATTTCCCCTGAAACCCATGTGCGACTTTTTAGTGAAATTCAGTGTTTTAGGTGTTGTTTAGTTATGACAATTGAAACTGTTTTGTTGAAACAGTTAGTTGCATGGATGCTATTTATAACATATGAACCAACTGTGAAATTGTTGGTGACTAAACTGCAGCTCACCCTGAAAACTTATTGTTTATAGTTTTATCGTTCAGAAGTAAAATTAGCTTCATAACAAATATTAAATTTAACTGATTTGTATGGAAATTTTCCAATGGCCGACAATTATTTATTATTCCCTAAAACTGAAGTTAGACGAACTTCATTTAGTCAATAGTTCTCGAAATGATATTTCATGCCAAAGGTTGGACTGTACTTTCCAAAAGATTCTCATTTATTATTTTAATGAAAGAATTCAATAATCTTACATTCTTTGCTAAATTTATACTTTATGTAACTGTCGACCTGGCTGCTTACATAACAATGTTTGAACGTACATTGTGAATACATTTTTGGGTAAAAGTATTTCCGTCTCAGCAACTATGTTGTTATAAATATCAAAATATAGGTGATATGGTACAAAATAAACAATAAACAGATTTTAGCAAGTCGATTAAAATTTTAATTTCATTTCGTCTATCAAATAAGGTTCCTATTCAAGATGATGACATTACGAAGTCAGATTCTGTAATAAGCCTTTTTAACGTTAAATTATTGTAAACTATTGTCTTTTTCTAATCGCAGATGACTTGAGTGAACACAAGTATATGGAACAACAGGAAGAACTCTGTGAAACTCAGTCGAACAGTACCAGTATCAATATCCCACCGCTTTCTGGAAATACTAGTACCCCTTTCAACAAATATCCTATTATACCAAGTCATTTGGATGAATCGTTAAATCGAAAAAGTATATCTTGCATAGTTGGATCATCCGCATCTATATTGAATATGGACAAGTCTGAATCTAACCTTGTAAAGTTACAGTACTCAAAAGATAAAGAGCAACAACAGCGAAAGCCTCAACAAATTAATACTAGTCCCGTACTGACTGATATTGGCCTCAGTGATTCCTCGTTTACTCTTCCTCTTCCTATTGTTAGTTTCGGAGGTCAACACTCTCAGAACATTCAGCAGCAACCTGCATGGAGAGGTTCCAAACGTTCAAGAATTACTGATATTAAGGTGATTTAGTTACTAATTAATCTTTATTCAAAATTTCTGTTGAAGCTTTCAGTTGATTGTATTCTTCCACTTTTTTTTTGCACAAAGATTGAGTGAACTACATGGATACTAAGGTAATCAGATATCTCTTTTAGAGATTGGGCGAGTTCTCTACATGAATATTTATTATATTTCCTAGGACATTGAAACATTTCATTCTTCCATACTGCTACATAAATGCTAACATAACAGGAATACTGAGTACTAATGAAAGTCTGGGGTTTCCACGCACACTCCATCTCACAAACCTAAGCCTTAGAAAGCATTTGGAAAATTTTTTCTAGAATTTCATTGCTTACCTACGACTCGGCATTTAATGAAACCTAGGTATATTAAACATCTGATGTGTAGATTTATAAAAATGTTTTATATGATCTTCTTGTTGATATTAAGTCGAAAATAAAGAGTAAGCACTGTAAAATGACTGCTTGTTTCAGGCACTTCGGGGTATCCTCTTGTTAACTTCAAAGTTAAAATCTCACTGGATTACCTACCTACCTGGTTTCCTAAAAACCGATAAATTAGCAAATAGATGTTCAGTAGACCAATGTATGTGTATATAAATATATTACACAAAAAATGGTGAATTAAATTTTATCATCAATACTTTAGGAACGGTTTACTCGGGCATCAAAGTTCAAATCTGGGGATGCAAGTTTGAAATTTCAAACCTTATCTTCAATTGAAACATCAGGCATGCCCAACACAAATACGCTGATCGGTATGTTTTTACATTCTTATAATAGTGATGAGTAAAGCCATTTAAAAATGTTTTATTTTTGAATCTGAAGAAACTTATTAATTTGTGGAGGTTTTGTTTTAATCATTCCTCTAAGTAAATATAATAGGGTAGCTATAGGCTACTCAACTAAACCTATATCATGTTCACTTCATGAAATCCTAATAATCTATAACAACTGTATGAAATGCATAATCGGTAAACTTAAGAAATATCTTCAGTTATTAGCATTCATGATGCACTGTTTTCGGTTTTTACAAATATGATAAAATGTTTAAAAATTTTCTCCCATGGACCACAATTGTTGAGTAGTCTATGAAAATGAGAAGAAAGTGAACGGCTGCTTTATTGAGCTATATTACTGTGCATTACATTGAACTAATGATTTTCTGCACAATTCACCACCATTTATCCAGATTTTTCATTGAAATTAATTTTTATATGAGTAGGCAAAGCGATCAAATATTTGATTCCAATCATGAACACATCACTTTCTCATAGTATTTGTCGTTATTGGCCATTATTTTTAATCCATCCTCTTTCAATGTATATCTGTTATATCCCATTTATTTAAATGGGTGCTTCCCGTACAATCATGCACATAGAGATTTCTTTAGAAAGACTAATACCCCCGGTAATTTTGGTGTAATGCAGTTTAAATTGAAGATTGATGAACTACAAAAGCAAGACTAAGACAGTTCGGCTCACTCCAAACGCATGTTCTTACAAAAATCGAATAAGCGCTTACCATTTTTTAACGGTTTTTGGTCAGAGGTAGTACAGTCCAAAGTTATAATTCACCAGGATCTTAAACAGCAATTAATATTCAAACCTACACATCGAAGTTTTCTTGACTGAAGCAGCTCATTAATGAAGTGTGTTTAGAGACTGATAAAGGTCACTATTTTTATGGGATTCGAACTAGCTCGGCTTAGTGTTAGATCAGATTAAGTAACTCTGAGTTCCGTCTGTAATGAATAGTTTATTGTAAACTGATCCTTTACGTTGACCAGCATGTCACATGCTTTTTATCATATAAAAATGAGTATTTCTATTAGTAAGGCTGAGCTTTACTGAGTTACAGATACAGTTTTAATTCTTTGCTCATAGGTTCATGTTAATTTCCTCTGTTACTGTAGAAAATGATCAGTCATCTGCAATGACTGGAGAAGGACATATGTTTTCTACACAGACAAAAAGATCGGTTCAATCGGGAGAAAAACTACGACTACCGCCGAATGAAAAACCGTTTCAACGCTCCGACACAACAAGTATTGATTCTGAAGCTAATAAACTTGATCCAATTATTTTGAACAATTCTTCTTCCCTTAATAACGAAACTAAACTTGGTTTGCAGCCCTGTACACCTTCAATCGCAGTGACTATTAAATCAGTGGATAACATGGATGTAATTTCGACTGATGAACAGTTATCTACTAGAGCACTTCCTCGCAGTCTTACCGATTCAGATATAATATATCACAGCTCCGAAAAGGTAATTTTTAATTTTGATTTTCAGCCTAATTTCATAAATGTAAATGATTTTGACAATCGATAAAAAGCTGAAGTCAAATTCAAACAAAAATCGGCTTGCACCAATAACTGGTGAACTTAACTTCTGATAGAAATATTTTTATTACAAATTTGCTGATAATACTGCATATACGGATGTGGAATTATCAATTACCAGAATTTCACTAGAACTACTACAAAGTGCTATTCTGGTTTTCGATTATCACTTGCTATTAGATAAATTTACTTTTACATTCAGACCATTTCCCATCTTATGTAGATGTTTTCGTGCTTTCATAGGCAAAATCATGAAGACATGTATTGAAATAAGCAATTAATACAAGCACTCAGCCACATATTGATGGTAGATAAAGAAAATATTTGAAATGTTTTCAGAGTTAATTTTCTAAGGTAGATATATCTGAAAACTTTCGATGTTATGGAAAAACAACTTGTTTGCAAATATTACTCATTAAACAAAAAGTAAACGTTAATATGAACGATTCTCTACTTGTGAATAAAAGGTTGAAGTCTTGATAGGGTTAAAATGAACTTCGAAAGATATATGTGATTTAAAGAACGTGAACTATGATCTTATTAATTTGTTTTTGAGATTCTACAAAAATAGATAACTGAACTTATGAATCAATAACTAAATGAACTTGTTTTGATCATTTTAAAATCCACATTCTTTTTTTGAGATTTCATCAATAGTTTAATGACTCTTAAGCATCTAGTTATTCAAATGTTATCCATTTACAGGTCGATGAAGTCCCAGGGGCTGCATACTACATTACACCAAACGGACATTTGGATTATTCTGTTCTTTTAAGATGCCTTTATTGGTGTAGCACTGTGCATACATCAAGTCGTGTTTGTTTTCACTTGGTTAGCTGTTTGAGTGCGTTATTTGATTTGGGAATCTTTGAAGTGAAGCCCAACACCAGCTCGCTAAAAAATGTTTCTTTTAAAAAGCCCTCTCAACTCAGGCGATTTCGAAGAAAAAATCATTATGAGAGAAGTAAATGTTCGAAAGCCTCTAAGACATCTATACTCAATAAACTTGTAGCACGAGAAAGCCACAATACCTCAAATTTAAGCAATCAAAGTGGATTTGACAGCTCAATTTTACATCCCAGCAGCAGAATGAAACGACATGATTCAAGTGTAGGATTTTCTTCCTCAAACTTAAGTTCCTCCAAAATGTCTGTTGGAATTTGCAGCGAGTCTTGTGGAAGTGAAAATGGGGATATTGGGGATGTCGATGTAGAAGCAAAGAGACAACTTCCAAATAGAGTTGATAATGAATCACTTATTAGTGAGGACGGTCTTATGGCTTCCTCTAGTACAAAAAATGTCAGCCCACTTGGGAGTCCTCAATCATCTATAGATCTCGAAAGAAATCCTTGTTCAACTCCACGTCGAATAGTATCACCTGGAAATATTCAAACCAGACTGCATAATAACGAAAAACTGGTAACTAAAAGTGAACATCAACCGAAGCCTCGTGTTGAACAGAGACAAGTAGTTGGCTGTGATATCTCCAACCATTTGGTCCGTACGAATTTCGCTATTGCAGCCGAAATGTTGATAAGGTAAACCTAATGCATTTATCACACTGCACAGTTTAAACTTTCTGATCAGAAGCAACGGACTCACTTTTCAAATAATTAAGCACATATGCCAGTTGAAAACACTGTTGATGAAGTTATTAAGGTCTTCTTTAAGCCTGTTAGCGTTTATCTTTGAATGTACAAATAACAAATTTGATAAATTTGAAATTCACAGATTCATCTTAACGACGAGTACTAGGATGTGTGGGACAAGCAGTCAGTGTAAGAATTAATGTTTACTATTTCAACAAAAAGTTTTTTTTTGTAGTCAGCTGTTTACTACTCCAGTTTTGAAATATGTTCATTAAAAGGAAATTAAATATTTCTGGTAAATTAAACCTAATTATAGTCCTTCAGAATGAAGAAAATTATCTTGATACATTGATAAGAACGGATAAAAATTGATCATCTTCGTTTATTCATTTACAATGCAGTCAAGATATCAGTGTTTTATGCATTTGGCATAGATTTTTATATGGTTTAGCCGTGCAAATAACCATTGAAGTCATTAACCATCGATAATAAGGTTTATTTCTTATTCGTATACTACTTGTGGAAGTCCCATCACCGAATAATAATGTTTAGCTTTTTTTGTATTATTGACGCTCTTTTATTTGACTGTTTTCCAGTATGTGGACTGAACTTCCATGTAATTTTTCTGTACTTTAGAATTATTCGTTCAGTCGGATGTAGACATGGGCACAGTAATTCATCGAGTTTCACGAATCATCACCAGCAACAGCAGTTCTGTCAGCCTCAAAATAGTTTTGAACATTTACAAAATCAAAAAGATCTGCCAGAAAAACCTTTAGATCAAAACATGCACTTTCGATCACTTACACACGATTGCCTTATTTATTTACATGAATTAAATCCGAATTTGTTCAAGCGTGTAATTATAAGAATTGTATCTTCAAGTACTGTTGCCGATTTAGTTGAAATACTTCATTCATTCACCGGGTTTTGTTTAGATCCAGTAACACGTAATTATGAACGTTCAGGTAAATCGCTTTGTTCCCGGTGATCTTTCATTACATCAAATTACTTATTTAAAGTTTTTGCTGAAAAAACCAGGTATTCTCCTTTTTGATGATTAAATAACGGGTTCAGATTCAAAATACCAATGTGTTCTATGAAAACTGTACGTTTTTATTTATTGCTATTTAAGAAAAGATATTTCATACCGTTGGTTCGCTTTACGGATCTAAATAAAGCCAAAACAACAATTGAGGCAGAATAACAGGAATTCACAACACTTTGTAGTTTCTCATCAGCTGCTGCCGTCCATATATAAAATTATCCCACTCGTGTTCATATTTGTTTCACTACTAAATTTATGGTTGTAGGCAGTTGATTAGAAACCAAGAACTATCATGAATCCACATTATTCTGACCTATTTCAATAAACAATACAGAAAACCAAGACAAATGAAAGTTCTTTTTTGTCATAAACACCTTAGTGGGCAGTCACTAGCATCGTACAACAGACGATAAATTTAGCCATTTGACAAAATTGTTTACATACCCTTATTTTCCAGTAAAGCGCTGATTAATCCACCTGCACAATCACAGTAGACAGAAATAAATTATATTAGCTATGAATAGCACACAGACCCTTAATAGAAAAAACACAGTATAGAGGTACATTTTAAACCAATGTTCTCATACCTCAGACCTAATTTTTGGATAGAGAGATGATCTGAGGTGTTAAAATTTTTTCTCAGGTTTGACCATGTGTTGTTGATATTTATATGGACATAATTTGATCAGACAATCTCGGTTAAATGTCATTTTGTCATAAAATATGCTTCATATAACTGTCGTTAAAGACGTTTTTTACTTTATTATTTTACTTTTACTTACGCCTGTTACCCCCAATGCAGCATAGGTCGCCGACCAGTATTCTGCAACCGACTCAGTCCTGAGCTTCAGCTCTGTCCAATTTTTGTTCATTCTTCTTACGTCTTTCTTTATTTCTCAGCGTAATGTGTTTGTTGGCCTTCTTTTTTTCTTTTAACCTTGAGGGTTTCAAGGGATGGCTTGTCATGCGACGCATTTTGGTGCTTTTCACAGTGTGTGACCTAACCACTTCCAGCACTTCTTCCTGATTTCCTTCTCGGCTGGGATTTGGTTTGTTCTCTCCTATAGTAGGATGTTGCTGGAGGTGTCTAGCCAACAGGTCCCAAGTATTTTGTGGAGACAACTATTAATGAACACTTGTATCTTCTGGATGATTACGTTTGTAGTTCTCCAAGTTTCCGCTCCATACAGTAGAATGGTCTTGGTATTGAAAGAAGAGTGATGCCTCTGTAGTTCTCACACTTGCTGAGATCGCCTTTCTTTGGTATTTTGATCAGGTATCCTTCTTTCCAATCTGATGGTACTTGTTCCTCATCCCAAATCTTCTTGAAGAGGTTGTGAAGTATTTTTTCAGTTGCTTCTACATCTGCTTTCATCGCCTCTGCTGGGATGTTGTCTGGTCCTGCTGCTTTGCCGCTCTTGATTTGTCTGATGGCCATATTGATCTCTTCAATTGTTGGTGGGCCGACATCAATTGGGAGGTCCGTAGATGCTGCTTCGATGTTGGGTGGGTTCAGTGGAGCTTGTCAATTCAAGAGTTCCTGAAAGTGCTCTACCCACCTATTTCACTGTTGTTCAGTGTTGCTGATTACTTTGTCTTCCTTGTTTTTCACTGGTCGTTCTGGTTTACGATAGCGGAAACTATCGTTGTTGTTTCGTACAATTGTCTCAAGTTTCCGTCTCTTGCAGCCTTTTCCGCCGTCATTGCTAGATCTTCCACATATTTTCGTTTGTCAGCTCTGATGCTCTTCTTCACTCTCCTGTTTCTTTCTGTGTATTCAGCTTGTGCCTTAACTTCTTCTACTTTCGTATGGCTGATATTGATTACTGCCTTCTTGTTTCTCCTTTCTTGAATTTTTTCAAGAGTACCAACAGAGATCAATTCCTTGTGATGGTACATCTTGTGGCCCAGAACCCCCTAACATGTTGAAGTGATTACCTGTTTTCTAGTTGTTCTTCATGGTAGATTCCTCTCCATTAAGTAGATAGTGCAAAGCCTGCAACCTATTTCTGAGGGCTATCTTAAAATCAGTTGGGCTTTCCAGTATCTCGAGGAAATGCTGTATTAAACTTCTTTGATATTTTCCTCCCTGTCGTACACTGCTTCTTGAGTTTCAGTTTCATTTTGGTGACCAGCAAGTGGTGATCTAAGTCTATATCAACTTTGTTCTTGGTTCCCACGTCCTCCATGTTCCTTCTGAACTTTTTACTGATACAGATATGGTCAATTTGGTTCTGAGTAGTGTGGTCCGGTGAAATCCATGTGGCTTTGTGAATGCGTTTGTGCGGGAATATTGTGCCACCAATGACCAGTTTGTTCAAGGCATATAGGTTTGCAAATCTCTCACCGTTTTCGTTCGTTTCTCCTAGTCCATGTCGTCCCATGATGTCTTCATATCCAGTGTTGTCCATTCCAACCTCGGCATTCAGGTCTCCCATAAGAATCGTCAAATCCTTTGGTGAGCATCTGTCAGTGATTGACTGCAACCTTTCGTAGAATTGATCTTTAACGTCGCCATTGTAGTCATTGGTAGGTGCATAACATTTAATGACGTTCACTGTCATGTCTTTCTTTGTTTTGAAGGATGATTTAATGATCCTCGGTCCATGAGATTCCCATCCTATCAGTGCCTTTTGTGCATGTTTGGACAGCATCAGTGCAACTCATTGTGTGTGTGAAGCATTTACCTCTTTCTGACCAGAGTATAACAGCAGTTCTGCTGAAGCTAGTCTCAGTTGTCCTACCTGTGATGCCGAGCACCTCGAGGTTGTATCTTTTCATCTCTGTAGCAGCTTGGAATAGTCGTCCAGTCTCCCACAATGTTCGAACGTTCCATGTACCTAAAAGAATTGTTGCTCTGTTTTTTGGAAGGGGCATCGGCCTCTTCCGAAGGAACTCCGCTTTCATCATGAGACGTCACAACTCTTCTGAAAGAAGACCTTCTAACTCTCAGGGCAGAGTTAAAATGGTTTGAATTATGTTTTGTGGTTAGCTTTTTCTTAGTTGGTTAGTTTTTTATGAGATGTGGTCGCTAACCCCAAGCCCAACCCTCCTCCTTTATTTGGACTTGGGATGGGCAATACTCTATGAGGAGCTCCAGGAAGAGTCAATGTTAAGCCGTTACCAAACAAATTAGTAAGTTCTGAAAAATGTGTTCATTTGCTAGTTGTTTTCACTACTTTTTACTTCACATATTCGCTTACAGATCAAAACAGGAAATCTTATTTAAATTATGGAAACAGTTTTGGACAAACTGATTTCGGTCAAGATACACGTGGAGCTGAAGGTTTAATTGTATCCTATTTATTTGGCCCATTTATCAGGCGCTTAGTTAGATGCAGACGTGAATTAAGCAGTCAAGAGAACGTTTCTCTCTTTTCTGACATACGACAATTATTTAGATATATTCGTGAAATTCATGGCAGTACATTTCGGAAAAACATGTTAGTTGCTTTATTGTGTCCAGTACAAAGAGTATGTGAAGTTTCTACTCCCAAACCTTCAACTATAATGCCGAGAATGTAAGTGCCCTAGCTTTTTCTTAGAAGTACACTCAAGTTAACTGTTGCGTTGGAAGGCTTAATTTGATACATACAATTGTCACCTTAATCCATTCATCTAAACTACTCAACATACTCAACAGTTAGTTTGCACTATCATTGGTCCTTATCCTTATTCTAAGCTTTTGTGGCTTATCAAGTAGGTGCTATGAAGATTATTTAGGTTTGTTCTCTGTGCGAAACCCAACGATAATTTTGAATCGAAAGACAATCATGAACGCGTAAGAAATCATTTTGCTATAGTCTAAAAATTCTCAATCTATTTCTCTATTTCACTTTGGATCTTTCAAGTTGTTCGCTAAAAATGTAGTTATTTATCTTTAACTTACAAGTGACAGGAACTAAAATAATCTTTTTCTCTTTAGCAATGTACATGAAGAATGATTGTTTTATTGTGTTTAATGCATACTATCTTTACAATTGTCCGTTTCCTAGTTTTCATATTTGTTTTTACTCAGTTTACAACATTCAAAGAAATTTCCATCAACATAAAATTCAGTTATTTGTATTCTAAAGTGTGAAAGACATGCGCCTTTTTTATCGACTATTGATTTTATAGATGTTCACTCACCTCTAAAGACCTGTTGACGGAACGTTATTAATTATACTTGTAGAGAAATTAGTATTTAAAACTGAAGAGGTGTTTTGTAAAACGACGTCTAGTTGGAAAAACTTTTCCAGGCTAACTTTCGTTAGAATTTTCGTCAGGTAATTTTTACAAGGAACAATGCTGATTGAATCAACGGTAAGGTTCAAGAGTCACAGGTACTGGATTATTAAAACTATATTGTTCATATAATCAATCAAATCTTCTGCTGCAATACACAAAACTAATCAGTCCAATCAATTAGAAAATTAAAATTTGTGAATAAATTTATGTTGGTCGCATTAATCATTAATCGGAACTATCTAAGGAGTTGTTGACACTTTATCCCTAATCGACAACTGATTATTCAGAGTCATTGTATCACTGTTGGTGGGATCTTATAATGATGCTTATGATTGATTCTACTTCTTGCCTTTGCCAAGTTCGGTCGTTCACCGATACTTAATTTTTAGTCAATTCATGAATTGAAAGCCACTTTTATGAGTTCAGCAAACTTTGAGAATGGGATTTAGTTTGCCCGAAACCTTTATACAATACTTACTATTTTTATTATTCTAATAATTTCTGTTTTGCTGCATTTGATAAAATTACTTAAACTCATTCTCATAGTTCGACTTGGAAATTTGCATTTTCTTTATAATCTCAGCTAATGAAAACATTCTTGTAGTTAGAAGCAAAAAGAATTTAACTAAAGAGTATTTGCTTTTTCATCATAAAAAGTGTTGAAAATATTATTGATAGAGCTTATTTCTTCATCACTAATAACTTGTCAACCTACTGGATGAATCAAGGAGATTTGTGGAGAATGTATTATTTTCATAATATTGTATATTTTTCATTATTAATCATGTGCTCCTTAGTGTTCAGCTTCAGGATGTATTCCCGGAGTTCTAATGTGAAGTGGTAACCACTGTAGTTCATTCTGTGTTGGGTAGGAAACAGCAATCCAACGCAGGCAGCGGATGAAAATTGCACGATACCATGAATTGATTGAAGTTAAACACTAACACCACTGGATTTTAAGATTAAGAGTTCCCGCCCGAAGACCGAAGGTCTTGGGTTCGATTCCAACGTTTAGTGGTTGTGTATGCTCATTACTGAGGAGTTCCATACCAGAAAGAAACGACCGTCCTATGTTTCCAGGTTTCTCATGATCGTCTAGCCAAGAGCATTTCATGATTTCAACTACGAAGACCTAATGAATTAATATTAGATTTTGTTGTAACGTATTATGACTAGGCTTTTTTGGAAATAGAGTTTAAAAATGTTCTTGAAAAGAGATTTGAATATGAATCGATAGGGGAAGATTAGGCTGAATGTAACCTTTACAGAGGCAGTTCTGGTCCTACGATTTGATCCTGACAACTTCCGTTGAGTCGTATTCTTTCATTCTCTAGCGAAGTAATAAAGGTCAAGAAAGATTCCTCTTTCTGATAAGTTCACTATTTAGCCCTTGAGAAATTACACTGAAACTTGTAGATAAACCTACCCCCTCAATAAATACAGATCAATGTTGGCAGGTACTGATGAATAAGTTTTTCTAAGCAAAGCCTATGTAACCACGCTTTCTATAGGTTTTAAATCGGTAGCTAATATGAAATGCACTATTTGCAATGAATAGCATTGACTAGTTCCAACCAAATTTTAATGGACATGATTCATTTTCTCCATTATTATAAAGCAATTATGGATCTGTAACTGTAGGAATCGAATATGTAATGATTCCGTGTGGAAAAATATTTCTTTCTTTATAGGTCTGCAAGAAACTCTATGTGGCTAGTACCTCGTTACGACAAAAGACGTTCGACTTTCAATGTGTTTACTGATCCTTTGGCAGAAACAGAAAGCTATTCAAGCGGTCATAGGGAAAATTCATGGCACCATTTGTTAAGTAGACCATCGACTATCGGAAGAAATGCGAGAATACATAGTAATGGAAGTTCATCAACGGTAGCAGCTTCATTCGAAAATGGTAACCTATTTATTTTATACCTATCCCTTAAATATTTCACTTAAGAATATCTAATCGCATAGGTTATACGTTTTATTTTATTTTCGGTATTTTGATCCTCATCAGAATTCATGACATCTGAGACATAGAAATTTAATCGTAAAATGCAAAGGCACAAAGTCTTGTAACCAGTAAATTCCATGCTCACTGAACATATTAACGGCTATCGGGCTCACTAGCTTTATGAATAATACAATGGCATTTGTAGCTGTTTATACTTAGTTTGAATCTTAGCGCGGTAGTGGTTAATATTTATGATTGATATGCTCAGGTGATAAACTCGGAACAAAGTAAAAGTCATTAAATTCAGTTACTACTACCTATAATAGTTACTTTATGAAGTTATATGTGCAGGCTTTATAGAGACATTTGTATGTGGAGCCCATATTTCAACAGGCAGCACTTAATTCACTACTGAAAGCTTACAACTATTAGATCTATTGTCTCGTAAATGGAGCTATTTTCGAATTAATGGTAAGTTCTTAGCAGTCGATTTCAAAGCTAGTGTTAAGACGGTCTATTCGACATCAACTTTGAGTGAATTTTTTTATCAACCAATTAATTTAAGATAAAATCGTTGTCAAAACACTCCTACACTACAGCATACAAATTCGTGGTATGAAGAAAATTTTACGAAACTTCATGTTTACAGATCGGGTAACTTTCAAATATTTTTAATTGTCAACATTTTGATATTATCACATCGCCGATAGTATTACGGAAACAAGCATAATTATGTTTATGCTGTCATAAAATTTATTACTAATAGTTTAATTATCCAAAACTTAGTTTTATTTGTCTATATCGTGTAAGTACTCATATTATCTTGACTGACAATTGCAAGGGTTTCTTGTTTAATAGGCCCAATAGTTAGTCAATACATGATAGGCTTTAAAATTGCTACACATAGTTCAGTACTAAAAATTGACGTTGACCAAACAGCTGTAAAGAGTAGCAGGGATGATGAGCGTTGGCATACATAAAAGTAATAAAGTATTTGCTTTGGTTTGATAATAGCGGCAGCTAGCCTTTTTTGATTAAGCAATCAACAGCTAGACATGATTTTGAAATGACTTATGCTTTCATCATGGCTCTATTACCGATTAAATAATGGCATGGAGTACTGTTAGCTTCTTTTTAAGAAGACCATTTTTAAATTACATTGGTTTATTAATTATCTATTATTGTTCGTTCAATTATATTTAAAATGGCTTGCAGATAATAGGAGGCGACGCTGTAGAAAAGACAAAAACAATGGATCATATGCATATTATACATTAAATTGCATAGAATGACAGATATAAACAACTGTTTGTGATAAAATCCCCAAAATATTGATTATTTTTTAGCATTACTCTGTAGCATTTTCATTTCGTTCTTTTCCTTAGCCTCGGTTTTGCCAGCTTTCTAATCTTCCAACTTCTAAATTTTGTTTCGCACACATACATGCACGTCAATTTATCCTATACAATATTTCAGTAACAGGGAGTAAAAAAAACCCAGCTAAAACAACAAAGATTAGGCTCGGATAGATAAAGAGAGCATAATAAGTAAATAAATAGTGAGTATTTATGTGTATGCAACTCTACATACCAACAACACACAAATGGAGATATTAAACGAATCATAGAATAGAGCAACTCATTTCGTTCTCAGTACTTTCTAGCAGAAGTAGATTTATAGCCGACCTTGAACGTTTTATTAACCAATCAGAAGACTGTTCTTAATTGTGAAGCAATCTACGGTAAGAAAAGGAGACTGCAATAGATAAACAGTTTTGATATGAATTCTCTTAAGATTCTACAGCCATATATCGAAATTAATGGTCCAAAAAATAATCACTTTAATGGCAAAATACTTAGTTTAAAATCAAAGCATGGGATTTTCTCATAATAAAATAAATTCTTAACAGACGTGAAGATTTTCAATTATGCATTTTATCAGTAGAATATTTCTCGGCTTACTCGGAACTCAAAAGGTTGAAACGGCTTAAGCTATCTTACATAATTTTGGTGTAGTGTACGTCAGTTGCATCAGAGATATGATAGCTAAGATTTTTGTAGGATGAGAGTTTTGATTCTGGTGTATTCGACCCATATGCATTCTGAATATTATATAGTTGATATTTAGTTTAGAATCATGTGACACATTTGAATTGTTCTGAATGTTTAAATATGGATTTGCCAGTCAAAAGATTGTATAATGACATAAATGATTTCACTCGTAGTTTCTCGAATCCTACGGGATTTTCTGAAGGTTTTTCTACGCAATTTAATCGTCCCATGACACATATCAAAGTTTTACTAGGAGACTAATAGTGAAGGTATCACGATTGATACAACCTAATCTGTTCGCAAATTTGTGTAAAAGTAAAGAGAATCTCTCCTTTTATTCGCGCTCAAGCATTTCAAACAGTATTGGTTGTTTTATTGGATGTTTTAATTCTGTATAGTTCTGGTGTAATGGACAAAGACTTTAAGACCAGATGAACTAGGTGATTTGTTTGAAGAATACACAGTCTACACACCGAATATGTACATTTCATCTTCAAACTTGTACCTGAAAAACAAGCATCATATTATGTGTCTTCTTTCACGTGTCTTCCAGTCTTCAGAACACTTCAGTCGAACAACACATTCGGATTTGACATTCTTCTCTTGAGCAGTAATTCCTAGACGGCACTGCGCTACATGTACAAAGCAGGAATAATTTTCGTTAAAGTAACTAGGTAGATTTCACCATGTTCATTACGTAACTGTAAAAAAACTAGTCACTTCTACCTTAAGAATCGTTCAAATTCTATCCTATCTAACATTTGGTATGATTATAATTTGATCTTTGAAGTATGCATGGAAGTTTAGAAACTGTTGTGGATGTTAATTTGTAAATTAATTTTATTGAATAATAATGTCTTGTTTATGTTTCATCAAATTTCTGATCAAACTTGTGTAAAAGCTTATCAATGTTCACAGTATATACGATGATGAGACTAGTGAACATAAAGTTGCACGTAAACTATGTCTGACCATCTCTAGTCTGAAACTGATTGATCATAGTTAACCCCCTAAAAATAGAGATGTTGTTGTTGTCATTTGCTCTGTATTATCGAAACTGTTAATACTTGATCCAAGAGTACTTTAACCACAACATAATTTGCGTACAAAAAATGCTGATATTTCTCCTATCTATTAGTTATAGCATATGGGTAATTTATTCCATTGTGATCATTGGCTCATAAGTCACCTCGATCGGTTTAGTATTTTACACAAATATTCATTTATATAAAGCCCGATAACGATCTAATTGGAAACAATATTGTTCGTCTACATATGTGTTTTCGAATTTTTACAATAAGAATCTTTGGTACTTTAATTCAGAATTGTTAAACAAAATAATGTAATAGCATATTCTGATCTCTTTCAGATAATCTTAGTCGATCTAAATCAGAATGTCCTGCAACCGATCAGTCAACAGGTCAGACAATAAGTGAACACCGGTGGGTTAATTTGTCAGCACTGAAAGAAGGTCTGTTCGATTTCGCTTTCCTTCTAGATTGTTGTGAACCTGGTTCAATACCAGAGCCACAACTAGTTGCAGCTCTATTTGACTTAGTAAGTAAAGTTTGGAGTGTTATTTCTCAAATGGGCATTCATTTAACAAATAGTATTTACTTTTGTGTGTTTATTTTTAAATGAGATTTAATAAATAATTGGGTCATCAGCTAACAGACACATACTGGGTTGCAATCTGCAGAAGGATGGAGAATGGAAGGAAAGACAGACAAAACAAAACACATCGATAAGGCAATGAACACAAGACCATTTATTGTCCAATCTTATTTTTTAGATCGATGGACTGACTAACCAATATAAATTATGTCAAGTCGTTATCTATGTCAGATTTTATTTTTACATGAACGTTAGCCTGGAATGGTACATGGAGTAGGTTTCGGTACATAATGAGTTTTTAATCCAAGATACTTATTTAGTGACTTACGATAGTATCTGTGAATGTGAAAACTTCAGTACTTGATAATTCTTGTGTTTATTATTTACTCAAGTCGTTTTATCGTTTTGACGAAATATTTGATCAACTAGGAATGCTGTTCTATCTTTAAAAACTGGAACCTGGGTTTTACTCTGGTCCTAATACCTCAGTAAAGCGTATATGCCAACTTCGAGGAATCGATCTTCGTCTAGTGTAATTTTCATCTAACAAATTCTCTTACAAATGTGGTAGTGTTTCGTTCTCTAAGCTGGTTGTTTTGGTTGTGGAGCTTTCATTGTTCTTGTGAACAACATCAGCACAAACTTCAGATAGAAGTGAAGCGTTCGAATTTCTCCACGTTTGACCTGTAGCTTGTTCTACTAATCTTGATCTTGATTGGTTGCTGTTGACCTTAAACCTGTTGTTGTTTGCACCTTTATTTTGATTGTATCCCCCTTTTGATCTGTTTCTTGATCCTGTCACCTATGATTTTCCTGATTGTTTGATAAGTTGAGTCCACAACCAAAACAACCAGCTCAGAGAACGAAACACCACCACAATCATCCACCTGAGCCACAAATTTTCTCCACCATCTCTCCTACAATTGCTTGACTAACGTTCACCGTTTATTTTTGTCAGAATACTTTTCAAGACTTGAATGTCATCGTTTATTGTCAACTGCTCATTCAAAATAAAATAATCTGTTATTTTGGATTTATAAATCAATTAAAGAGTATCAAGTTTTCTTGTTCTTCTTATTAAGGCGTTTAACGGCATTCTATTAATTTCCTTTGTCAACATTTTGGTGTAACAGCAAAGCCCGAAGGACAGATGCATAGGGCCGGTCACGCAAGATTTTTCTATCTACATTTTCGCTATGTTAGATCTGAAGTATGAAAGACCTAAATGTGGAAGTGAAGAACCCGCTGGGTGATGTGAAGTAAATATTTTCCAACTCCTTCCTTCCCTTGCATGAAGGGACCATCTCTGCAGATGCTGGTTGTCTGACGGAAACACCTTACTGATGTCAAACCCTATTGCATTCACCAATACTAATTCACCCTCGGACCTTGGGTTTTTGCTTTCAGTCTTAACGTTTTACCACCGACCTGCATGTTATAGTAGGACCTAAAGAAATGTGTATTCTAGCCAATATAGCTTTGTTGAGTTGCTTTTATTGGCAACCTTGGCCACCATGTAAATGTAGGTGGATACTTCGGTATAAACCAACTGGATTCTTGGATAGCAAGCCACTAGCTAAGATCAACGAGTGATTTCTTTTGGCCTAACTATGTTTGTACAGTCATAACAGATCTTTACCATTTTTTTCAGCAATTTATCTAGTGTTATTGGAAAATGTATTATTAGTGAATAATTTACTTTCTGTACATAAATATTAGCTACCCTCTCGAAGTAATAAATATGATTGGTGAGCAAATAATATTGAACTCACCGAATACCGGCCGCCGATGTTTACTATTTTAGTTATCTCAAGGCAGGTAGCATTCCGATTGTCAAAGTTGTGTATTTAATCTGTGTATATTTTAGAGCACTGTATGTAGTTTTATCTGGTTTTAAAACTATTGTGTTCCATATTTGTTCCAGATTAAGATTATTGTAATTAAAATGACTAAAAGAGCTGTATTTCAGCGTCAGCAGCCTTATTCAGTATCACGGCAACTTTGTTAGAACTGTCGCTGGAACTTTAGTCCATTTAATCTGTGATTGTGACCCAGTACTGGTTTTTGGGTGTACGATTCCAAGGAAACATTTCTGTAGAAAGAGTAATGTTAAGTTGCGAAATGATATAGAGACATTTTGAACTGTTAGTGACTCGATACTCGGGATCGAATATGGCTTTATATTAGTGAATTTCTGGTTCATAATGATGTATCATGGTAATATCACTACATTCATTATTGCTTCTAATCAATTCAAATAAAAAAAACTGGAAAAATGGGTTTTCTAGGAGTCTGCAACTTTCTGAAAGGCTAATTCATCCTGCTGGTAGCGTTATTTCATCAGTATTCTATCTAAAACATATGGTAAACTTGAAAAGGGTATACTCTTAAATCGGTTAATCACGGGTATTGTTCAGAAGAAAAACACTTTTCAACCAATCGGGATTTATTTACAAGCACTTCATTGAAACACACAATTGATGTTGTTACCTATTAGCTTAAATTCTTCTTCGATATTTGTTAAAAATAATCTCATTACTGAAGAAAGTATCTGGTGATAAGGATGCGAAATTCCGATCCATAACAATAACCTCCTTTCTTCTAAACAATAGAAAAACTATTGCTACTACCTCTTCAACCTGCATTAAAAAAGGAGATTGATCCGATCAATTTACTTACAGATACAAAAAAGTTTCTTCAGACCCGACTGTTGTTTTGCTTCCTCATTTAGTGTTCAGCTTGTGAAAGAGTATGAAGTATATTTTATGCTCATTCGTAGACTATACTACTGCTTTGGCATCTATTTCGTCAGCATTACTACTAGAAATTTTGGTCATCATGGTCTGCCATCTACAAAATACACTTCGTTAAGTATACCGATGATCTCGATATATGTACCTCGATTCCCTCTTCTGTAAACCCATTGAAATGAATGTGTTCGTTTTGCTTATTGAACGATGATCTGTTGCTAATGATCTCAAACCTAGTCCTTCTAAACACCAAACTGAGACACGCATAGTATTTAAACATCCTTCTGAGATCAAAAGAAGTTTGTACTACTGGAGATTCTGTAATAACAACAATATCGAGCGTAATTTATCTTGGTGTAAGTATCTGCTCTGATTTCTCTTGGTCTTCGCATTTTTCATTAATTTCTAAGAAAGTTTCCCATCTAATTTTCTGCATAACGAGACTGCATGCTTTCGATCTTACTGAACATTTGCTTCTAAGATTTATAAATTCTTGTATACTACTAGTTATTCCTTACTGTTTCCGATTATTCTTTCTTTGGCTTTAGAGTAAAACTTTTTCTATGTTGTGGGGAGTGCTGAAGGCACCTAACAAGGTTTGTATTGAATCTTTTGAGATTATTATGAATACAGTCATGGACAGACATTTGAAATCTTGCAGATTCTTGTCCGGTGTTGTCATATACTAACCACCCACTTCATACCTTTCTCCTTGAATATAACTTCCACCAGAACAAGACACTGAAACATTAAAACCAATACATGCAAGCAAAGGTATAAGAGCTCTACAATATTGTATCTAATATGTATACTCAACAAAGAACAGGTTGTGAGAGCTGACCTAGTCTCAAACGTGTAGTGTTAAACATAATGTTGATTAAATGTTTTATAGAATTTTGTTTTCTTAAAAATTTTCCGTTGAATCCTAGGTAATTTATTGATTATATGTATATATGTTGGCAGTTCTCAACGTTTTTTTTCGATACAACAAGTGATATTAGAAACTTTTCGAACTATCGCTTATTGAGAATTTCCTATTTTATTGAACAAATCATTTTTAATAAAGCCACCATTATTATTATTAATTTCAATTTATTATTCTCCTCCCTAATTATCATATTAGGTTTCTCAATCAGGATATTTTGATCAGTAAGATGGCATCACCTAGGCTGCAGGTTATTTGCCTAACTGATGTAAAGGATTTATGTAAATGTTGTACGTTCACGTATACTGTAAATTAAAGTATTTTTTTACAATATTTCACTCTATAAAATCAGGACGCTCCAGTGCTGGCACGGGCCTGTCTACTATTAGAATGTGCATTTTTAGTTCACCGTTGTAATCGAGGCGAATGGGCTGGATGGATGAAATTTAATTTACCCAGTTCATTTCGGTCAAGCGCCGGATTCATGGGTAGTACAACTCATAATAATAGTAACTTGTTGCAAACAAACGCAAATACCAATAACGATAATCATCCAATGGATATATCGGAAATTAAACGTATAGCTGGCTATTTATTCTACGCTTGGGGTGAGGTAAGCAAAAAGTTACTAATACATATTAATTGTGAATCTCATTTTTTTCATTAGATGACCTAACTACTAGCTAGAAACTTTTTTCTAGACTCCACGAGATAGATAATTTCTGATCAATTTAAATAATCATTATCGACGTCATATCAGACTGAGTTGTGATAAAGACAATTGATCAGTCGTCTTTTAACCAGAATGTTCATTAGCACTTTCCCACAATTTCCTCATACTTTTAATCGTATGTGGAAGCCAGTCTTTCGGTAAACAACATTTTGTCAGTATTAATAAAGGTGTACATGATTCGAAATCACTTGTTGACTAAAAAAAAATACCAATAATGAAAACGCGCTCGTATTATAAATCATGCATTTATTCAATAAAACTGACTAAAAATCAATCAACACAATATAATGAGATGAAATACCTTCTTTTTTAGTGTGGTGTATTTACGTTTTTTTTTCGATTGAAATTCCTATTTAAATGCCTCAGTGATGCTATTGTGTATGTTTCTTAAAACTGACAGCTGAATACTTGGAAAAATCAAAATACTTTGATATCAGAATGTTTGCTTCAGTGAATAAATGAACAAAGATACACTGTGTGTTGAGGTAGTGATTTACTTGCATTTTTCTGATTCGATGATATTACCTGAGTTATATGCCTTCAGTCAAATTAATTTTTTATGTTGTATTTTTCAACCTGAATGAATGGGTAATTTGAATCCAGTGAAATTATGCGAATAAAAATAATTCATCCTCCTGAAATTTCTTTTGTTAACTGACTTGTCAGAAAATGATTATTATTCTCAAGGGAATAGTTGTGACGACTCATGAAAGTTCATATAGTGTAGTTAACGCTTTTGCATTGAGAAACATGAAGCAATCCTTTCACCCTCTATCTTATAATGCTTCAGTGCTCATGATTTGTGCTTCCTAATCTATCTAAGCTGACCAATCAACTGTTTCAGAGAAATTTCGAAATGGAAAACTATACATTTTAGTGGTTAAATTCATCGGTAAAATTGAATTATCGGAAAATCAGTAAGTTCCAGTTAAAACAGGCTTAACAACCTGAGTGCAGTTGATTTATTCTCAACGATGTGAGAAACTTGATAACAATGATACTCTATTTAGGCTTATAAATAGAAATTTACCATTTTAAAGCTGTAAATTTATCAAAAAAAGACATTCGAATGCACAACGATTTACATTTCATGTCCAACAATTATTACAATACAGCACAGCATAACTGACATATGTTAAACAATTCACGTTTAGGTGAATCACTTGTTTTTTCACCTTCAGATCTACATTTTTCACTCAAACAATAATAAAATCTAAACAATATTACATCCATATTCAATTAAACCTGAAACTTTTTTAAATAATTCTTTTCGCCAATTTTTTGCAGGCATTGGGTCATAGGTTGCAGTATTTCACATCATTAATGTCTTCTTGTAATTCATCCATTATCACAAATGTTAGCTCAGCTGGTGATAAAGTTCATGGAACTGAGAAAAATAAAGATACTAACTCTCGATCAAATGCTGAAATGGAACAAAACTTTTTGGATGATGGTATGCTTGAAAGTATAGTACCGTCTGGTTTTTGCATGTAAATTTATTTCGTACATTTTCACTTGTCAATCGATTAACTTAGGTAATTGTCCTCTTCCTTCAAGGGGAAAAATTGTTAAGTGTTATTATTAAATTGACTGGAAATTTTAATAATCCAATAAGTAAAATATACATGAATGAGTAAACTAACTTCAATGAGAAGCAAAATATGATATGATATGTGTGCAATTTATCAAGTATACGCAATATTCAGAAAGTCATGTTCACAGTCATTGGAACATCACTAAAGTCTGACGATTGTCTTTGTATAAGATGCCTAACAAATGTAGTATGACACTATTCTTCGAAACACTGAATATACTGAAAAGAATCTAAGAAACTTGATTCTTTTTAGCTTGAATTTCAGTTTGTACTGAAAGTTTGAAACTCCCTTTTGGTATTTATGGCTGAAATCGATCTCTCTGTTTTAGTTCTGTTACGCCTGCACGTAAACACGTCATCTTGATATACTTGAACTATTACGAGTTTACCTAGTCTGAAAACGAGAGCGAGGATGGAGGATCCGGCGACATGACATGCTACTCAAATCCGATTATCCCAACCCCCATATTGAGTAAAAATAAGAAGACTTCATATGAAGCAGAACCTGTATTCTACAAGCATTCAGAAATTTCGAGGTCCGAGTCCAGAAGAGAATCAGGATCCCGGACTAGGGATCCGGGACCGGGTCCTAGTCCTGGTCATAAAACGTTACAGATAATGAGTATTGATACATTTTGGTTGAATAGGAAACAGCATCGAAGTCTGTGACATTGACAGTCAAAACGACCAATAGGAAGCAACATTTGAAGTGACATTGATAGTCAGGACAACCAATGAGAAACAACATTGAAGCACGTGACAGTGATATCTAGGACGACCATAAAATTGACCAGTAGGAATTAACCAATTAACCAATAATTCTCTTAGGGTATTGGATGAATATCCTAACAGGTTCATGTGACTTAATGTCAATTTCGAATGCTCAATGTCTAAAGAGACTGATTAATTGCAATCCGAATCATCAATGGGAAGATTGAAACAACAAATATAAATGAATTACTATTCAGCCCATTTCACAAGCCCGTATCCATCTGAACTCAATGTTTAAGTAAATGAAGCAATCACGTTTGAAGCGAACTGTACTGGGTTCGAGTCTCGGAATGAAAAATAATTCAGGGTTGCAGTTACATTCCGCTGCTAGCCATCATTTATCTCTATTTGAATTCCGACTACGAATTCTCGAGTAGCATGTATTTTGGTGAAATAACCAATAAAATTAAGTGAAAGTAACAGATTTCGGTTTCCCCTCTTATTATCTTCATATACACGATGATTTAAAACAATACTACAGCCTTAATTTGAATTCTTTATTGGGTTTAGTTATACTTACTTACTTAGTATCTTGACTAGGTGTCCTTCTTTTCAGTCTGTTGGTGCTTGTCCTTACTTTCAAATATTGCTGAAGAGTATCTGCAGTACCTTTTTAGTTACTATTATGTCTGCCTTCAGTGCCTCTGCTGAAATATTGCCTGGTCTTACTGCTTTGTCACTCTTGATTTAAAAAATAGCCCTACTGATCTCATCAGTTGCTGATGAGTCAATAATAGTTGGTTGCTCTGTAGGCGTTGCTTCTATGTTGGATGGGTTGAGTGGAGCTGGTCGATTCAAGAATTCTTGAGAGTGCTCTACACACCTGTTTTGTTGTTCTTCAATGTCAGTGATTACTTTGCCTTCATTACCTTTCACTGGTCGCTCTGGTTTACTATATTTTCGAGCAAGCTTCTTTGTTGTATCATATAGTTGTCTCATGTTTCCTTCACTTGCCGCTTCTTATTCTGTCTTTGCTATATCTTTCACGCATATACGTTTGTCAGCTCTGAATCTGCTCTTCATTTTCTTGTTTGCTTCTGTGTATTCAGCTTGTCTCTAGGCTTTCTCTGCTCTTACTTGGCTGATATTGATTGGTGCCTTCTTCTTCCTTTCGTAAATCATTTCCAGAGAATCCACAGAGAGACATTTCTTGTGATGATGCTTCTTCTGGTCAAGAATCCTACGAGATGTTCGCATTATTTCTTTCTTGTTCCCTTTCCAGGTGCACTGAATCGTAGTGTCCTCTCCATTGAGTTACTGGGTTATGAAAGGTTTGAAACCTATTGCTATAGGTTATCTCGAGTTTTTGACTTTGCTAGTATCCCGAAGAAAGTTCGTACTAAACTTTCATAATGCTGTATGCCCCATTTTCCAGAGTTTCTTGAATTTCACATCCCCTCTGGCTACCATCAAGTGATGACCTCGAGCTATATCAGTTCCTCTCTTCGTTCTCACGTCCTCCATGGTCCTTCTGAACCTTTCATTGATGCAAATGTGGTCGATTTGGTTCTGCGAAGTGTGATTTTGTAAAACCCATGTAGCTTTGTTTATTCGTTTGTCTTGAAATAAGGGGCTGCCTATGACCATTTTGTTGAAGGCAAACAGACTTGCGAATATCTCACCACTTTCGTTCCTTTCTCCCAGTCCATGTCGTCTCATAATGTTTTCATAGCATGTGTTATCCATTCGAACCTTGACCTTTAGGTCTAAGATGAGAATGGTCAAATTTTTTCTAGGTATTTATTGACAATTTGATTGCAGCCTCTCATAGGATCGATATTTATTGTCTTCAATGTTATCGTTGATAGACGCATAGTCCTGAATGATATTGACGGTAATACCCTCATTTTGTTTCGTAAAGGACGCTTTGTCGATCTGTCTGTAGGTCTGTAGGATTCCCATCCTATCAGTTGTTTTTGGGCTTACTCTAATAGCATCACTGTAGCTCTGTGTGTGATGCGCCTTCTTCCTAGCTGTAGTACAACATCATCTACACGGAAATTAGTTTTTGTTGTCTAGCCTGAGTCCAATGAGTTTCCGTGAACCTATAAGGTTGTATCTTTTCACCTCCCTATCAACTTCCGACCTGCCACATCGTGCAAGCATTCCATGTACATATATTGATTGTTGTTCCGGTCTTCCGAATGGGAGTCGACCTCGTGACTTCCAAAGAGATTTGGCTTCCATCATGAGGCGTCATAACTCTTCTAAATAGAGACTTTTCAACTGCCAGGGCAGAGTTTGAAAGATTTGAGTCATTTGTTCTGGTTAGCGTTTTTTTAGCAAGTTTGTTTTCTATGGGGTGGGGATGCAAACCCCATGCCCAACTGTTCTCCTTTATCCGTGCTTCAGACCTTCAGCAACCCCAGAAGGGTTCTTGTCGCAGTTGGCTTTAGTTGTAGGTCAGTCATTAAACTGTGTTATTTGAGATTCAGAAATGTTTCTCGTTATGTCACAAGCACTGCATTCCAATTTTCCTATTTACAAACTTTTATTAAGGTTTCAATGATATGGAACACTGATTGTAAATTTTTTACAACATGATAACTGCGTTTGGATTCACACAGAAATATTTTCAAGTATTTGCATTATTTTTTTTTAATATACAAAATATATTCGCAAAAATGTTTTATTGTTCTTTACTACTTAACGAATGAATGCATAGTGAAGGAAAAAATAACGTGTCACGAATCAGTGTTACCTACTTTTTTGTCAACAATTTCTATGTCTAATCGTGAAAATGAGACATAGTATATTATCCTTGTTTTACACATCATGATTAACTAATCTCATCACAGTTACTGTTCTTACCTTCAACACTTTGAATAAAACTGAATGCTCATATTTTGCGAAAGTATTTGCCAGCTCAGATTTTCGTTTTTGAATAATTAGACAGAAAATCTGTATGAGAGTCTTGTAAAATAATGTAAATAAAAGCTACCACATATTTTTATCATTTTAAAATGTGGACTATGAACTAGGATAAATCTATTGTTACTTTCTTTCAACCTTAACCAATTTTAGCCTCTGTGAATCCAACTGGAGAAAGTTGCCCGTATGCTTTGTTAACTGTCGGAGTCCAATTGTTGTTTGAAATTACAACATATCTGAGAGAAACACATCAACGTTTACCACAAGACAAAGCAAACAACGATGGAAAATATGGTCAATCAGCGCAACTTTCATCGAGGAACTCAATGATTAAACGTTCATTAACACGCGAAACAAGTGGTGATAAGAAAACTGATACTTCTAAACATACGTATTCCTCAGGGAACAGTGGAACATCCTTCAAAGTTGCTAAAAGGCGTCTCAGTATATTAATGCCAATATTTGGAAGTACAGGTAACAATAGTCCTGAAGATAGTACTCCAAATGAATTAGAGAAACATTCATGTCCAACTGCAAAACCTGTAATAACTACCAGTAAGTTTACATTGACAATATTCAATTCCAGATCATCGTAAAATGGCTTATTTGAATGAGAGAAAGTTCATTTGAAATACATATTTGACTGATGTTTAATTGCCAATGCACAAATTTTAAGATCCTCTCAACATGGTTCCATAATAGTAAACTGATTTAAAAGATTGTTATTTAAGTCTTATAAGTTATTTTTTAAGCAACAGAAATAGTCATGGGATTAGTGATGTAGTATGTTTTCATCATTTACTACAAACATTTACGATGTTTCGGATTTAGAATTCCTCCGAAAAATTAATACAACACAAATTTCAGCTGAATAACTAAATTGGTCATAAATGTTTTGACAGTTTGCCACAAGTTTGAACTCAACCAGTAGTGTTTAAGTAGAAAGCCTTTATAAGGTTAATGTACTTCTTTGGTACACCTTTCGATGACATACGCTGCCATAGAACCTCATGATCAACAGAGTACATTTCCCATTTAAAGTCAAAGAATGCGACTTTTTCAGACATCTGAGTGTATGTCTATGTTATATGACCTGTCGAAGAGTGAATATACGGCTTATACATCCACGTCCAGGTCAGAAACCAGCCTGGTTTTATCTGGTCGGCTCCTCACGTCTATACATGGGTAAATATGTATATATTTCAACTAGTTTTAATAAGTCACGGTAAATTCTGTTTTGTTGCTTATTGCTTATACAGTATTAATAAAATTCTCAAGTTCATATTAGAGAGGAATTTTTGTACCATACTATAACGACTAGATGAAGACCTATTATCGACCTACTGTGCTAATTGGTCGAGGATTTATACAAATCCGCAAAAGTTCTTATTGTGATGTTATAATGACTATCCATCAGAGGAAAGGTACTTCATTTATGGTGTTTCATTCCATTTTCCCATCAATCGAGTCGCACAACAGGAGCTCAAGGATGAGCCCCTCTATGACTAACTTCACAAGAGCACTTAAATCAGTATAAATAAATTAAAGAACCTATCATGTGTGGCTTATATTTAGTTCATAGAGTAAAAACTGGCTTATTTGATGTGATTTGTGCCTTCATCATAGTCAGTGTTCTTCTGAATAATCTATTAAGCACACATTATAATTACCGCTGCATATGTTACCTTTTATTGATCAGGGATCTGACACGAATTCGGACGAACAACTGAATATGCTGTGAAATAAATCTCCTCTGTGATTTACGTATATTACATTTTGGCTAACTTTGTGAGATGGCGGTAAATGAAAGCAAACAGACAACAGAATGATATATGAAGCCGAGAAAAAGATCAGGCGAACTCAATGTGATGAAGCATGCCTAACTACTTAAAGTCTGACAAAAATAAGCTAAGCATGTTGTAAGTGAAGTAAGCAATGCACACTGCACTCAAATAAAAACAACCAAGGTAAAAGGCGAATAACAGACAAGGTCGAAACCTGTGTGGTTAACTCGAGAAAAATGGATTAGTCTGGTTGTTCAAAGTCTGCAACAAGCCATGTCGGCTCGACATATTAGCACTCACTACAACCTTCAAACTTGAAGTCTTGAGGAAAGTTTACTTATCCACTATGATTGTGTTTGATTTTTGAGTTTCGTCATGTGTGCATTTTAATAGACTGAATTCGTTGAAGCCTATCGATAATGTTGAAAACAATAAACAGTAATGATAATCTATCAAACTGGAAAACACTTTGAATTTTTTTTATTAACTAATCTCTTTAGGTACAGATAAATCTATCACTGGACGTCGAGGCACCTCATCTAGACGTATCAGTTTTGCTGTAATGGACGATTCTAAGGATATAATTGATTGTGCAAATGCAAGTGCAAATTATCTGGATCAATCATTAGAAGCAAATGAATCACAACGTAAATGCTAAAACTTTTCTCTTTATGTTTTCACCCTCTATATTTATGTAACAGATATAGTTTAGTTACGTTAATACTTAAAACTGTTTCAGAAAAAATCTTAAAGAAATAGTGTAACTGAACATACATTTTATGTTGACACTAAATAGTTTTGTGAAAGTTTCTTCCTCAAAGTTATCGCAACTTACCATCATTCTGTGATGTTAATGTAATTTAATTAATCCCATAACAATTAATTCCATGCAATAGTTCTTCATTTATAAAGGGTTTTTCAATTTTAAGCAAATTTAGGTTAACACAGTGTTAATTGGTTTGGTTAACATTGTTCTTTGAATATTTAGAGTCTTAACTTCATCTTCTTACGAACCGGAATTGATTTTGACATAGTAACCAGTCTCAGGTTCCCACCTTATTGTCAATCATTTACTTGTGATTGTTGGTATGAGTTTTTATGATGGTTAAAAATTATAAGGTATACGAAAATTTAGGTTTGATCAATACAGAACTACTGTGTTTACCTGATTTTGTCATTATACAGGGCTTCATGGCTGAAGAAATATTAATTCAAGTGTGATAATTATTATTATCATTATTACCGTTGTTTTGTTTTGTAATTACTTTGATAGATCGTTTATCAGTGAGCAAAGGTCTTCGAAAGCATCGAGGCTCTGGAAGTTTTCGATATTTTACTTCTCACGGAGCTGACATGTCAAATGGTTAGTTGCTTTGCTAATTTACTACAATCGATCCGGTCTTGAAAGTTTTATTTACTTTGAATTTTTGTTCGCAACTTGTATTTTAATTCACAATTTCTTTTGACTGTTTTTGTTACTAAAGAGACAGATCCCTTAGGAAGCATGTGTGGCAAGGTAATTCTTCAGAATGAAGAAAATATAATCGTTTCAGCATAGTTATATGTGCTTCATGCTAAATAATCTACTATTTGTTTCTGTAAATTAAAGTTTGATGATCATCTAGTATTCTATGTGTTATTGTGTATCTTTTCTGACTTATAGTGTTTGAACAACACCCTGGTTTTATTGGACAGATGAATCGAGCTAGTAGTGGTGATGTCTGTAATGAAGTTTTCACCGACTTGACTGATAATACAGGAACGCCAGTTTCAGTCGATGATTCTCAAGATGTTCATCAGGAAGAACATAATTTGTTGCATATGAATCAGATCAACAAAAGTCTAATTCATTCGAATCCTTTACGTTCAAAATCAAGACAAGGGCATCATTCTAGATACGATGAAATGACCAAGTCCCATACATCTGTTCGACGATCTGTTTCAGCTGCTCTTTCTGCGAATAAGTCTTTAAAATCTAATACATCGCATAATACGTTGGCTGTTGGAGATAATGAGATCTGTCATGTTGAAGACTACACATCTCATATGCCATGGATTGATGCTGTCATAGAATTTGCAAACTAGTGAGTTAATTTGTATAATTTGATGATTGATATTTTCACTAAGAAAATATTGGACATGATATAAACACATTGGTAATATTAATCATGATTTCTTTATATCTTTCAGAAGTGGACCATAGTAATAAATGATTTAATAGATTTTCAGAATTTGATTTCCACAAAAAATAATACTCATTTTGTCGATTATGGTATGATATCTTGAAGGGTAATAGAAAATTAACATATTTCTCCTATAACTATTTTAATTTGATTGTCAACTTTAAATGAACTGATATTTAAATGAACGCATATTGGTACCAAATGGTAGTTTTTGTCAACATTTATAATAACTTAAGACGAAGTCAGCGCGTTACTTCTAAGTGTACAACCGACAAAGAGTGTTGTCAGTTACACTCATGGCAATCTTTATAAACGGTTAGCAAATTTTGACGAGCCCTAGATAATAAAGTATTACCTAGTCAATAATAAATCGTGTTTGTAAATGTTTCCATGTAAAGATTAAGCACTATATATAATTTCATTTGCTTCCGAAATACAATTACTGTTTTTTTCTAAACTTTATATCTGTTTCCTTGTTTTATATAGTACGAGTTTTAATTGTGATCATCAAAATTCATGTGCTTCGAATTGTTTTGAACATCAGCAACATCAATGTCGAAATTTATTGAATGCCATGAAACAAGTTTATGAATCAGAAACTGAAAGTAAATTTCTTGTATCAGTTGACCGTCAGTATTTCTATAATTCAAGTAATGTCGGTAATACATCTACCGCTACAACTACAAGCACAACAGTAAATCGTAGTGTAGGCGTAACTTGTGATCCAGGTACAACATCACCAGTATCGTGTAATACAATTCGTCAACATAAAACAAACGATTCACGTTCAGAGAACTCATCTGATCAAGATTCTTCACATCTAGACTCTACCGAAGATTTATCTGATTCCGATGTTGTACATCAACAACAAAGTAATTCTGGACCAATTAAGAATAAAATAAGGACGTTAAAAAGTTTAACAAATATCATTCAATCCAATGATAGTTTAACTGGACTAAATAAATCAGCTGCTGATAATGATATGGATGAAAATAATTTTCTACTACTACAACAAGGAGCATTAACAGCAGGTAGTGGTAGTGATTTTTGGAAAACCAGATCTAAACTATTCATTAAATCTGCTAAGAAAAAAGTAAGTCAATATCACTTTACTATTCATTTTTTTTTATTTTCTTATTGTTTTCAATGTTATTCTTAACACTAGATTGTGTTACATTCGATATAATCTCTGGAAGTTGATCTACTATTCTTAAGATATTTTAACATCTAACAAAAGTTTTCCAGCCAAAATAATACCTGACAGTCAGTTCATACAATAATGATAATTTAAAAAAAGTACAAATATAAGTAGGTGATGGCGGTTAGCTATGGATGGAAGTTTTAAAGAAGTCTAAATGCTTTCATTACTTTAACTCTGATGTTGCAGTATAAATGAGAGATTATTAATTTATTAAATTCTGGATAGTGTAATGAAAAGACGAAGACTGTTAGAACTTTGTAGCATTCTTAGCACAATACATTTCGACCGATTTTATTACAAAAATGGAAGGTCAACTAGACAAATGAATTGTAGGCGGAAACAACGGTAATAACACAATATCGCGAAGGTAGATAGATGTTGGGTGAGAACAAACTGTATTTGGATACATAAAATAGAGTTTAAACTTTCTAATGTCGAAGGCTTTAATAAACCTTGGTATGCGCCCTTAAGTAATTGCATACAGCACCACAAAAGCCTAGTTAAGATCAGTCTTATGACCTGTTTCAACTGTGTTTGGGATCACCAGGCGATGGATATTTGTCATCTGCTCGTATTGGGTCATTTGATTTTATTTTTTTTGCAGCCACTTAGCTGCATGTTGATACACCCTGAATCGCAAATCATAATCACTCCTCCCTATGTATGTGTGGGCTCACAAACATTTTTAAATTGATATATGCAATGGGGTTTATATACTTCGAGGTTTTTGACATAATGTTGACCTTATTTTGTTTCTAAGATGACCTTTGCTGTTAAGTAACTTTTGTTGATAACAGCTATGTTTTAAGATAAAGCTCTTTGACACACCATTGAATGATGCGCATTTTTCGTGCCACAGATATGGCACGTTTCACCAAACAGTAACCTCTGCATGGTTTATGAATTTTAAAGGGTAAACATCGTCCATCAGCTTTTGTTTCAGCGACCTCACACAATTTTCACCAGCAACGCCGATACAAAGACGATCAATTCTACTAAATATCCTCTTCATCAAACTCCGTTTAATATTGAAGTGGACAATAACCATGATAACTTGGGTACTGACCTGTCTAAGTTGGCATTCTAAAAATGGTTCGGATGATTGACCCATCTTCTTATCTATTTATATATCGAGCAAAGGAATTTGACTGTTCTTTAAATTTAAAAGTGTGATCTATTCTGTTCAGGCTGATTAAGATAAGGGCGACATATACACTTAGTTTGACGTTAGTTCGTTCACTGAATATGTTGTACAATAAACATAATACCATTTTAACTATTGTATAATTTTCTAGTCCAGAATATTTCTTTAATTATTTAAAACATTTATAGGATTCAAATGGAAATCTTACGCGACATTTTTTAAAGCTTTTCACTTCAGTTTTCCAACTATGCAAATAGTTTCATAAACCTTCCTACTTCAGATTTTTTGAACTTAGCAATGTGTACTCACGTGGCAGTGTGAAAAGCTTATAACATATCACGATGCTGTATATTGGAAATCTCACGTGAAACACTGCACTTGCTTGCCTATCCTTGTAATTTTTCATTGATTGGGAAAATTGAGGTACGATTGTCGTGAAAGTAATACATTCAGTATCTAGCGGATGAATAGTGCAGTTGCTTCATTCTAGCTGATGGAAAACCTTTCTTTATTGAGAATGAATAAAAATCTAGTGATAACTGTAAAAAAAATTTAGTATAATTTTTGAATAATAACGTTCTGAATCTATGTTAATGATAAATTAATGGCTGCACTGCACAAATGAGACTGAGAATTCTTCGCAGTAACAAGACTTCTGCTAACGAATAAAGCCAGACTATTATTATTTTTATCTCACATATTTTTATACCAAGCAATACCTACAGTTTGTGTTCGTTGAAGTAAAAATAGAAACCATGGTTCACTGAATAAATAAACATCACAGAAGTTAATTTATATCAAAACATCTTTGCTTCATTACTTTCAGCTTATGAATGTTCTTATCGATAGACACCTGTAAGTGACTGAACCAAATATTTCTTTTCAAACATTTTCAAATTACCGCGTCTGGAATGTATCCTACTAGCATGTTACTACTTGCGAGTAGTAAGATTTATTACAGGAAATAAAATTCGATTCTTTATATTGTCGAAAGTGCCTTTAAAGTTTTTCTTTCACTGCTTTCTAATACAAGGAGTCAAATTTGTTAGGACCATGTTCAAGCCGTGAAAATGTAAATCTTCTGACCAAGATTCGAATGAAATCATTCAACCGTTCAGTAAATCTAAGTTCGTTCGAGAATGATACACCAGGTTTAACAGGATTAATTAATCTAAGTATGCTAGCTGGAGCAGGTGCGGGGTTATTGAAGAATTCTCGTCAAAGTATCAGTCTGAATCCACCACTGCTTGGGATTGAAGCTGATGGAACAAGTGAGACTTTGCCAGGTTGTGAAGATGATGATGGTGTTAAAGGTCAAATTAGGAAACCTATAAGATTTCGAAAACCTCATTCTGGAGAATTACCAATTCAGTGTTATTTGGATACCCGTGTAAGTGCTGATTGATATATATATTTGTATTTGATATATATATTTGTACTGTTATTGTCTTAATAAGTCATGAACAGATAGCAATTGAACAATTTTTTATCTTAGATATGGATGATAGAACTTAATGATCAAATAATTAAGTAGCAATAAAGTTCACATGCGACTTATTTCCAATTTGTTTACTCAAAGCATTTACATATATTTTTCTCTTAACTTATATTTCAAGGTAAAAAATCTTTGCAGCAGCGGTTTCAATCTTTTGAATAAAGCAGCTTTACTACTCACAAATGATCAGCTAGCAAAAATGCTTCTATTAGCTTGGGAGTTGTTACTAGAAACGGAGACAGAAATGTCATCAAGCGCAGGTATGTTCTTCAATATTCTTGAAATTGTTTATTTATGTATAAATAAATATTATAAGAAGATAAAGCAGAGCTTTTCACTTCATGTTGTCAGTATAGGAATAAATGTAATTTTGAATATAAATAATAGTTATTGAACAACTGACATTTGTTCAATGTTCCAAGTCATCAGTGGGTGTATAAATACTATTGACTCAAACACATCTCTGTATTAGGGACGAAATCATTATTTCACATTCGAACTGCTTATTTGATATAGGTCTGTTGGTGACGACATTTGTTGTTGCTGAAAAACAATGACTGTGACAGTTGTTTGATCTACTCAAAGGTTTAATAATGGACGAGTAATGGTTTATGAATGCTCATAAAAATAGAATCTGGTATATAAAGTTACCCAGCCTAGATAAATAGACTAACACCAAACAAATGTTAATCGTTGAAAGCAATAAAAGTAACTAATAATGGTATACATACTATATATATATATATATATATATTTATCGCTTGTAATGCTTTGAACTATATTCACTTCAAAGCATTCGGCAAACTTAATCAATTTCCTTTTTTCAATGTTTATTCCGAATGTCTAATCGTGTTAGCAGATAGACAGTAAGAAATCACAAACCTACTTGAATTAGCCTCGAACGTTGTTCATATTGAAATGTTGAGCTATTGCATTAAATTTTATAATATTCGATTCAGGTAAGAAATGAAATCAAATATTAAACCCCAGTCAAAAGAAATAAATTAAAATCCTGGTAAATTAGGGACACTTCCAAAGTAATTCTGACACATATAAAACGCAATGAAGATCTTCTTGTGTAACTTAGTTAATTTAAGGACAATTCAGTTCACCTTCAATCTGACTCCTTAAAATTTAACTGTTTCAATTTCCGAATAGTGTTTGCTTTCAGGGATGTAGGAATTCTCATGTTTTTAAATTGAATCATTAATTCAATTGTGACATTTTAAAGGGTCATCAATAAGTGCTGTTGAACATTTATGGCTTGGAAATTTTTAATTCTGCGTCTTCGTTCACTATGGGATCGGTTAAAATTTTAGTTTAAAATAGCGAATATCATGTCTACACAAGTACAAAAAAAATATTTTATACGGTATTATTTTTAATCGGAACGTTTATATATTTCAACAGCTTGCTTCATACTTTTCTGTGGTATACGTTGCCCTCATATGGTTCAAGAAATGATTCTAGACGAGATGAGACATGAGAAACCCACCCAAAGATATAATGCTATTTTGAGGTAAGTTTAATTTATCTAATTATGTTAGTCAATTAATCATTTTTTACAACTCTTGCCACTTCAAACAAATACAACCATCAAGCTGACTGTATTTCATCATTTATCATTTCTGGACTGAAATCCTATTCATCGACTGAAAGTATAATTTGTAAAGTGAAAATGGAGTAAACTGACAACCAAATACAGTTAATCATCTAACTGTCTAGTATTTTCAAAAACCATTATGAATAAATAACGATAGCTATTATTTGAAGTATTGTTTCACAAACATAACGTTTACAAACATTTCATGATTATTATATGGAAAACCTATTAATAGTCACCTTTAATTGTGTCTTCATAGACGGTGGTAGAAGTCAGAAACTTGATTGTTACTTGAGAGGGCTCATTCTTTGTGTTTCTGTAGGTTAACTTACCACCGCGTTTGAAATAACTTTAGATCAAACTGGTTGATTGTTAGAGCTGTAAAACTAATGCAATATTACCATGTGTAAATGAAATCCTATATTTCGGTGAAACTAGATTTTAGGAAACTGAAATCATGAGTGAAAATACATTTGTTGGTAAACAGCACGGTTTGTTTTAATTGCTCAAAAAGTGACATCAAGACGGAATTGCAGGCATGTGCATCTAAAATGTTTTTTGTTTCTCATTCTCTTTCGAAGTTTTCTACCCAAGCCAAAATATGTAGTTTATCACCAGCAAGGTTTTAATCTTGGAGAGTACATAAAATCTTCCACTCAAAGTGAGTGTGCACTCATGTATAGCTGCAAATTAAGTACATTCATCATAGGTGATTCATGTGGTACGATAATCCGGTGACATGTTCAGAGCTTTTCGGTGATATAATTCGTGAGGAAACACGATAAGAATCAGAAGTATAACGAAATATGCCCTTCTGTTTGGACAGATAACGTGCATTATTCTTGGACAATATTATGATATGAATGGGAAACGGTCAAATCGTCTGCATCTACTGGATTTTAAATAACCAAACAAGGGTTTTAACAATTTTTACAGTGAAACATAAGATGACTGATCTGCAAATAACATTGTTTTTGGTTTCTGAAATGGTTGGTTGGCTTTAGTTTCCTGTTTTGGCTTTTTGATTTAGTAATGAACAATTAGCAAAAATAATATAAACAAACATGGTTATTCTCCGTTTTTTCTGTTTTTTTCTAGATTTAGAACTTTATGGTGTCATCGTTTTCATGTTTGGTCACGTCTTGAAGAAAATGCACCTAGTCAGTTAAGAGTACCCCCATCTTTTATTGAATTCGTTCTGCCTTCACCTACACTCGGTTATCCTGGATTCGAGGCACCAGATCCAGTTTGGCAGATTCGTAAAGGAACATCAGCTGAAGAGGTTCAGCTAAAACAAAACGAGGCTACAGTAAGTTCTTTTCCTCAAATAATATTTATGCATTATCGAAAAAATTGCCTTGCTAAAAGTCTTCTACTTAATTTGCCAAATTTTTAATGAAACACATAGTTATTGATATCCACATTTTTCAATGAAAATAATTGTTAAGAAATTGTCATTTGAATGATCAATGTCATGAGCTTTCACACAACATCTAGAATACAAGTCACTGTTCCAAATGAGCATGACATTCCGAAATGACAATATTAAAAATATTCACTATTATAGACAGGGTGGTGGAGAAATTACTAACATTTTAGAAGAACTATTACTAAACTTAATAGTTTGTTATATGTTTTAGCACACCTCCTCTGTTTTAGTCCTAGCTAACTGAAGATCCTTGAAAAGATTCAGAACACTTTTTCACACTGTATAATTTGATGAGTAAGTACTTGTCTGCATTATCATAATTTGATATTGTATAAGTTGTTTTCATGAGAAGTTTATTTCTGCATTATAGCCGTCTATGCGTCAGTTCGCATATTTGGTTCAGTTGTTTTTAACTAAAAGTAGGAGTTCTATCTGTTGAATTTATCAAATTTTGCTGTGAACTAAATGATGTTGAGATAAAATGCTTCAGATATTTGAATCTACTCTTATGATATATTTCAAACTACCTTGAATCAATTTTTATTCATCCAAATATTGCTTCTTTAACTTAGCTTATTTTGGTTTATTTTTATTCTGTGTGTTAACTTAGAGTAATCTTAAAAATCTTTGACCCTTAAATTGAAATTAATCTTTGATGCATAACCAAAGACATTGTGTCTGGTTTTTTTCATAGAAAACATTTGTAACAGCTTCAACATCTAGGCGTAAGCAACAACAGGAACTTTTAGCTCGTGCAATAGCCACAGAAACAATGCGAAGAAGAGAAGCAAGACAGTCGTTTCACTTGACAACGTGTCCAGTTCTGGAACGTGCAGCCATCGAACCAGCTTTCAGCAAAGAACACAGAGATGAAGGAAATGTTGATGATAGTGAGTTGAATGTGTTTGTTTACCACGTCGGAATTGAATATTTAGTGTATGTCAGTTTTCGTGTACATTCTTTCTGAGCTGTAATAGGGATACATTTTCAGCACAAAGTGATTCCAGAAATTACCTGAACTAGTGATAGGGAGTGAATTATTCGAGAGTCTAGACCACTTCACTTATCTCAGGAGTCTCATCAGTGCTGATGACCAGGTGAGTGACGAAATCTCAGCACGGATACAGAAACCCCGATTGTCTTTTGCCAACTTGCATCACTTATGACGTAGGAGAGATATCAGTTTTGAGATGGTGATTTCAGTTTGCTAACCAAAGGACGAGTGTACCGTGCAGCAGTTCCACCTGTGTATACTTTATGGCTGTGAAACATGGCCAACAACAGTAGAAGATGTTCATAGGTTATTAGTATTATATTATAGATGTCTTCGAAGCATGGCTCATGTATCCTGGGACAACTGAGTAAGCAATGCTATTGTTATGAAACAAGTGCTAGGTAAGGATGACAGAGCAATAGATGATTCATTGAAACTTCATCAGTTGAGGTGGTTGGGATATGTGTCGCGTAAGCCCGACCACTGACTGCCTCGACGAGCTATGTTTTGTGGTGTAGGAGTAGGTTGGAAGAAAGCTAGGGGCGGCCAAACCAAAACATGACAGAAATCCATGAAGTCACTAACAAGTGGACTGAGTCATGTTGGCAGATGCAGGCTACCTGGTTGGTGTCCGCGAGACGAAAGTCACCAATGGTTAGAGACCTTGAATGACATGGCTCAAAACGGTTTGAAATGGCACAAGTGCATCCACTGTTTTTATTTTCTCAAATTCTAAACTCCTGAATTCCTCATCATCTCTATCTTTCTCCTTCTAAATTTATCTCACTTAACTATATTTCTCGAATCATATCTTCGCTCCCTAATCTTCTCCATTACTACCCATACTTCTACGATCGCTACCACTGTTGGATTGGAACTGAAAGTTTCGGCTCTGTGCTGATGTGGTATGGCATCCTGAACTGATGTACGCACGTTCGAAGTTCTACGTTATGATTGACTGACTGACTTAGATGAGAAATGATTGCACACTGTGTTACAGTCATTAAAGTGGACAGAAAAAGTACAAAAAATGAATTGAATATTCACCAGAAATATACACTATTTCATTTTTGTCTTTCTTTAGCTGTTTGTTATTTTCAACTTTATGTAGTGCATTCCCACGAGAAACCATTATAATTAATCCATCACAGCCTGAATATTTGAGTTTCAAAATAGTAAAATAAACCGGATTAATAGTATTACATCTATATAAATTGCTTCTCTTCCTGCTTATTCATTTTTCCTTCAGGCATCGGAAATTCTGCTGGAGTTAATAGTGGAACAGTTGGTGGACAAATTGGAATGTCTAATTCGACACAGGATGAATATACTGCTGCTGTTCGAAGACTCAGTCTTGCACCAATTAATCGAACAGTTCTCAATCAAGCTCGCAACTTATCATGGCGTCAGAGTTCAATACCTTGGTTAAGGAACAGTGTTATTGCCCATGATGGTAAGTAAAAACTGGAGTATCAGGAAGTATGTAATTTCTTCACCGAATTCTGTAGCTACTCTTAGTTCTTATCCGTCTAGAAAATCGAAATTTTATTTCATAGCACATCCGACATATGGTCTATGTAGGTAACTTATAGATATATAGATAGAATTAATAGTTTCGAATGATAGAGATAACGAGCTCGAACATATAGCAAAGAAAGCACAAGCGAACATTATTTTCCAATATTTAGCGAAATGTAAGATTCTATTAGCCACATCAAAATAATTTTAAAACTGATCAATACTTTTGCTACTCCTAGATCAGTGTCATCAGGAAGATATCCAGACACATTTTTAATACCTGATTTATTGTAATCGGTCTATTTCGACTGCAAAAATCTAACAAAATTCTGTGATCCTTTCACAATTCTTGAATTTTTCTAGACTGTTGACTCACCTTTGCTTACGTATTGTTGAATAAGAGGTAAACCTAAATTTTTGGAAACTGTATTTCGGATTATAATGACTGAAGTAGGGGAAGCCAAACAAGAGAACTAACATCTTTTGTAATTGGAGAAGTTTCAGTCAGTCATCTGAAGAACGATAAAACGTACAATTATAACTAAATGGAAAACTGAACTGCTACAAATTCATCACCTTGGATCGAACCGTTCGGTTCGTCTAGATCTGTCTAACTAAATTTAATGGATTTTTTAGTTTCTTGCCTTAAATATTGCTTGATATAGAAATCGACTACCAGTAAAACTCATTACACAGTTTGCCATCATTGTGCAATATTACTTTAATGCATACGTTGGTGACTGTCTGTTGGATTGGACATAAAAACGTTGGACCTAGTACCTAGCATGTAAAAACTAGATTACATACTCTATAGAAGGCCCGAATAGGTTTCTAATGCGTCATTTGCTTTATTAATAAAGCCGTAAATTTAATAGTGATGTTTGTTGAACAGTGAGATATTTTAATGGATATGTAAAACATAACTTTATTATTTATGAAACTTGATTCTATACTTTGTTTATCAATAGATGAAGACCGTTGGTTAGGCGGATTTCCGTCTTTATTCCCATCACAACCATTGCAACAAGCTCAGTTGGTCTTTCCGTCAGCTTTAGGCTCTGCATCGATTTCACTGATAAATCTTTTAGATGATACAACAATAAATGAACATGGAAATGCAGGTAATTCTTCTAACTCTAATGATACCTGTCTTGCTTTAATGCACATAATGTGGAATTCATTATTTATTTATCTACCTTTAGCCTAAAATGAATACAGGAAACTAGGTTCAATGTTATTATTTGCCCTAATTATTAATTGCTTATTATTCCCAGTCTTTAAATTTTGATTATTAGTATTATTTTGAACTAATATGATTTATGTCTTTTCTCTAATATTCTAATGCTGAAATTTGGAAAGATTACTCTGACAATTAGTGTGTATACTTATTATCTGATATATATATATATATATATATATATATATATATATATATCGATAATGGTTCTTTGAATAAACAATAGGTTGCTTAGTCATTGTAATGCTTTGTTGAAACTGAAATATATACGCTATTTTTGTAATACCCTTGAATAACTTATCTACAAGACATTCGACAAATTGTTCATAAACTTACTTACAGTAACAGCCTCTAATGAATCACTAAGATTGTACCCAATGGCTAATTGTTCTACACATTGTCTCTCATGTGTTTGTTCATCGGCATTTTTAAAAGGAAAACCGAATGATGGAACACAAAGCATCTCAGTTACGAAAAAATTATTTTTATGAAACTAATTAACTTAAAGTTTTTCAAACGACTTACTGTTGTCTACAGATTTACTTGAAAGTTATGCCAACTACGCAAGACAGCTAGGAATCTTTCGTTGTCTTCTATTACGGTAAACGTAAGGTGTACACCTATCTAATAACATATATATATATATATATATATATATATATATATATATATATATGATAAAAAAAGATGAAAGGTTTTTAATTAGTAGAATATAGTAAAATCATTCGTCTTTGAATTCTCATAATATAATTATAGAAAAAGGAATACTATTAAGAACGGAAAATGGATTTCACAATAAATATCAATCGTCTTGAATAATTACAGTCATAATTGTTAACTTTTTATGTTGAATTGAGAAACACTTGTTTTGAAACTCTATTCTATAAAATATATGTTTCGGTGTTTCAGTCTGATCGATCCGAAAACCGAATATATTCTATATATCAGCTTCAATTATCTATTAGTTGTACAATCTAAGTCAGGGATGCATGGTTTGGTAATGAATAATCACGAATAATATCAGTGATTGATTTTACTCTCTACTTGTTGAAATAAGTAATTGTTTATTCAGTGGAATTGTATTCTAATGCGACTGTTGTTTCGATAAACAGAGCACTTTTTGTCGTTAAGTATTGCTGGCGAAATTTCGTAAGATTCGAATTTCATATCGTTCACCATTACAACGAAATACATAAATCAAAGCAACCCAGGCTTAATTTGTCGTCTGGTTGGAGTTAGACATTATTACCGTTGGATGCTGTATCAGTGGTTTTGAGATTTAGTATTCGCATGAGAGATCAAAGGTCATGAATTTGATTCCTGCCTACCAACGTCGTAGATTCCCACCGCCAATGATGTAATGATTTGAACAATTTCACTGTCCATTTTTCTGGTAGATGGTATGGTGAGTTTGCATGTCCAGAATCAGACATACAGGAACCCGCGGTTTACGAATCTTAGGTAGGTCCTAAAGTTGAGTAATATGTGCTTCAGATGGCTAGAGCTGATGATAAGTATACTAAGAAATGCATTGTTGCTGTTTTAAAAGTTTTAAAGCCGTACTTAATTGATGTTTGGTCTTTTTATCGAGGTTTTCACATGATCCAAGATTTTAAACTTTGCTTTGACCACTCAACAGGGTATTCATCTTATCTATGTAATCCATCTTGTTTTGAATTGTAGTGCCTAATCCTTTATCGGATTGAGTGACAAGTATGTGCTCGTTCGATTTTTTGTGTTTGAACAACTTATCGATGAGTATCAGTGAATATGACTTCGAGTGGTGTTTTTTGCTTTCAAATCGGCATATCTTCTCAGAGACTTAACATTAGGCTTTGTTTTACATTGCAATAATGTTCAGGATACCGATTTGGAACAGGATAATTACGAACAAGATCAAGGGTTAGCACCCGATTCAATCGAATGTACTCAGTGATTGCCTGAAGTATGATGCAGAGCTCACTGAAGTCAAATCATCGTTACAGATCTCTTCGTCAATGTAAAATCAAACCTAGGGTTAAATCACTGTGAAGTTATGCTCTGAGTCAATTCGAATCTATTCAAACGCATATTGTTGTGTTAGAAAGGAATATTACATCCAGATTATATTCTGTTGAAGATCTTCCTTAAAGTCCAAAGTATTCTAAAAATACAAAAAACTAATGAAAATAAAAAGGGGTCGATATAATTAAAGTAGTAAGTAAACAGGTGATCTGACTTAATGAAATAATAGTTGAATGATGAAATGATTAAATGGTATATAACTTGAAAACAAGCTTAAACTATAAATGGAGGTTCCAGCAACAACGTTCTGAGACATTTTTATCACAACTACAGGTTCATTTTAAGCACAGATGAACGATGGCTAGCAGTGGAATCCAGGATACACATTTAGTACTCGTCAGCTGGATGTACCTGCATCCTAATATCGATGTTCACTCCAAGATTCATAAGGTATTAGGTTCGAATTCCTGATGAAATGCATGTCCTGGATTACATTGCTAACCACTATCCGTGTCTTCTGCTTATATTATTCATGAATTAATGGCAATATCGATGCAGTCCACACAGGATGCATATATGCTATAAGTAACTAATCAATTGCAGTATTAACTATCGATTAGAAGATTCATAATTTTTTCAGATGAATTTCGATTAAGAATTCCATATATAGTCATAATTAACTGTTTACGTTTAACCTATTGACCATACTATACAATTATTTTGAAGTCTCTAGATATTATGTCACAAACTATCTTCTTTTTTTTAAAAAAAAAATGTTTATGAATATGAACCTTTACTTTGAATACGTTTATTTATTTTAATTTCAGTGAATACAATAGCTGAATTTGTAATATTTAATTGTTTGTTAGAAGATACACCATTGTTCTTGCGTTTTATATTTGAACGTCTCACACGTATAAAAAATAAAGATGAACTTATATTTATTCTACGTAAAATGATTCAACGATTACCTGAATTACCAATGCAAACAGCTCATGCTCTATTCAACAATTTAGTAAGTTCCTATTTATTCACTATGCATAAATGTATGCATTCTGATTGAACATACCATGAAGTAATGCGGAAAGCTATAAAGCTTAGAAGAATAATATTTTCTCAAATATATTTTAACAGGGGACTTTGCAGAATTTCCAAACTCTTTCATGGCTTTGTGTATTTCTGATTAGATAGAGTGTTGAAAGGCTTATGACTAATTTTCAATATGTTTTTCAAGAAATCGAATCACTTAAATCTTTAGGAGTTGAAAATTTTTGAATGCAACCAACTGGCGTAAACTCAAAATAAATTTGAAAAATTGGAATAGTAATAATTATTATTATTTTTGCTGACATTTTATTTTTTAATTCTATATTGTAAAGGTTTAACATTGAATTATTTACTAAGCATTGAATTTACAAATTGTTTCGTTAAAAGTCATTGTCAGTAACACTAAATAAAGGGATTCCAATCCTATTTTGAACAGATTTCCCTCAATGATAAAAGTCAGAAAGAAGAACACATAGGGACAAGGAGTCCTCGCTGATTTCTTCTAATCACTTGATACTTTTTCTTTTATGTGATTCTGGTATTTATTATTATTTTAATATATGAATCCTAATGCATGATAACGAGCGACAAATTCAGCGTATCTATCCGAAAAAATATGCAACTCACATACGTATTCTCAAGAATAACAAAGAGAGTGAGTGTTATGGAGAAGATAAAACAATAAGAGTCGAATTCAAGGAACCTTATTAAAAATTGTACGTAGATTGAACAAGTAAACTTCCCTACTTTCTGTTTCAAACGAATTTAACGTACTCTGTATCTATAGTGTTATTGAAATACTTGAACTCATCCATTTTAATTAACATACGTGAATAGATTTTATTAAAAAATAATAGACAAGATCAACACTGTTCTGATAGCTCGTTCATTGTTTTAAAAAGCATCAATAACATATTTTACATTAGCAGTCATCAATTTAAAAAACATCTCATAAGACAAACCCCACATTATCCTCTATAACCGCTTGTTTCATTAAGTTTAGCTGTTATGCACAAGAACAAATGACACTCCTTGCTTCAGCTAATCGAAACTAGTTTCTATAATTAAAAAATGTAATTTTATCTACTAGTAAAATTATACCGACTGATTAAATAGATGATTTAATTTTGAAATTTTTTAGTACTATTCATTATGAAACTAATTCTAAGGATTTTTACTCAATAACTAAATGAATTTGCATCTTGAAAAATTTTTTCGCAATTTTTGAGGTTGAATTTCGAAGGAGTTTTTGTTCAAATTCCCTGTAACAACAAATTTGGAAATAGTTAAAGTGTAAGCTATTGAATACTAAAATTTCCATCTTTGTTCTTTCTCTGGTGTTTAAGTCATTTTAACGCAATCACATATGAGTTCAATATGAGATTGTAGAGTCAGTAAATAAGATAAGTAAAGAAAGAACCATCGATAAACATTTAGCTATTAAGAACATAGGACTGGATACTATTGTCATTGCAGTTGCTATATAAAGATACATGATTGTGTTTTCATACATACGGAATTAGCTAACTTATCGACATAATTGCATTGAACTAAGTTATCATAATAATGATATTAAGTCTTTTTTTCTCAAAACAGGTTGGTTATATTATGTTTCATATTCGTACACCAAGTTTCAATGCCCCTCAGTCAATAGCCAGTGCGTTATCTGTTCTTCATTTGGTAAGTGTGAATAAAAGCTCCATTAAAATATCATATGGTCATTGTTAGAGCTGTTTTATGAATGCATCACTTGAGTAGATTCATTGCATTATTTTAGATGATATTTTATATTATTTTCCATGATAAAAATCCCTTTGTTTCTGATTCAAAATTTCTGAGTCTCATAATAAACATGTCATTGCACCATTGTATTCCAAAAATTCTATCAAAATTATATATATATATATATATATATATATATATATATATATATATATATATATATATATATATGCATAATATATCCATTTCACATTCTATTAACAAAATGCTTTTCCATTATGCATTAATTTCAAAGCACAGTATTCTGTTTTATACGCATTACTAAAGAGCTAATTTAATTTTATGAACTTACAGAAGTCTTCGATATAAATAGGAGGAAGGAGTTTTGAGTTATACTGTAAACTGAAAACCTTAGGTTATGTGTTGTTATGGAATTCCGGAAATTGTTGACAGTATAGTTTAACATTATCTAATCAATGAAAACCATGACGCAATAACAGGTGTTTCACCTTTGTTTTAACCTAACCAACAATAAGTATTCACAACCTCTCCAAGGAGTATGTATGATTCGGACCATCAGGTCTTGCTATGAGAAGCGTGTCGGCCAATGGAAACTGATAACTTGCGGTATAGTTGAACTTTACTAGTTATTAGTTTCCATCCAATGTGAGCACATAGTAAAAACTAACATTATTATACAAACGTATTTTTGATTGTACAGTTTAATAATACGACCAGAACTAACTTTTATTACATATTGGTAATTGTCTCCTTTCCTCAAGTTAAAACAAAGATTATGCTGCTTCATGAAAGAAAGTTTCATCGTTTTAATCATTAATATCCATTTCATATATATCAAATTAAGATGCATTTGAGCATTCGCACCAGTTTTTTACCACTAGTTATGAAGATTAGGTTAAAATTTAAAAGCATTTAATTCTGTATTTCTACTGATTATTCAGGTGGTTCCATACGTTCAAAACATCTACTTTAAAGATTTGAAACAAACAATGAGAAGAGAACAAATCGATGTAAGTTTTGTGTTTGTGCAAACATTCACTTTTATTTAATTTACTGATTGAATAAATACCATGCAGAAATAGATGCTACGAGAAATGACATTTAAATATCGTAAGTGTATACAGAGAAATAGCAATGTAAGTATTTCATGATTGATTCTGTATTATTTTTTACTGGTCAGAAGCAGATCATCATACAGTTATCTGTTGTTTCGATCTGTAATTATTTCACGTAACAATTAATTCCATTATGTCACCTGTGTATTTACAGTCTATTCGAATATTTTCTGAAACCAACTTTTGCATACAGATAATCGTTTTCTGACCAAATAACTCATTTCTATCTTCAATATGAGAATATTCTGCTAGTGAACCATCAGTAGATTTTATGTATTCTGTAAACAAGGCCTGTTATCAAATGATTTGAACTAATCATAAATTAGTGAATAACACCAGTTACATTATAACATGAAGGTGATTCCTAAAATTGGAAAACCGCTTATTTACTGTGGTGGCATTGGTAACGCCTATCAACCACACAGACGAATGAGCAGTTTAGGGGATAATAAATGGAACTGTCATTAACACTCACTGGTTTAGTAACTCAATGTTACAATGCTCAATGATCTGCTGATTGGCTCAACCTAATAATTCTTCAATTAAAGAGTCACAATATTTCCAGTGCAATAATTGTTTATTAGTTCAAAACACCTTAAACTGATTTCACTACAGGTTTAATTAACTTGGTGCTTAATTTCCTTTTTCATTACTGTTTGTTATTTTATGCTAGTGGTAGTAATTTCCGGCTTAAAAAGTTATTTTAATCGATCATGTAAGGGAGATTATACAGCAGTGCAGTTAAACAGACAATTTTCAATTCGTTTTACCACCAGGATGATTAGTCCTACTATTTTATTTGCTGCAAATATCTTTTTCTAATTGCCAGTTAAAAGTCTCAAAGATAACAGACTTTTATTCTCTGCACTCTTAGATATGTAATCAAATAGAAAATAATAACCTGGAACTCTATCACTTAAACTATGTTTTGCATTTATAATCTGTGGACTCTGACCAACACCTAAAAGTAGAATATGTCACTAATGACCTTGACGAATTTGATATATCAAACCTATAGCAAAGATTCAAGTAGGGTTAAAAAGACACAATCAGAAAAGTAGGGTTTTATTGTATCTTCAGTTGAATGCAAACACATATAGGTAATACGTTCATTGCTTCAGGAATGATTAGAAAGCGGAAGAATTATCTAATGAAAAACGAAAACATTTTGTAAACATTTTTTTCATTTTCATTTGTAACTAGTAAAACACTTTTCTTTCTTATCTAAATTATCTAAATGTTCTTATCTCATCCCTATTCATTTTTTTTATAGTCTACACTTCTATTAACAGCTAATCTACCCTGTGCTAAACAGTTCAATGTGTTTGATAATAGCATTGGTGTGGCTCAACTAGTTCGTTTACAAGACGAAAATAAGGTGAGAAATGAGTAGCGAACAGAAAATATGTACTGGCTTTTTTTTATCAACAGTAGAAATAGATTCATTTTATCATATTGATTTCCGACTGAAAAATGCATGCAGTAACAAAAACAAAATTTCTTTACCAGGATATCACTCCGCCTATATATTCTAACGGTTTTGAATGTTTCAGGGTTCGAACTTAAGACACTTGCCTAATAGTCCTAAATCTAAATTTATGAGACACTGGTTTCACACAGTAGAAAATCAAATAGAAAATTAGCTCACGATTTACAACATTCTCTCATATCATCTAATGGCTTTTTTTTTCCTTCAGTGAATAAGAAAATTATTTATGGCCTTAGAAAATAGAATGCTTACAGATATGACCTTAGTAGTTGAAATTTTCTCTTATCTATTAGCATTCTATCAATAGTCGAACAATAACTTTCATTATTCAGTTTGCTGTTTGATTTATCATTTCAATTATGATCTTTTTACAACTTTCGAAGAAAATAATTACAAGATCAGTTGAAATAATTCGAATGATATCACAGAAACTTTTCGCTACTACTACTAGTTCCGAAAAATATATATATCAGCAAAAATACTAATATTAGTCTAGCAATTGTAGAAAAAATAGCCAACTTATGGATTCAATATCGACTCGATCAATATCTAAGCTTCAAATATTCATAATATTATGGATGTGTTTCCGAAAATATGAAATATTTTACGTTTAGGAATTATTTAATTAATAGAATATGTTCAGGTACATCTTAACAACAACTTCAAATTACATACTTTATCTGTTTGTCACAAATTCTGCGTAAACACTATTTCTTATTCTTCTATTCAATGGAAATTAGTAGGTTACAAAGGAAAATAGGCTCGTTGTAATTTTCAGTTCTTAGAACAGATTAAATTATCTGGTATACATATTTTTAATCTTAGTGAACGTCATTAAGCAGCATATTTATTTCATATGAGAACAGGGTATTGCATTGTTTTAGATATTTATCGATCCAACTCAAGTTTTCTTTGAACTATAATATTCAGCAATTGCAACTAACCAAAGAAGTCTGTGACAGTCATAACTGTCATTCTGATTTATATATTTGCTTTTGCAAACATTTTAGGATTATCAGTTTGAAGATATTTTGAAAGATGTATTATCAGCCAGTGATATACCTGAAGATGAAATAAGTTCTTACTACCTTTGTGACGAACGTTCTAGTAAGCATATTATTTTATAAACCATTACGTCAATAATTCATTTGTGTTGGCCGCATGAATCTTCCCATTGATGTTTAGGATTTCACTTGGTCAATCTATTTTGCATAAATACAGATATATCCAGCTTAAGAGTTCCTGGACTCCACTCCTAGCCACTGTCCACCGTTAAGTAAATATTCGTAGTTAAATAGTGCATGTTGAAAAGGAGTTAAAATCATTTTTGTTTGCATGTCTGTCACCAACTAACGAATATTTATCAGTTTCCTAGTCATCAAGCGGAATCAGAAGGTTCACTGAAACGCGAATCAACCAACCTGTTGATATTACTTGCTTTCATATTCACATGATTTCGTCATTCATTTTTAATTCTTTTAACCATATTGTCATCTACAGCAAGCCGGAAACTTCCAAAGCTAGATTTAAAAACGGAGAGTAAAAATTTGAATCAAGATATTTTGCAGTTTTTCTTGGCAGTAATGATTTATGATTAAATTTAGTTGACGTCAACACGAATCTTCATATATATATATATATATATATATATATATATATGATGATGAAAAACATTATGCGACTGCGTTGGAAATTTCAATAATTCAAAGAAGTTTGATTAGTGATCGAATGAAGAGTGGGGAGGTAAAAAGCAGTTTATCGACTTGATAACTGTATACTGATGAGTTTAAATAGAGATAAAAGATAAAACATTATAGTAACAGTCTAATGATCATTATGAAAAATTGGAGTATAACAATTTTCTATAAAATTCGTAAAATATGGAGGTAATTAAGACTGTGGTAGATTGAGAGACTGATTTTAACCCTGTTGCGCTTGAAAACAGCCTTTAATCGGTTAAGTGTCAAAGCCTACTCAATATATAAGCTATTTATGCTCCGTTCCAATCAAGTATTGTAAAAGTGTAGGAGATTTCGAAAGCATGATGAGGTATTCTGGAACAGACTCCTTTGTTAAGAAATCGTTCTATATTTTTTTAATTTATTGTGTATATGTTTCCATTGACTGCATTTTAACCGTGTTTCAGATATTATTCGAAACTCTTGTCACTACATTCGTGATTTCTATTCATTTAAACGTAATCATACGCCTAAATTACGCCTGCGTCAGTATGATAAAAACCATGGTATGTATTTACTGCAACAAAATGCACTCAGTATGAAATTTCAAGAAATTGGTAAGGTATTCTTTACACTGTCAGTACTTCAATGTACACCGACAGCACAGGTAAGTAGATAAGGCAGCAATATTTCTCATATGACATGAAATCTAACAATATAATTAATCAATAGAATTTTGTCACATTTCTCAGGAAATTACTTAACAATGTTTCATCATTAGAGATGTATATGGATTTGTCAGTGGTTTATTGATCGGCAAAGGAGATACATTCATATGTGTCTGTCATTTTGCTGTTCATTGCATTAATAATCACTAATAATAGAATACTAAAAAATTTGTAAATCTCTAGTCACCTACTAGAGCATTAAGTAATGCATTGACTTAGTGACATATTCAAGTTTATAATGAGAACATTAAAAATGAATGAGATGCCCATCTGGCTACAATTGATTGATTCAGTTGAGAGAGCATTGATTTCCTTTACTCTCACTTCTAGCTACTACCAAGTTAACTAGTAAAAATCGGATAGAAATGAAATTGACTTCAACTGATCTCCAGCTGAGTCCATTAATTCGGTTATAAATGTAAGTATTAGGCATAAATAACTTGTGTCCTACTTGCAATTTGTTCAGAGTAGTAACTAATACACACCTACTATTGCAAATGCCAACAAATAGATTTTTTTCTCATGAAGTTGGATTCGATTAAATCTAAGCTCTGATACCTTGATAGTCAGACATTTATTGTTTAGCTTAAATAATCTACACTAGATCACTGGATTTAGAAATGATTTTTGTAAAAAAAACCTCTTTATAACAGCAAAAGAAGTGATTTTGTGCTTACTGCTAGGTAGTTATTTTGTTCAGTGACTACAAATTAAGCTTCAGTTACGGTGTTTATTTAGCATTTATGTGTGTTATCGAAAAGTAGTTTCTAATTTACTGTAGCATCCAACAAATAGTTGGAACTAACTTATTAACTTTTGTAGTATCATGATTTACAGAAACGAACTCATAGATTCAATTCAAAAATTTTAATTATGTACCATAAATATCATAGTTCGATGTATAGAAAAAAGTATGTAGAATCTGTATTTTTTTGATATATTATTTAGCACTGACTGTATGTTACCTATACGTGTATCATTTTTCATTATGAAATGTTGAAGATTTGACTTTCTTTTTCCCTAATTCTCGAACTTTCAATTTAGATTCCTAATCATGTTTTCTTCTTACACGAAGAATTAACTAAACTACCCTCATTTCCGCGTAAGGCCCTGGAATCAGACTTTAATCTTTACGAATGGCCAACATACGGGCGTCCACTATTTGCATTAGATACAATACATAAGTTATCTTGGTGTCAATTAATCTCCAACTTATTCATGATGATGCCTAAAACTTATCCATGGTCATCGGATCTACAAATATTCTTGAATGTTTACAATGGTACACTAATATTACATGCAGAAGATTCATCCGTTTTACGACAATGTTTAGCATTCTTCATCCAGGTTAGTTTAAACTAAATCATGAGTAATATATTATATAGAATATTTATTTTTTCGTTCAATTGCATCGGTGTACATTGTTAAGAAAAGTTTTCCCAGTATCAACTTTGGTCATATTATAAACTGTCTCATAACAAACCCATGCTTCCGTATCAATTATCAACATTTTGTATTAGAAGCGAAAAACTTTATGGTAAAGTTTCATCTTAAGGATTGGTTTTTTAACTAGACAATCGTCAAAAACCATAAAAGCACTAGATAAATTTGTCTTGGCATGGAACCTGTGCATCTCACTTTATTTTATCATAGTCAAATTAACATTTGAAGTTGTTGACAATGCGCTTCAGTTTGCCAATACTACTGACGATATTGGGCTAAGTGCCAGTACCAAAACTTCTCTTGAGGAATGTAGGGTACATGTATATATATATAATGTACATTATAGAAGAGAAAAGTATGGAAGAGGGTATTGCTGAAGTTCAAATTTATCAGCAACTTCTTTGTTAAAACTGTACAATAATTTATGCGCAAACGTCTAACTTCATGTAACAATGATACAAATAATCTATTCTATCTATTGTCAATAGAACGAAAGCTGGTTACTTCCACTCTATACAAATAAAGCCTCAAAATACTCTTTCCCGAAACGTTTTAGTTATTCATACTTTACTACAAGTTCCTCTTTTTATTCCACTAGTCTATTATTACTTTGTAAACTAATGCTTCCTTTCGCATTAATCTATTATTCATTTTATTTTATCAGTGCTGTTATCAGTTCAAAACGGTATTTGCAACCACAGGCTACTCTGGCATTGTACCAACATTAATACGTGTTTATAATCAAAACACACATAATCCAGTACTTACACAAGCTATTGAATTTACATTTAGACAATTTTATGTTATGCATAGAACACCATTTATATTACAATTGCTGGGAAGCATCGCTAACTATGTGACAATTAATAATGAAATAATTGGTGTAGGTGACGAATTTTATCGAGTAAGTGAGTACATAGTGTTTTGTGTTCAACACTACTTTTCACCATTATAATTTTACGTCAATCATGCCCCCCACTGTAGTGTATAAAGACTTCGGTAATTCACCAAAAGTAATATTAACTACTATTTTAGTACTGGATTATTTGAACGAGTATCATTTATCCCGCATAAAATGTAGGCATATTGTGACAGTCACACATTGTGGCAATTGATTTATCTATATGATTAAAATATACGCATGAAAACAGTAATATGAAATATGATTTCTCATTTTTCATATGCTAATTTTAGACTATGTCCATTTACAATTAAACTTTATATGTCAAAATCAGATATTCGGAATTATTTTGAAGTAAAATTCGAATATACATAGAATATACACATACAATGGTTGATGGTATGATATTTATTGGTTGCTCAAACACACTAGACAGTGCAGAGGAAGTAGAATTAGATGACTAACAGGACAGTCGTTTCAATTTAAAGCTTATTCATCTCATGAAATATATTTTTTCAGCTGTTCCTTTTCATCTAGCTGAATCAGCATCGACAATCTTTTTAGTCACTACAATGAGAATTTAAGTCGAGTGACCTATTATGTAGAATAATGATGATGAACAGTTACTGAGTTTCTTTCATTTGTGAATTATTTTATTTTACCACAGATTCAGCCAGGGACTTTATACAGATTATTACGTGTGATAAGCCGTCCTTTAGATGATAATCTTCGTATATTGGAGTTGTGTAATATTCAGAAGCCGTTGGAAGCCTTAGTAAGTTCGTTTTTCATACTGAAATGATAAACATTCATATTCATTTTCATTTACTATCCTCTAAATTTTTTCGTAAACAAGACATCATTTATTTGAAACTGACTGGACAGTTAACAAGTGCACAGACTAAGTGTTTAAGTAGAAAAATAGAAATGTTCAGTGGTACTTTGTCAAGAATGCTAATCTTTGAAGTTTTATTAGATCAATATTTCTCGAGCCATTTATTCAATAAACTGTTTAAATAACCTTTCTATAGGACTTTTGTTATGACGATGAAGAAGCTAACTGGTCTATTTTCGAAGTTGTCAATCTCTGTGTAGCTGTTATAGTCTATGCTCCTGATTCATATAGATCCAGGCAAATGTTGGTAAGTAATTAATTCTTTTCTTATATGGAATAGTTCGTTTGAAAGGAAGCGGTTCAGGATCTTGAATAATGAAGATATAATAATTGAAAGATCAATGGTTTGACGTCAATTATGAAATCGAATATTGCTGTTCCATTGTTGGAAACGTGTGATCACATTTTTGTTCTGATCCGACGACTAAAGCATTATTGAATAAAAGCGACAGCCATATTTTCTGACTGTTTAATGTAGCAGAGAAAGTTTTGTTTAGCTACTAAACGTTTTATTGAACAAAATGTTATCATTATATTACTAGCTGTGTGAGACATGTATATCACATGTGCACATCACATGTAACTGTCGTAAAATGTGAAATCATGCTTAAACTCAACTAAACAATCTTTAAACTGTAAATTAAGAGAAAACAGAAAGTTGATATCTATTTTTTTTCCTCAGCTTTCCCGGAACTTTGATTTAAACTTGAAAGTACTTTGATAAAAGTATAATTAAAACAAGAATGTTTAGTTGCACGCCTACAATAACTTTCTTTTTTATTCACTCAGCTTAATAACTTATCCAAGCCTCAAATCACAAAGTAAGATCGAACTAACTTTTATATAGTCTGCAAGAAGTAGTGAATTGATTGTTTGGAAGAACTTTCTTCAACGAATCTACTCACACAAACGCTTAAGCACAGTTTAATTGTTTTGGTTAGATTTTACATACTCTAAAATATAATGAACGGAATTTTTCCAGTATTGTTACAATGTAGGAAGTTATATTTTGTGGTCATTTGTGGTCTCATGTGCAAACTTATACACTAACCTTATTTTAATTTCATTGTCGGTACATGTTCTTAGATAAATTCGGTAAGTTTAATTTGACGGTACATACATTTTTATAGTAAATAAATGAAGAAATTCATATTTAAGTCTTTTAAATTTAGGTTATTCTTCAAGCTTTAATGCCACTAATTCTTAAAGATTTGTCATACATCTGTGCAGAAGAAGGGAGTAATACTGATCCGAAAAAGTCAGAGTTAACAGCTATTCAGAAAATTTCAATAGCAATGCGTCAGCTTATTTCTACAGCGGAATTCATGACCAGGTGTGTTAACCCCAAGAAACAATAGTTATTTAACATTTTGTCATTATTATGATGTCAGATATGTGTGAACCTTTATTACATTTATCTATTTATGCGTTTAGCTACCTTATTCATGTTTTAAATTTGTGTTCAACATCATCAAAGTTTAGTCCTAATTTAAAATGCAATATCTCCTAAAGCAATTTAGATGAGTGCTAGGTCTTTTGCTTCACATGAATAGGGATAAAAATATTAAGCTGTACGTTGGGATTAGTGAATAGTATTCATGGAACAGAGATTTTTTACACATTCGAAATCATCAATCAATCATTGTTAGACCACCATTAGAAACCTGGAAGCACTGAACGGCCGTTTCGTCCTAGTATGAAACTCCTCAGCAGTGCGCATCCACGACTCCTGCTCATCGCAGGATTCGAACCCGGGACCTTTGGCATTGTAGGCGAACGCCTTACCATCGGACCACTGGGCCGGCATCCAACGGTGTTAATGTCTAACTCTGATTGATCTAGGGATTTTGCGCGACCTCACACATTTGTCTTTGGTAGTTACTGCCTACACCCGACAGGGTTGAACTCCGTTGGTCACGTCTTCTCAACTAGAACTCCGAGAAATTCCTCACGAAGCTAGTCGTGGATGTGCACTGCTGAGGAGTCCCACACTAGGACGAAACGGCTGTCCAGTGCTTCCAGGTTTCTAATGGTGGTCTAACAATGATTGATTGATGATTTCGAATGTGTAAAAACGCAAACCTCCAAAACTGTGCCCCAGAACAAAGATTTATTGAGAGATTTAGGTAAGAAAACAATTAAGCAAATTCAACAGCGAAAATTACAGGATATTCAACCAGCATTTCTTTTTCGTCATACTAGCTCTTGTGAACATTAAAGGTAACTTGATACATGGACTGTATGTCTCCAGTGTATAGAAACAGTGGTTTAATGATAACCGGTAGTTGAACATTTAAATAGTTTCTACAGAATCTAGTCTCATAATTGGATAGATTTAATTACTCTGTAAAATAATCAATACTTAATAGGATCTTACATATTTCACCTGTTATTCATTCGGTGTATGTTTTTACATCGGTTCTTTTAAGCAACTGTTTGGTTAAATGATTCGTTTCTTGTCTTTGAATTATGTGCTAATCTCGAGCAGTCTGAAAACATTACTGGCGATACATGGGCTCAGCTTTGTCAAGAAAGCTTCAATTTAGTTAGTTAGAACTAAAAGGTCTCTGGTATATGCCTACTATCTGCGAAAACTTCAAGTTATATTATCAACAGTATTAAAACCTTTTGCTGATATTTTTATGGGTTTACTAGGAATATATTCAATTGAAAATCCCTAGTAAGCCTTAACTTATGGTGTTGAGGCCACTCATAGTGATTTCATTTACATCTCTAAAACTCGTTGATTTTGCTACTTCAGTAGAACTGCCAGATCCGTACTGCGAATGGTATAATGAAGCCATTCTTCGCAGTGAAATTCTCTCTCAAAGATCACGGTACCTAGAATTAATTAAAGTGTATTTTCACCAATCTGTCATATATTCTTCTGAAGTATTTATTGAAATCATCATGTGTTTTATCTTTTAGAAGGATCGAAGATATTCGTCAACTGAATTACCTTGCTCCAGGTGGGCCGACAGAATGCCGTAAGGAATCACCTGGTCTGTTGTTGACTGGAGTAGCCACTAGGCTAGTGAACTATGAAGCTGCAAAAAGTAACTTTAAGTCATCGGATAAAACTAAATATAACGAATTATCTGACAAAATGACTAGAAATGAATTATGTAACGATATTAATACTTTGCCTGCAAATAAAGGTTTCCCTCTTTCAGTCAGTTCAAATGCATCACGCGAAAAGGACATTCAGTCAAATAAAATCTTGGGGAATCCTACAACAGCAACCAGTGGCAATCACCGTCCGATAGCTTATGAACCTAGAGAAGCCGTTCTACAATTGGCCTGCGAATTTCTATCTACCTGTTCTTTGCGTCTCTTGGAAATAGAAGAGAAACAGCGTATCTCTGATCTTCTAGATGCTAAATCACACATGGTAAGCTGTCAACAGTCTTAATATTCTACAAATGCATCTAATAATCTCCACAAATCAGTACTTTTAGCCCGAAATTAAAGTATTTATAAAGCGAGAATCAGTGAAATGGGATAACTTATATTAAAAAACAACAGTGACAGTTTATAACACGTACACAAAGCACAGGAAATAAACACATCTTGTATTTTTTAATGAATTAGTGTATTCATTCTGACAGATAGTTACTGGTAACAAAAAAGCATTTTCCGTTACGCTCACTTACCAAATCAATAATTAAGCCCATATGGATAATGGACATTAGCTGTTTTCTTCGGTACATTATAAAATACTTAACTGATTAGGTGAGTGAATATATGTGAAGTCCAGATTTTCTATTTAGACTAAATACTGTCAGTTGATTACTATAATCGGACTTTAGTGTTAAACGTCTATCCATCGAAAACATCTTTGCTTGATTTCGAAAAAACTCTTGTACTTGGATTTCATATTTATAGATGGTGCCTAGGTTACGGGTAGTTTCTTTTCAGCATATGATTTAAGAACCGAATTTTTTTTGTTGACTTGTTGTTAAATAAGCTTTTAAATTTTATTTACACAGCGACTAGCCGATATAGCTCAATTCATGCTGAAACAAGTTTCTAACAGTCCAGATTTCCTGGCTAGTTCAGCCTTACAACGCTATTTTCTGGAAGTGCTACCAGTTATCGACTGGAGTCATGAATCATTGAGATCGTGTAAGGCATTGGAATGTCTTTTGAGTCGTCTGAATAGAACATTACCAAAGATGCTCGAATTTGCTTTTAGATCCAAGGTGTGTATTATTTAAAGTCTTAATTGCTACTTATTTCTTGTTTATTTTGTATGCTAATATCAATCAGTCTTTAAAAATTTTTTCATGCCTGATATGTTATATGATTTTCCGGTATACAAAAGATGCACTCAGTTAAAATACTTATTCTTTTATATTATCATGGAGCAATGGACAGATGATGGTGTTATGAATAGTTGATGGTTTTCGTGTGCTCAAATAATCACCAGTCGCATAAATGGACAGTTACTCCTCCCGAAGCTCTTGTAGGGTTTCTTCCGGTTTCAAGCACAGATGAAGGAAAAGGGTTGAGTATGGGGTTAAAATTCCACTTCTTTAGAAAACAAACATGCTGAAAAACTCTTGCCAAAAACAATAATTCAAACCATTTAAAATCTGTCTAGGGAGTTAGAAGATATTCATTCGAAAGATTTCGCACGCCTCATTATGCAAGCCACATTTCTTTGGAAGTCACGAGGCCTATTCCTCTTCTCACAACCAGAGCAACAATCAATATAGGTACATGGAATGTTTGCACAAAGTAGGATATCGGAAGAACCATCCAAGTTGCTGAAGAAATAGGAAGATACAACATGATGCTGCTTAGATTAAGTGAAGTTAATTGGACTCAGGCTAGACTAAAAAGATTGGCTTCTGCAGAAGCACTTCTGTTCTCGAGCCATGAAGAAGGCGCCTCACTCACAGAGTTGAAGTGATACTATTCGAAGAAGCCCGAAATGCGCTGTTGTGATGGCATCTTACAGACCCAGGATCATCAAAGCATTCTTCAAGACAAAGAAGGCGGGGATTACTATGAATGTCACTTACTGATATGCGCCCACCAACATTAACGATGAATATGACAAAAATCGAATTGGCGAAGAGCTACAGTCTATAGTCGAGAAGTGCCAAGAACCAGACCATTCTGATGAGAAATCTATATATCAAGGTTGGAATGGTGGGCAACATTGGATGTGAAAACATCATGGGAAGACATGGATTGGGAGAAAGGAACAAAAACGGTGAGAGGTTTGTAAGTTTACGCACATTCAACAAAATGGTTATAGATATCACCGTATTTCTACACAAATGAATACACAAAACTACATGGGTTTTGTTGGATCACATTATGAAGAACCAAATTGATGACACCTGCATCATTAAAGTTTGGGAAGAGTAATGGAAGACGGGAGAATAGGGAGGGGTGTTGACCTGATTTTGAATTACCCCTTGGCACTGGCCATGATGAAACTGAAAATAAAGAAGACCTGAACAGCGGAGAACATGGCACTCAAAGGTATAACACGACTTTTCTTAGAATCCTCAGCAATACGTCCTGAGTCTAGCACGATCCACTGAGAGGAGAGGAAACTGCTTGGAGCTCAAACATGTGACAACTATGAGATAGAGGGAACAAACTCGGTGGAAAGTATGGTAAACCAGAACGACCACTGAAGTGCAGAGGGCAAACCAATCACCAAGATCGGAGAACAGCGAATCACTTGTGAAGAGCAGTTTGAAGAACCTTTTGAATAGGCCAGTCCGACAGAACCCACTGATCATCGAAGCAGCACCTTCGGACGTTCCGATTGATGTTGACCCACTAACAGTGGACAGCTCAGATGCAGCTAGATGATTCAGAATCTTCAGATGATCTAGCTTTTATATCCCCTACTGTGCAGCAAATCAAGGAGAAGACAACCAAACCATGTAGCAGCAGCCTATGTAGAAGTAGGTCTCAGCATACACAAGGGAAAAGGCAGGATCCTCAGATACAGCACAGTATGCACCAACCAAACCAAACTTGACAGGAAAGCTTTGGGAGTTGTCGAAAAGTCTACATACCTGGACAAAATCATTGGTTAACAAAATAGATCTGATGCAGATGCGATGACACAGATTAGAAAATTAAGGGAAGCATTTCTACAATTGAAGAGCAGCTGAAACTCAAAACAGCTGTCGGAGAACAGCAGGCTCAGAATTTTCAACACAAACATAAAAAAAATTCAATTGTATGAAGCTGAAACCGGGAGGACTGAGAAAGCCGTCACCCAAACAACAGGGGTGCTTATTAGCAGTTGCCTACCCAAAATATTGTCGATCACTTGGCCAGATGCTATCAGCAACAACCAACTGTGGGACAGAACAAACTGGATCCCGGCAGACGAAGAAATTAGGTAGACGCGCTGGAAGTGGATAGGGTACACACTTTTGAATCTCCAAACTGTGTCACAAGGTAAGCCCCAACTTGAAATACTTTAAGTCAAATAAAAAGAGTCAGACCGAATAACATGTTGAGCTGAGAATTGGAGATGGACATGAAAAGAATAGATAGTAATTGGGAAGAACTAAAATGGATGACCAAGGACATGGTTGGATAATCCTGGTCAATGGCTTACACTCCATTATGGGTAATAGGTAATCAAGTGTTTAAGTAGTAATGTGATTTCAACTGAATATTTTCTATTATATTAATATAAAAAACAAAATCCAGTTCAAGTTATCAGCAAGGCACTTTTCGTGCAATCATTAAATGGACACACATAGTCGAAACCACCAAAGATATTGTTATCAAGATCAAAAACTTTCGATTTTAAACAAAACACTTTTGACTCTCCATATTGTTTTCATCTCATATCCTAATAAGTGTTTAGTAGGAAACGATGAAACGATGACTTACTGAATCTAGTTATTTCGAATTTAGTGTTTGATCGATATTTTTTGTGATATACTCGTTAGTTTTTTAGTCAGATTTCTCTACTTTTTTGTTGTTAGTCAGATGTGAAATATAAAGAACGCAATGATCTTTATGGAAATCGTTATTAAACGTACATAAGTCCATTCCATAGTGTGCATCGAAATAAAGCAGTAAAATTATGCTTTACATTTTTACGCAGATATATTGTCAATCGTATTTGCATAGTTTGGATGAAGAAAATTCTGTTAACATGTTAGAATTAAATGCTGAAACTAATACCACCTTTAGAACATTTAATGAGTTACAGTCGATAATAAACACTCACCGATTAGTTATGAATATGGAATTTTTTTGAATAATAAATAAGTTAAAGTTCTACTAAAAATGGAACATTTTGTAACAGTATATTATTTGTCATTCACTACTGTTTCAGAATTATCAGTATGTCGTACAAATTGTTATTACACTTTACAATCTGTTAACTCTGAATGGTGAGGTGTATTAACAAGATTTTTCGGACATGAGATACGTATCCATTAATATCTGCCAACATATTTTAAATGCTATTATAATATGAGTCTAAATCACAACTGCAAGTATAAATTGCCCATACACCGTTAAAAAAGCTAAATCCCCACAAGTTTTATGCAATTTGCTTTTAAACTACCAACATTCCATAAATAAAACAATCATGAAAGAAAAAAATTTCTATTTTAAATAACACACATTGTTTTTGGTTTGCGTAGAGCTGTTTTAACTCACACCTGGGTAATTATTTTCTCAAATAATTATTTTTCGTATATTTATATTTCAAAGAAACAAATAAAAGTGTCTTACAGGATGGTTCTACACTTCAGCAATTTATCAATCAAAAGGTTTATAATTAACTATAATTTTGTGTTGATTACAACCTGAAATGTGCATACTTCTTAGTCAAAATAATATTTGCATGAATCATTAATTATTTTCTTTTCGTTTGATCACGCCTTTAATGCAAACTGGCTACCCGTTGCTAAGTATATGCATATCATAACGTTAAAAAAAAAACATTCTGTCGGCCTGATCTACATACATAGCTCGCAGGTACTTTAAACTACGAATCGTATACGAATTCACATTTATAATCCACGCCAACAAATAATTCTCCGATTGATTATTTTTAAAACATTTCTTATTTTCTTAGGCAATTCATCATTGGGATGAAATTGTGAAACTAATTCGATCAGTTTACTTTATATTGAAAAAGAATCGATCCGTAGCACATATGAAAGAAATGCGCGTAAGTCATAACCTTTATTAATGCATCATTTATGTGAAGTATTCTGAAAATTATTGTTACAGGGAAAGGATGTGACTAGGCAGAAATAAAATTTTTAAGAGGAAAAATTCCATTAGAACTCTGAAATTTAATCATCAAGCATCAGAAATGTAATACTCATGTGAAATTTTTATGCTGTGTGCACTTCGAAGTCTTATATTATGTACAAAGAAGATTCGATTCTCTAAAATAAATCTTATTTAGTTCGTTTCAATAGCTTCATGCATTAGCATCGACAATACTAGACCCTGACATAAGAATGCTCTAAGTCTTTACTCTCATTTGAATGGCTAAGATGAACGATGTTTTTTCGACCACGGCCTGAACCATAACGCTTAAGTTCCACCCTTACGAAAACAACAATTTTTAAAGACGATTTTCATCTCAAACTGACTTATTTTCGAGAACTTTGGGAATTTACTATTTTTTACCTAGATTGCTTGAGATTACCCTTGATTTCAAAAATGAATTTTTTAACATAGAACCTATTTCTGAGATTTTTTGGTGCATTCTCTGCCGTTGAATAGCCGTAAATAAATATGTATTCGTGTTTTCCTTTACATATGTTGTCTTTTGTGTCTGTCTGTTAGGTTTTGGCTGAAATTCTGAAGAAAGCTATCGTTTTTGACGTATCCGAATGTTTATCTAGCTTTCCCAAATCACGTTTGGATATTCAGCCTAATCACGCGATTGGTCATCATAGTCGACCAAGCTTTGGTGAGGTTTTATTTGGAATTACATCACAAGAATCAAGCAGTATAAGTGCTTCTGTAGGAGTTGCGAAACACTGCAACAAAATGAAACAGATTCCTGTGTGTGGCGATGCCGGATCATATTGTTCACCTAGACACAGTAATCAAGAAAATTGGCCCCAAACTGTCCTTGATGACAGTGACAGATATGCCTGCCAGTTTACTACCGAAGTGATTCGTCTCTTATCCTTATTCTCACAAATTTTAGGAGTAAGTCTGTAATATCTAGTTCTCTTAATTTATGAATAATTTATATACAGTCCAACAATTTAATGTCAATCGTTCAAAGTTTATGTAGGTTTATTCCAAGAGATGTATCCTTTAAAGATAAAACATCTTAGTAAAAATCTTAGTAAAATTCAACGTTGAACCAAATGGTTTTCTCATTCAACCATCTTGATGATTCTACCTTGAATACAAATTAATAGTACTTTAAAAATTACTCATGTAATTCACAAGCTATGGTAAACGTTACTATATTAAAAATTAGTCAATTTACTTCATTTCATACATATATATATATTTTTTTTCTCATGCTCTGCTTTTTTAGCCTCATTGCAGTTTAAAAGATTTATGTGAACGAATTTCACCAGAGTACAATATTCGTTTTCCAACATTACTTGAAGGTGGATTCCAGACGCTTGTAATCTATTTGAACAATCTAATATTACCATTATTATTTCGAGGTTGTGCTGGACGGAAAGGTATAATTTCATTAACATTTCTTGTTTATGATAATTATCAGTGGATAAAGTTCAGAAAAAAAATATCTGATTTCTAATTAGTTAAAATATCAAAATGTCTGATTTATAAAAATCTTTATACTTTTTATATCTTATAACTAGTATTATTTTGTCAAAGGAATGTTTAAAACAGACTTTCAAAAAATTTAATGACACTAATCTTTTCAGACATTGATCACGTACAGACATGAATACAAATTAATCTGAAATTTAAAGTGAGAAATTAAGCAGATGGACTTGTGATTACTTTATCAACAGGAATCTATAATAGATTCAATGACCCTAGTGAATAATTATTCACCGTCCTATAAGCAAACATATTTAAGTTTTTTATTGAAGGTTACATGTTGGTAAAGTAATTTGTTGTGAAAATGCCAGGAGTTATTCACTTGCCCATTAGACATTCAAGTGTTTACCTGTTCATGACATTCATAAAATTAACCACTTAATTTAAATACTTAAAATGCATTAGATCTGATCCAGTAATGATATGTTGTTTTTATTAAGGGGCTTCTATCAAATATCTGGCTTAGCCTCTTGAAATGATATAATATTCACGTAACAATAAAAAAAAATTTGCAAACTTGGAGGTTTCCAAAAGATTGCTCACATTTTGTGACAAACTTTAAAATAAACCAGAATTTTTTATTTTCATTATCATAAACTCTTTGTACCAATAAATTTACATTCTCAAGAGAAACACCAAGAAAAACACTCACATTGATACACTCAAAATATTAGCTTGATAGACAGGAAGATGGTTGTGTTTCTTCAGAACTCGTCAACTGAATATGCCTAAACTCTAGTATGTGTTGCTTCTTAATGAAAGCCAACGCATGATTAATAAACAAATCGTCATTCAATAGCCTTCTCGATTACCATTACAATTAAATTCACAAACTCCAAATTCAGTTCTTCATGTTTACATCAAAGTGAAAATACGTATATTCGGTTGACGAGTGCCAATCAAGCTTTTTGCTGCTTCTTAGTTGGCTTTTTAGTCTTTTCATACATTGTTGATTTTAGACTAGGCTCTCTATCAATCGGATTCGACAACTAATTGAACTGACATCAGTTTTTAATATTTCAGATGAAAGTATTTATGTAGTAGTCTTTTCTATTTCTTAGCAGGTATCGGTTTTGAGAAACTGAATGCTTATGCAGAGTTGTAACCTTTCATTTTTTGTAAAGGAATAACTCAAATGGATATTTTATTAGTCAAAGTGAATGATAATAATAATAATGATAATAATAATGAAAAACAATCGATAGAAAAATATATCAGCTTGCTTTAGACTTCACACATAGGTACTCTTAAAATTTACTGTCACCTATGCAAACTTTCCTAATTTGCATTAATTGATTATCTTCGCTTTGGTAGACTCACCAACTCTTTCAAGAGACAATGTTTTCTATGCACTCGATGTATGCATAACGGCTTTGTTCGCAACAGATTATACATCAAATGCTGATGGACAAAGATCTCTGCGCAATTTGACCAACATGAGTAATTCAACTCAACAACAACAACAACTACTACTACAACAACAAGCAAGTGATACAAGTCAATCAGCACTACTATCTGGTAAATTAAAGGATAAGAGTAATAAAAGTCCAATTACAGGATTTGAACTACGTACAAATCCAAGTATTTCATTGAATAGACAAGCAACTGGCTCCATTGCACAAGACAATGCTTCCACTAATACCACATCCAATAATAATTCAGCTTCAATAAAGTTGGTCAATTTATCAAATTTACCAACAGATTGTGACGGTAATTCATATGCCAGTTTAATACGTTTACTGAGTCCGTCATTGGTGAAAATTCTACCAGATGAAAATGGACCATTTAGTAATTCAGTACAAATTACCGTTTCAAATAAATGTCAAGGAAAACAAGATAGTCTTCAGTTAAAATCACGTCCTTCGGTAATACCGAATTTAAATAAAACAAGTATATTAACTCAAAAAAGTCGTCCACAGGTGTATTATTCGAAACTTTTAGATCCAACTTCAATTAATATTGGATTTCCCATGGAGAAAATCAAAAGTTTCAAGGCTGAGTTTGCACACCGGTAAGAATAAAATATGTTTATCGTCTCATAAGCTTCTCAATCATTGAAAATGCTATAGATTATTTCACTCCCGTTGTGTAATAGCTTGGCCTACATAATATACAGATGATAGAACTAGTATAAAATTTGTCCTTATATGATGGACATTCTCTCAGGTGTCATTATCACTTTTTATGAATTCATACAACTTTTTAAAGAGAAAATTTTCATCGAAATTCGCTTTTCTTATTGCTTGATGACCTCTTTTCAACACATGAATGAGAGATGTTTTCTATTTCTAAACAGTATTCTTGTATAGGAAATTAACCCTAGTCTCTCATGTAGTACCTATCAAATGATCATTATTGACGCCGATTATATAATGGTTAAATGTATTCTTGGCTCCAAACATGATTGATGTGAACCGCTTATAGTAGAACAACAATGGTCTAACACATCATACTATGAAGACCTTTGTATGTACAAGTTGCGAATGCTTTCAGTTAATGACTTCTTACTAGTGATATTCATATCAGTTATGTGCTGATTTTAATTCAGTTAAAATCAACCTGTGAGTTGACTATGAAGAAAAACTGAGCTTAAAAACAGTAATTTCATAATTAATGTTGATATTAGAGGTTAGACTTCTAAGTGATACAAGTATTTGAACCTTTTAGTTGAAAAATAATCATTTTATAAATAAATCTTTGAAAATTTCTAATCACGTTAATACAATCGTTCGTGAAAACAATAATTGTTTCAAAATAAATTTTTTTATTCAGTGACATGAATTCATTATTATTACTACTACTACTGACAAAAGTTTAACAGCGCCATACATGTCAGACAAAAATTAAAATCATCAGATGAGATTACAAATCTATCTTTCTGATGTTTGTAGATGAGCTGCCAATATGTATATATATTGATAATCTTAATTATGTAAGGTGTTCGCTGGAAGGTTTTTGTCAAAAACTTTTGTTTCTTTTTATCAAGGGAACTATACCACTACAGAATCATACAGGTTGCATAGGGTGGCTGATGCATAGAATCTTCTTTCTATTTTGGTTCTAGTAGATTATTTTACAGTTTCATGTTGATGCATTCAGTTGACTGCCTAACTATCATTAATTCTCTTATATTTATTATTAGGCTTGGATTTTTAGGACTGAAACTGATTCTTGTGGCATACACACGTCATGCAGCTGTACGAATGAAGCTCCTAGTAGCTGCATTGACACAATTAGCTTTGAATGGTCAAAATGGTATACAGCTGTGGAAATTTTTCGACTTTCTAGTAACTTATAGACCACCATTATTTGTACACTTATTGCCATTTATACGATTCAAAGTAAGTAACTTGTGTTGACTGTAATATTATTTTATACACGTTTTTTTTGTACCCATTCACTGGTTTGCAGTCAGCATTGATTAAACAAACCAAGTCCAGTCTCACTATATTTCTTTTATTCAAAAAACAATAAAGGTTTAAATTAATAACTTCATTTATGGGTAATTGTATGTTTGATAAATAAACGAACTGCAGTAATGTTGTTCTTTAAGTCTACTACTCAATGCAAGTCAACCAACCAGTGAACAAATTCTGTTACATCTTTATATTCAAATTACCATATGCTTTATCAGTTTTTAACTTATAGCTTTTCATTGAATTGCACATGTAGAGGTGATTTATTGTTTAATTCATTAGTATTTTTTAAATTATTCCCAACTGACTAGACTGTGGTTTTTATACTAGTGTTATTTTCATTCATCAAAACATTGAATATTTAAAGGAAAATTTATAAAACACTAATTGAACGTAAACAGTGTAGATGAATCTTTTTGTTTTTTACCGAAAGTCGATTTTTTCAAACAAATGTGATTGATTTACTAGGTTCACAGCTGAACTACTGAAATACCTTTTATTTTAATGTTAATCTTTGCCGTTCTTTTCAATTTTCATCAAGTTTTTTGAAAATTTTCCAGATGGCTCTGCTTCAATGTGCAAGTCAAGGAGAACAAGCGTATCAACAAATCGTTAATCAAAAATTAATTGGATTACATTTACCTATACCACAAACAATCGCTTCAATTTTAAGAAGCTTATCAAATGAACTGCAAATTATCAATTCTGATTTAAAAGTAAGATTATAATCTGTGTATATATGTTTCATGCATGACATAGAGATGAAGAATATGCTCTATTCGATAAGTTCTCATCAAGTCTCAGTGTTAATGTTCCATTGTGATTGTCAAGGTAAAACATCATTTGAAATTACAGTATATAAATTCAGGATTGTTGGTTAAATAAAATGAACTGTAAATATTGCCATAGACTAGTATAGTATAAAATGTCAAGTTTCTAGGTCAACTGAATTTATACAATTAAAAATCAGAATAAATATCAAGAACTATCACGAATCAGGTCATTATTTTGAGAGTTTCCAGGAATCACTACATCATAATCACGTTTATCATTACATGATAACACCAAAACTTTATACGCCAAAACATTTTGATGAATTTAGTTCTTATATCAAGGGGATAGAACTGAATATTGACAGACTTTTACCAGTGAATGAGCAAATGACCGTGAGCTTTCGCCTATAGATTACGTTAATAAAGTGACTGAACAATATTCGCATAAACAATGCACCCAACTACTCAACCAGTTGTAAACATCTCCGATTTAACCTGAAAGGTATATTCATGATTTCTCGACCATTGAAGGAAAATTTAGTGCTGGCACGGGTTCATAGTTCTGTCATACATGCAGTTGTATGAATCCGATATATATATATATATATATATATATATATATATATATATATATATATATATATATATATATATATATATATATATATATATATATATATATATATATATATATATATACAGACATTCAGTTCGAAAGTATTTATAGAAATCAAATACAGTTAAGATCTTTGCTCAAAACCGTAAACTATTGAAATCAAACATGGTTGGTTGTTGATATCATTATAAGAACACTAAATAGAGATGCAAGAGTATTATAAGAAAACCATCAGTAAACCATTGGTGAACGTGTCTAAAATGAAAATTTTTATTTTTGCACAACCTGATAAAGAAACAGGAAGTATTTTATAAAAGTAAATAGGTTGCGCCGATAAAAATTCAGTTGACCTTGGAACTTGACATTTTATATTATACTAGCCTATAACAATATTTTTACATTTCATTGTATTTAACCGATAATTCTGTAATTGTAAATGATGTTTGAGCTTTAGATTTGATAATCACAATGGAACAATAACACTAAGACTTGATGCGAACTTATAGAATGGAATATGTTTTTCATCTATATGTCTGTGTTTTTGGTTCTACGGAAATTTTTAGTCAAATTTAAGGAAAAAAGTAAACTTTTTCACTTAAACAGTAAATTATAATTATCTAAATACATGTTACAAAATAACCTAATCATAGTTTCATAAGTATTAATAACTACTGTTTTCAAAGTATAGGAGAGAAATATTTATAAACTTGTTTTTGAAATTATTCCACAGGCGTTTAGTAAACGTAATTATAATGAAGCAACTCCACCTAGAACATCAAGTTTACATGATTCATTGCGCCGTTTACGTTCATCGGATAATACAAGTTCCGCTTCCGCTCGTAGTAACAAACATGCAAAGTTAACCAAAGTCGTATCAAAAAATACCAATGAACATGTGACTAAGTCTTCCAATAAAATGTCTTCAAAAGATCAAGTACATCAAAAGCCACAGTTACATGTTTTGGCTTCCGTTACATCGGATTCTACATGTAGTGTAGATTACCGTGATGAAAATATCATTGGAATATCAAGTAAGCATACAAAATTTGACATGTTTCTTTATTTTTTTTTCAAGCTCTAAATGTTAATATATATGATACAATTCATTTTGATGGTCATTATGGAAGCGCCTTCTTGTCTTATTGTAAACAGAACAAAATTCTGAAATAGAAATCTTTCTAGGAAACCAAACGACCGTAATGGTTCTGGTTATATTTCAAGATTAGTTCACTTCAAAAACAGTTTCCATCTCAAACTAGTTTCATCTTGAAAAGAGTACAACAGACTTATGTATCAATAATCATCATTTGGTTTTTAGAATCACTCCAATAATCTAAACATAGAACTTTCCAAGCTTTTAGCTCTATAAAGGTTCGTCAGCTGATATCTTGTTATGACAGTCTGTAAATCAACTATCAACCTCAAAGAATTACTTCTTATATCAACTTATGACTCAGTTACAATTTATATTCCGTTGTAAACCTCACTGGATATAATCGAAATATAAATAGTAATTGAAGCACCATCCATTTGTACAGTTTATCATTGCAATAGTTCTTACTTTGTTTAGCTACATCAATAAATATATTTGAGCATAGTGTTAAACTATTTAAGTTTAAATTATTAGCCCAAGATCTGTCAGTAGCACATTCCTTTGACTGTGTCATTAGTTAACACAATGCATCATATAGTTTCCCTTCTCAAACAGGTCGATCTTTCAAAGTAGACTGAATGAAAATAGCTGGATTTGAACAATAATAATACTAATATTGATAATAATATAGTGGACTATCAATAGAATTAAACCGTTTTGTTAACCTTATTGGTTTTACATCGACACAGACACTGGAATTATCAGAAATTGTGTTAGAATAATAATTGCCCTAGTTACTGTATTATCATGATGAATGAAGACATTAAGACCAGATGCCATGTAAAGGTTCGTAACTGTCTTTTTTTCACATGTCATCCAGTCGTAAGAAAAAAAGTAAATCGCGCTGTATATCTGGATCGGACACTTCCATTCAGCAATAGCTTCTGGATAACACTTCATTGCATAATATCCATAAACCACGTTGTGAATAGTATCCGCCACAGTATGACGAAACAAATTCAAGTTTACATCTGCAAATATAATTGTCATTCTAATGAAATACATCAATTAGTGAAGAATATCAATGTATGTGACGTTCATAGCTGAAAGTAATAAAGGAGTATGAATAACAGATAAATAGCCAAACAAAGAAAACATTTTCTAAGAAAATCTATAAACACCATTCGAATAAACACACAACTGAAGACAAGTTAGTCAACAGAGTTGAGTCAATGAGTTCAACAATCACATGTTCAATCAGAATGACTGTACAGTTTTGATTTTCATGTACCTATGTCAAGTATCACATCCATTATACAGTTCTATAGTTTGATTCAGTAAATTAGTTGATGCAACAAAACCGTAGGCCGAATCTACTATTACTTCCTTTAACTTCAATGTTCATCATGTCATTTTATTCCTAGCTCGTTAAAGCATATTGCAACCGTTGCTTTCGACTACAAACTAGAAGAAACTAGGGAAGAAAAAAAGATGAACCTGTTTTGTTCGTAAAATACATATTCTAATATTTTTAGTTTACTTCATAGCTCTAATAGAACTGCCAATAATATGATAGTCAGATAAATTTTACTTACAGATAAATTTCAAGAAGCTAGTTTATTATCACCAACAGTCCTCTTAAACTGTCTAGATATTTTCGCTAAGCACAACACGAATCATCTTCACTACTAGTAGATAAAGTATTTTTTTTACTAAAACCATTGTTCAGTTAAAAGCGTCCTTACTGTATGTATGTATTTTTGACAACTTGTAACCAGAGTAAATATCATTTCAGATTTAGACAGACATTTGCTTGGGAGAAAAAGCGTCAGTCAGAAATTTAGACAAACTTCTGGAGTACGAGACCCTCGAAAACGTATCCATGCTCATCAGGGTAGTTTTCTCCTAGTGCGAACTAGTGATCACAGTCAAATGGATCCAATTTTAACTGGTAAGTGTAGTAGTATTGAAAACCGGAGTTTTGTCTATTTTTCACCTCGAAAATGAATTTTAACTTGTAATGTTTCAGTAAAATTATTTCCTTTTGATAATAATTGCAACTACAATATCAGAGAATGCTGTTAACTGTTTAATCCTCTAGTTGCCTTTTAAGTTATAAGCAAAATTAATTGGAAGATAACTTAGCTAGTTCACTGTTTATTTGTCTTGGGTTTGTTTATAGAAAGTATCAACGACAATTGACCACATACAGTCTATCAATAGTTTGATCCGACCTCCTTGTTAAAATAGTGATATGGCTGATGACTGACTACGGTAAAGGTATTCAAGATGCGACATTAATCAAAGGTTCTAAAAGTTACGCATGTGCAGAAGGAAAATAATTTAACTTGTATGTTACAGAAACATCAAAAAAAAATGTAAAGAGATATTCAGCAATAGGTAATAACGAAGCATCGATGATGTTAGTAAACAACTACATTATTCTCTAGAAAGGTTTCTTGGACTAAAATGATCTTACTAACGCACTCTATGAATGAAAAAACTGAAAACCAGGTCAATATTCCGAGTTCTTACATACACCTATGTCTAAAACTTAGGTCCCAAGACCAAAAGAATAAATGATGCCATTTTGTTGAGTTAGTAGGTAATATACAGTTGTTGATGTTTTAAGTCTTCAAAATATTTTATCCTACAGTATTTGCAAATATCAATGATAAAACCACTAAGGGTATTTATTTATGTTTTAAAATTTCATGACAGATAGCTTATGAAAAAAAACTTGAGCTAGCACTTCACAGACCACATATTTCCATACGACAGCAATTGTATTTTTGTCAAATCTGTTAACCGTTCCTAAAATAGAACCAGTTTATTACTTTCTTATGCCCAGAATCCCTTCCACTGACATCAAAATCTTCTCAATATTGACTTCCGCTTCACCTCAAAGCACACAGCAATTAGCCTACGACTTAAGTCCCCCCTATCTTCTGGTACATTCATTGAAAAATGTGTATCATAGTTCGATTTTAGAAAATAGCTCATTTAAGAGATTTATTTTCTTAGTAAGGAAGATAACCATTATTTAGTCTGCAAATGATAAGGATTTGTTGACCTTCTGGAATTTTCATAATAACCGGTAACTTTTCATGCTCTCTTCCGAAAAAAAAAGATTACAATTTACTGATTGTTCTATCTACATAGATCGTGTTATCAGCATCCATAATATGTGCGCATATGGTTAATTAGTTGTTAAATTGTTGTTTGAAACTCAGACCAGTTGATTTGGTCGTTCTTTTTTTCCAAACAGCCTCTGCAGAAAGTTTGGTAAGGAAAAGTCAAAAATCAGGACATAAAATAATCAGAACTCAGTAAGTGTTGTTGATATTATTATTTGGATACGTAAAATGACGTTTTAGCTATTCACTCTGTTGTCAATGAATTAATTACGTTGTTTATAACTTTTTAAAGATCGCTTTTTTTTAGTAACTGTTCATATCATAAGAACATCATTGAATGGAAGGATCAGCATCATACTATTTCCGAAACTACTAGACTGATATTTCAAATCTCTCTATAATCCAGGTTCCAATCTAAGCAATTGTCACTTAATCATTTGAAAAAACCAAAAATATCTCAGATAATCTGATTGCAAGTCAACCAAACACTCTCTTCTGATTAGTATCAATTTAAAAAGAAATGATGAGGATTATTGGTTGAGTTATATTTCCGAAATATTGTTTTTAGGATATTATTATTCATCTGGATGCTGAGAAGTGTCAAGTGAAATTGAGACTTGGTCAGAGTTTAGTCACATTCGATTCCCATCTCTGAAAGATGAGAATTTTGCGATAATTAGTTCTTGTAAATGCTTTTGGTGAAGTAATGGTTTTATTTTACCTTTGCAATTCCATTTCACCTAGCATTTCGTTATTTAAACAGGGAGTGACTCACTGGTAGAGTATGTAACGGGTCTGCTTCCACCAGCGGGCTTTATTTTCGAGAAAAAGCAGTTCCTTGATACTAACTTCAAACAGACATGAAAGTAAGACAGCGTTGAGAAACTTGAATAAAGCGATTATTAAAAGATCGACTCAAATTTTTACTGCAAATAACAATGTTCTAGTTTAAATTAACTATACAGCTACATCAGAACGGTAATCAAAGTAACAGTAACTTTCTAGAATAATATGTGTACTTCTTACATTTATTCTTACTGCACAATCACAACGTGACTAGATTATTATTTACGCATATTCCTCGCATCTTGAGCTATTGGTGAAATTATTAACTACTCTTGTTTGATTCCCTACTCTCAAACTGTTGCTATTTTATTATTCGTGGTCTTCGCTATTCGCAGCCTTTTTTGGTCTAGCCCCGTATTATTGTGATTTCCTATTTGTCTGTGTGATGGGATCAAGTATGCTTGTATACGAACCACATATGCTATTCTTATAATGGAAGCTGGTTACGGACTTCTGGACTCGACAAGCCGGGCAAGAAGAGAATTGTGGACCAATGAGAACTTAGCTGCTCTCTACCGCGGAGTCGTATTCTGATTGGTAGTTCAGATGGTCACCTGATATTAGTCATCGGCTTATGATACAACAAATATATGCGTGATTATCAGGCTAGACACTTGTTTGTGTTACTAGAAGTTAGTTAGACCTAGTGTGGGACAAATTTCGTTTTACTCAATCTTTGGTATTCTTGACTTAGACTTTCTGAAATGTTCATATGTTTCAGTAGTTCCTTTTTCAATGCATAGTGGAATATTTTAGGTTTCACCTCAATTGTTTCATTTTTATGTTATTGATATATTTGATGCTTTCGTTATCTCATCAACTCTTAGTGAAGCAAAGCTAACTGGAAATGTTCATATGTACAAAAATCTTCCTGTTGATGCTTTAAAACCCAGACTATCTAATGATTTAAATGAAGATAATCAAAGTGAAAATTCACTAGTCAGTGAAGGGTTGATAGCGCCAGCTGGACCAGCAGCAGCTGCTGCAATCGCCTCATCACTTTATGGATCTGGTAAGATAATTTTTATGAATTCAGTCAATTTTATAACTTCTGGGGTTAGTTACAAACTGGATAATATCTAAAAAAGATGGATAGTATTAGACCGCGATCTTGCAAAATAATAAAAAAATACTTGGGAAGCATCGATATAGAACTATTATGTGGTTAGCATTAACCAGTCTGGTAATTATTACAAGTGTTCGCTTCTCATATAAATGATTTTAAAAAGCTTTTAGGGTTCATGTATGGATGCAAATATGAGCATGATAATAATGTTTAATGCTTTTTGAAAGTGACATTATTCTAATTCCCTTTTTTATGTTTTGAAATAAACTAGCTAGTGATAATTTATAATAACAGCAGCAATATACGAGTATTAATAGTGAATTTTACATGAACTTTTGATTTTAATAATTCTCTTATGTATTGACTAGACAGATCTAGTACATGATCCCACTCATAGCAACCTCAAAGTCAGTCGGCACCCGACAAAAATAAACCCATAATTTCAGGTCATGGTAAATCGACATTATTCCATCCATTATTATATTTCATCGTGTCAAAAGTTGGATTATACCTGATATTTTCGATCCCTCTAATTATTGTTTTAATCTTTACTTAGGTGCGCCATATTTACATGCACGAGTTCGAGCACGGCAAGAATTAGCCTCCTTAGTCAAAATACCAGCACCCAACCTGAATTCAAGCGAAAAGCTATCCGAAATCGACCTCGCATTTGTATCAGAATTAAGAGGTGATGATAACGATAATAAGTCACCCGTTGACCAGGAATCGAAGTACCAGTCAAGTCAAATTAGCGAAGTTACGGGGCATTTCCTTTTGAAACTCGACGATTTAGAAGAAAAATCTCCAGACGAAAACGATCAATTACGAGATATTACAAAATCACCTATAACAACGTCCATTATAGTTGATACAACCAACATTTCAACTACTAAGACAACAACAACATCAGAAGCCCTAAAAATGATTCAAACGACTAGCGATAAGATTAGTCAAATGACTTCAGGAAAATCTAAAATTAATTATGTTTAAATTACATTTATATTTTCGAAACAAGATACATTAAAAATTCGTAAATTTAAGCAAAGTTCACGAATGTCACCCTTTTTTCTTATATGAGCAGACTATTAAGAAGTAAACATCTAGTATTTTCATTAGCATTATTAGATTTCTAAACACTATTACAGTTTTGTCTCTTTTTGGATTTTCCCACTTAGTGTTTTCATAAAAACTAATATTTAACCATCGTTGGCATATTTGCTTCCTTCTTGTGTGTGATCATAATAGAGAAAAATACACAAAATCTTAATGATGTTTCTAACTTTGGTTCGAGCTGACCTATAGCAGTTACTGGAAGTTAAGATTTTTCAGATGATTTCTCGACAAAATTTAACGTCCACATTGGTTTGGACACGTATTTTTGAACACTGTACCTTCTTAATAATAATAAACTCTAACATTGCCCATAATGGCTTATCATTCATTCAAGATCTTTTATATCTTAAAATGAAACCCCTTTATCGTTATGACAAAGCAGTGTACGAACAAACATACAAACTAGTTAAATAAATTTTACTTATAATCTGAATACCATCTGAGAAAAAACTTGTTAATAAGGTAATCCAGTTTCGTTGTTTTAAGCTCTGAAAAATATATATCACTCGTGATGAACAGTTACAATTATTGTTAAACAGAACTACTAGTTAAATATCTCTTGATGAATATACTGAAATTTATTGATCAGGTTAACTACCTAAAAATCAGTATACTTTCTAAACTAATAATGAGAATAGTTTGATTGATTATGTACGTACGTATATCATTTCAAGTTGCCACACCACGCAACTGTCAGTTCAGATCCCGTAGTGATGGAGATAGTGGAAGAATTAGCGGTGATGGAGAATATTAGGAATCAAAGATATGATTCGAGAAGTATAATTCAGTGAGATAATTCTAGAAAAAGAAAGATACAGATGACGAATTCTGAAGATTAGAATCAGAGAGAACACAAAGAGCGGATGCACATGCGCCATCGCAAACGATTCTGAGCCATGTCGTTCAAGGTCCCTAACCATTGGTGACTTTCGTCTCGCGGACCCCAACCAGGTAGCCTGCATCTACCAACATGACTCAGTCCAATTGTCAGTGACGTCATGCTTATGTTTGGCCGCCCTTAGAAATGTAATGTAATAAGTATGCAGTTGAATAAATTCAAGTGTGTATTGACCACTTTAGTTGTTACCGAATCAACATTCTTTGCAAGAATTGTCTTCTGAAGTAGACGAGTTCAGGTGCAGTTAACTGTTATCACCGGCAGCGAAGTCATATCAGGATATCCCAAAATACCTTCAAAGTGAACAGTAACTGAGGGGAATCATGCTAGTTTTAACTCACAACGCGAATGTGTGGACTATGTACTTCCCCTTTCTCAAGTTCTGAATCACAGACATCCCTACTGATTCGCAACAGCAGTTGTACTTGTTGACCTTAGAAAGCATTTAATTCCGTGAATCCACAGGTTTCATATCAGTACCTGTCATTGGAAGGTGTACAAAGCAATCGCAAGGATCTTGTCCTGGCTCTCTACTGGAACACTATCGGTTGAAACAGTTATCAGCTGCCCCTGGAATTGATAACTTCCAGTGGCGTTCATTAGAATCATTCTGTTTCTCCGATTTATTCAACTTTGTCACAAACATTCCTTTAAAGATATCACTTGTTGATAAAGATATTAACAAATTATGATCGAACATGGACAGTATTCATGAGGTTATTTTCTATATTAAGATTAGTACAATTACGCTACGAAGAAAGGATACTTATTACTACTCATGGATGCTAATAATTCCTAATACATATGAAGAAAACCATGTCCTCCTTATAGCGTAACCCAGGCAGTAGTTTTGTCAATGGTTTACCTTGGAAATCTCGTTATTCACGACCTTAAGCACATAACTAATGTATAAAGAGATAAAACTAAATATCTTCACCAACGTGCAAGATCTCAACCTAGGTGTGAACAACTGAAAAAGTGTCGGTTACCTGATATTACACCTTGCTACTATATAAGCCTTTCAGTCCTATCAAATGGACACTCCATGTTGTAGTAATCGGTTTATTGATTAGGATGAAATGTCATCACTGAGACAAAAAGTGAATAGATAACTTTAAAAGCGATAATAATTAAGCAGCATAGGAAGATTCATAAAAGGGACAGTAAGCACACAACACACACAACGTACATAAATAAATATAAACAAAGAGCATTATTATAGAAAGCGCATGTATAAAAATACATAAAACAAAATTATTTTCAATACCTAATTAATGAGAATTATTTGGACTATGCATGATGTGACAAATGTGCCAGTGGATATAAAAAGTTGGTCGCTGACAACAGAAAAAAGCAGTCCCAAAATCAATGTGGAATGAACGAAAATAAAAGTACATTTGAACAATAAAAACCCTAAATTTTAGAGTTTCAAATAATTAATATTACTAAAAAAGTGAAGACATTGCATAACTAGATAGTAAATTACTGAAATGTAATAAAGACATTGCATAACTAGGCAGTAAATCACTGAAATGTATATTGTGAAGAACGAAGAATCAGTAATAACGTACCAATAGTTAAATGCGAAGGACAAGATAAGTAGAAAGCAAGATTATAAACTGACTGGACAACGTTTTCCAGAAATGCAATATGTTGTTAGAAATACGCCACTACTAAAAATAATTTTGGCTACAGGCGAAACGTGAATGAGATGCGTGAGAAGAATTAAATTCATTACTGGAAAAATCGTGAGATTCAACAAAAGGATTTGAAATGTGAGGGAACGGTTTAGGACATATATTCAGATGTGATAAGTTTGACGTCATCTTTGATCCTGGAGAATGTGAAATTATTAATTGATTTAATGGAATAGATTGATTAGTTACTCCACGACGACAGTTTTCAAACAATGAGGAATGAATGGTAGTGCGTGAAAGGGATGTGGATTCGTGTGCCGCTGTTGGAAGAAGCATGGCAACTGTTGGACCTGATGGACAGCGATGCCTCAAGTAATTCGGCCGATATTTGTGACATCGACTGGGATTTGACTGGCAAGCACCTAGAAAGATAAATAAAAGATTATATTATAAAGAATCGTCATGGAGTTTTATGAGGATTTCCCGTCACAACCCAATCGTTTACCATGAGGAACTATGATAAACGGAAGAGTTATGAGTGAAAAAATGGTGTTTCGGGTAGCAAACTTCGCTCGAAGAATTAGCAAGAAAACAACCGGTTTGATTATGAACGATGTCCGGCAATCGACACACTAATTAACACGATATTCCTGTCTCACCAAATAAAGATGAAATTTGATCGCCAGAGATCTGAATGGTGAATAATAAAATGGGAAAACGAAAGTATAAGTAAGTCTCAACAGCCCATCGCTTAGCAAACAGTCTACCACATATACATATATATACCACTCAGTAAATGTATTTTTTAGGAACCCAGTCAAACAAGAGCACGTCTGAAGATAAATCATAAAACATCAAATTAATAAAAGGGTAAGCATGGATTCGATTTTAGATGTCGACATTAAAAGCACATTTTTCGAAGGGAGCTACCAATATATAGATTTAGCAAATAACTCTAAACAAACGAGGAACTTTAAAAGACTAAATGGGACCGCTAGATATAGTGTAAGTAAATTAAACCAACCTGTGTATAGTCAGTCTCTTGCTCAATATATTAGGCTTATCATATTTGCTAGTACAAAAGAGAACCTATACGTTGATGCATCAAAGAATTTGTGATATGGGATATTATAAGGGTGTCCAAATCGAAGCAGGCATACTTTATTAAAATACTGAACATTGCATCGACTAAACCTTGTTACTTAAGCACATTGATAATCAGTCTAGCGACAATGTCATGCTTAGCCAAGAAGGGATGCGTTAAACGATAAAGGATAATTTGCAAAGGCTAGATGTATAGGTCACCTGTTTAGTCATAGTATATCCACATAAAGTTTAAATAACTTTACAGCCTTAACTTTAACACTAACTCTGTTTCTAGATAAATTAATGCAATATCAGATACGTAAGATATTATGTATGCACGTTAAGCAACAAACCTTGAGCGAAAACGATAGCAAAAATGAATGAAAATGACTGAAGTATAAAGTACAGCCACTGAAACACATAAAGGATTCGTTTACAGCGAGGATTAAGTCTTCTAAGAAGGTATCAACTTACATGAATACACAGAATAGGGGTACATTTTAAGAGTTGAATTGCCAGAATTGGTAGTCACAGTGCACGGAACTATATTGTGTTTGCCAATAAACGCAGGAGATCCTTGTGACCAGTCCGGAGTTTTCATAGAGGCTAGGAGACATGTATCTTGAGCGATTTTACGACCGTACTGAAGCTTTACATACTCCCGTTCTGAAATGCAAGGGCTATCAAAACCATCCAGTTGTCGGCGCATTACAAAATTCCAGCAGGTATGTAGCCAATATGAAAAGCAGAATCAGTGAAAAGTATGGGAACTGATAGTCGATGAACTCAGCTCATTCTGATGTTACAATGAGCCGACAGAAGTCATCCGCAGCCCACCAATTCGAGCGGGGGCACGCGAAATACAAATTTGAACAACAAAATTCAACCGTAGTTTCACTTTCCAAGGGACAGGAGGCTGAGTGGCTTATAATAGTCTTAGAAATGTTGATTCCTCAGTCAATACAAATTTTTCTGGATGTTTCAACATATGGAGCTTTAATCGCGTGCCGAGATAAGAGTTCCATTCATTGACGATTCGATGGGAAAGTCGATAGTCAGTTGACAAGTAATATTGCTTTAGACCTGTAAGCTTTTCCACAGTCCTCTCAAATGCTCTGTTTCAAGGGACAAAAACTTTATGTCAGACACAAATTCGTCTTCAAGTAATTTGGAACTGTGACTAAGTCCATTTTTAGTTTTATATGACAAGAGAAACAGGTTTAATCTAATCAGTTTATCTTCAGAAGGCAGAGTTTTTGTTCCAGAAATCAACTTAGTTGAGGCTCACTCAACTTTTCACAAAGGCTCACGACCTTTTCTGAGAATTGCCTGGTTGCGAGTTTGCGATAATCAAGTATAGGACAAACGGACACTGAATACAAAGTAGAAAAAATGAAGCTATAAATAAATCCAAAAACAAATAGTTCCGTAAGTTTTCGACATGAATGCTGACTACATTTGTTTGACTGAACACGTTCTGGCTAGAGGTGCTCAGCCATGCATTTATACCAGATGACGATAGAGTTGGCCGTTCAACATCCCGCACCAACTAGAGAGCTTAGTTTTCTTACAACTCCACAACTCAAATGTAACTTTCAATCTTATCATTCCTGACTTCTGGATTGACTTAGCTCCGGAGGGCGCTATGAACAAAAGCGTTGTCCAACTCCAAATATTTGCCATATCATGACTTGATCAGGTACACTTAACGAGATACTCTGAGTCTGTTCCTTGTTACAATTTATACGTAGCCATATATCTTTACATATCGTGTGACTGTTCTTATCTTCACAATCCAGTTTTCCATATGAAGATGCAGAACAGAAAACTCATCACTACTTGGGCTGACAAGGACTAGTTCACTGGAATTTTATTGTGGCAGACGTATGAATGCCCACTCAAAACAAAGGTGCAAACAACGATAGGTTTAAAGTCATCAGCAACCTATCAAGATCAAGGTAATCAGAACAAGCTACAGGTCAAACGTGGAGAAATTCGAATGCTTCACTTCTAACTGAAGTTTGTGCTGATGATGTTGTTCAGAAGAACAATGAAAGCTCAACAACCAAAACATTCAGCTCAGAGAACCAAACACCACCACCACAATCATCCACCTGAGCTACAAATCTTCTCCACCATCTCAAAATCATATGAGCAGGACAAAAGTCTTCATGTGACAATTAAAGAGGAATAAGTCTAACTAATATTGTTTTTAAACTGTTAGCCTCGATTATACATAGACGCCTAACTAGTGCTCGTGAACGGAAGAATAGAGAAAACCAGGCTGTTTTCAGACCTGGACGTGGTTGTATGGACCACCTCTTCACACTACGACAGGTCCTGGAACACAGACACATATTTAGGCGCCCTAAAATAGTTGTCTTATTGAACCTTAAGGCAGCATTCGACTTTGTGGATCGCGAGGTACTGTGGCAGTGTTTGTCATCGAAAGGTGTACCAGAGAAGTACATTAACTTTATACAAGCTCTCTACTCGAACACCACTGGTCGAGTGAGAGCTTATGGCGAACTGTCATCGGAATTCTTTACCTCAAGTGGTGTCCGTCAGAGAAGTCCACTCTCTCCATTCTCGTTTAATTTTATCATAGACATGCTCTTAGAAATAACCTTATCCTCGTCTGAATTGTCAGGAGTAGACCTTCTACCAGGAGGCTCGCTTATCGACTTAGAATATGCCGATAACATAGTTCTATTTGGTGAAGAGGCTGACAAAATGTAGTCTTCTGACCACCCTAAGCAACAATGCAAGCATATTTGGGATGCGGTTCTCCCCCTCGAAATGCAAAATGTTGCTTAAGATTGGGCTGCATCGGTGCCTGAACTGGTGATAGGGAGTGAAGTAGTAGAGCGTGCTGACCGCTTCACGTGTCTGGGCAGTCTCATTAGTGCTGATGGCCTGGTGACTGACGAAATCTCAGCTCGGATACAGAGGTCTTGATTGGCTTTTGCCAACCTGCGTCACTTATGGCGTAGGCGAGATATCCGTTTGCTAATTAAAGAACGAGTGTACTGTGCAGCAGTTCGCTCCGTCCTACTGTACGGATGCGAGACTTGGCCGTTAAGAGTAGAAGATATTCGTAGGTTACTAGTCTTCGATCATAGGTGTCTCCGAAGCATTGCGCGTGTATCATGGGACAATCGTTTAAGCAATGTTGTCATTAGGAAACGAGTTCTAGATAGGGATGGCAAATCAATAGATGGAGTAGTGAAGCTTAGTCAGTTGAGGTGGCTGGGACATGCGTTGCGAATGCCTAACCATCGACTGCCGCGACGAGTTATGTTCTGTGGTATAGATTGGAAGATATCTAGGGGTGGCCAAACCAAATCATGGCGAAAATCAATGAAATCACTGACAAGTGGACTTAGACATGTTGGTAACTGTCGACTACCTGGTTTGGGGTTCGCGAGATGATAATAATCGATGGTTAGAGACCTTGAACGACATGGCTTAGGTGCCTCTACTCTTTGAGTCCTTTCAAACTCCAACCTTTTGAATTCCTCATAATCTCTATCTTCCTCCTTCTAAATTTATGTCAATGAATTATACTTCTCGAATCATATCTTCGCTCCCTTATCTTCTCCATTACTGCTAATTCTTCTGTTATTTCTATCACTCTTGGATTTGTACTGACAGTTGCGTCTCTGTGCTGATGTGGTATGGCAACCTGAACTGATGTACTTACGTACGAAGTTCTGCGTTGTATCTGTCTGTCTGTTGTTCGTCGCAACGCAACTCACAGAGTTCGCGCCAATCATTGTATTTTACACTCCAATATCTTGAATATCTTTTAAAATTTACAGCTGAAACACACTGTGATATGAGGGTACGTTTTGTTGTTATTTTTATAATAATAATAGTTCTACGCACATGCGGCTTTCAAATGTCCTCTCACCACTACTCACAAATATGGAAGTTACCTACGCTACAAACCAAATAACTCAGAGGCTGTTCATGAGAAACACTTTCAACTCCCTGTCTATTCCCATTCGGGTGTGCTTGTTTACCAGTGACCTTTTCAATCGGAAGATCACCACTCAAATATCCTAATGTAATAGATTTCTGCACATTTCTTCTTACTACGATTTCAGGTATTAAGCTAAGACTTAACCTTTGGCATTCGAAAATGATAGTCAAGTAAAAGCAATTATTACACAAAGCTACTGCGTTAAATTTTTTCCGTTATGATTGGAGCTTGCATTTTTGTTCACTTTTCAAAGTTTTTAATAATTTATCCAACTTTCCTCTGTCCACCTGTCTTTTATACGCTATGGCCTGTTTTCTCCTTGCGATTCGCCAAGAACTGTGCTTGGTTCCTACAGTTTCGTTGATAGCTTTCGTGTTAACAAATGGTCTTAGATACATACCTAAATCTATTTCATTGAACACAATCAAGTTCGAAAAACCGACTCGTCTTTGTTACTTCTGCCGCTCTTTTGTTTGTCTGCTTTTTTCAGCATTACGAAAGTAACAAGCTAGAAGTAGCAGAGAGCAGTTGGGTTCTCGCCAAGGTCACAGTTCGTATATGATGCCTACTTTCAGGAGGATTATGTCATCTGTAATTTTATAGAACAATATCGATACACTGACCAGTTAATAAAGTTTTCAGTATACACATACGTATATTCTATCATATATTTTCACTGACTGAGTTCAATATTCTACTTCTCCTGTGTAAATCTGCGTCTTAAATTGTTATAAAAATCATGTCGCTAAATTTCGTCAGTCATTCTCCGACTCAATAAGTAGTAAAAGGTATGAAGTTCATTAGAAGAGTGTTTTGAAAACAAGACCGTGATGAGTATGTACAGGTATACTTTCACGAAGAAAACACAATTGCTGAAATATAAACACTTATTATTGTACTTAATTCTGACAATAATTGTTTTATTGTACTCCCTTTGTTTATCTTTACTGAAGATTATCTCTCTAAAGCCAAGCGTGTTTTTCCCATTCTGCTTCTCTGCATCTCTCCTGCCTGGTCACAGGATGATTGTCTAGCCTCATCAGTGGGAATTTAGCTTTCGTAATTTTTAATTAGAAGAGAAAACATTGAATTTGAACATTGTATCTTTGAAATAAAATTCCATCATTTTTCTTCATTATGGCTGATCCTCTGATACGCCAGCTGTTTATATTATTTGCTCACTAATCCAGAGCATCAAATAAGGACCACAAAATCTTGTCTTGCACTTGAGGAAATAGATTGGTTTTTATATTCAGTTCACTGACACCATGTTTTAATGATACCCAAAAGTTGATAAAACATAAGCTTCCACTGATCTTTTTCGTGAATTTTATCACAAGTTACGAAACGACAGTTGTTCAAACATTTAACCGATGATAATACTATGGTGTCTAATTATTTGTTTAAATTTAAATGGAAACAGTCATTGTTATAACCAATTATACAAGTGGTTGTTTGACTGAACTTCTTGTTCATTCGCACATTTTTGTACAACACTTTTCTTGTTGCTCGTGCGTTTGCTGCTCTGTAACTTTCATCCATTTTCTGTGGCACGATTTCGGTATTCTTTCAGTATGAAATCTTCAGCAGATATACTCCTTCATCTGGACTATCCCTTCTCTGTTATTAATTCACGACGGGATAACGATTAGGACCAGAACATAATTGGTTGGTAGACGTGTTCATAGTCATCTTCGACTCGAACTCCTACAAACTTATATTGATTTTATATGTTTTAGCCTAAAACGTAAAACCTCAGTTGCTAATGGAATTCCTCCTCACCACAGAAGTTCATTTGCATCAGAGTGCGAAAATAATTTGGTGTAATTGCATAAACTATGAGGTGATAGTCATTGGAAAGTTAGAACCGTCGGAAAGTCATCCAATTACAACGTAGGACTTTGTACGTACGTACATCAGTTCAGGTTAGCAAGTCGCATTAGCACAGAGACGCAATCGTCAGTTCAAATCCCATTGTAGAGGTAAAGGAGAAGATTAATTTTCGAAGGTGTTATTCGAGAAGTACAGTTCAGTGAGGTAACTTAAGGGAGAGATAGATGTGATGAGGAATTCAGAGTATTAGGATTTCATAGAACACAAAGAGTGAATGCACCTACGACAGTGAAAACGATCTTTAGACATACCATTTCGGGTCTCTAACCATCGGTTACTATCATCTGGTGGACCTCAACCAGATAGTCTGTACCTACCAACACGGCTCAGTCCGTTTGTCAGTGACTTCATGGATTTGTGCTATTCTTTGATCTGATCGCTTCCAGTTTACGCTTAATTTTTCGAGGAAGTCGGCAGTTGGGCATTCAAAACGCATGTTCCAACTACCTCAACTGATGAGGTTTCAATACTTCATCTATTGATCTGCCATCCTTACCTAGTACTCGTTCCCTTATGACAGCATTTCATACTCGATTGTACAAGGATACACGAGCAGTGCTCCAAAGACTCCGGTAATCGAATACTAGTAAACTACGAATAACTGCAACTCTAACTGGCCATTTTTAAAAGCAAAAATAGTATGATGTTGTAATAGTTAGAGTCGAGAATTAATGACAGAGAAGAAGAAGAGGTAGTCCAGATGGAGTATATTTGCTGTCGATTTTACTAATTCGAAAGAATACCGAAATCGCGCCAAAGAAACACTGCACTGCTGTCACACCCCTTTAAATCATCAGTCCGACTTCGCCAACAGACCTTCAGTAACTGCTTTGAGTTTCACTGTTGTCAAATAGACCTGCCTGACGTAGTAGGACCTGCAGAAACATATGTTCCAGCTAATATAGCTCGATTGGGTCATCACGACAGGGAAGCCCGACCACCAAGTCCATGTACCGGCTAAGGTCGGAATTAGACCAAAGCATGGCACAAATCCATGAAGTCACTGACAAACGGAGATCACTACAAATTAAACCACACTTTAAGTCACCTGGATCATTGGGAATATCATAATTATAAATATATTTAACGGAACACAAATACTTGTGTTATCGGGTCTTTTTTCGAATCGTTTCTTGATCATGTCTCTTATTCTAAGTGAGCTTTACTGATTTGATTTTCATAAGCGTTTGTTCATCAGATGACCACTCGTTTCTAGCGTTTTTTGTACACCGTAGTGCTGAATATTTCTTACACAACATATGTATTTGTAATTTTCTAACTCATGAAATATATTTATCTCTTCATTAAACTATATTGGTGCGTCTTCATAACACCTTTTAAGTAGACTTATTCAAGCATGCTTTTAGTCATGATTTTTGAGCACTACAGGGTTTAAGCAATCAGGCGAACTGAAATGGATGCAATTTATTGTGTTCGAATCTTTGTTTCTGCTTTCTTATAGAGCATTAGCAATTTTAATAAACCTTCAGGGTTATATTTCTATCCATAACTCAATACAAAGGGATAACAAATGACATACATTAAGTCCTTTTGATTAACTTATTTAACAGTCACTTGTATGGAAAAAACTTAACTGTACGATTGTGCTTTTATTATTGTCGCGTTTGTAAGAGCAGGCATGACTGAGCATGGCTCACCTCCTACATACGTATTCATTTTACTGGCCGCTTAAATAATCCGATGACTTATTCATTTTCCGATGTATATATATCCTGCTCACTGGCTCACTCGCTCTTCGGCGCTCTCTCATCATTCATGCACACCTGTGCTTTTGTGATCTATGTGATGCGATAATAAACGTCTTCAACGCCTTGTTTTCGTCTTCTGACTTATACACCGTTGGGCGTTATCTATTAACGGTTATCAGGACGAACAGTATACAAACGTTAGGATTACTTCGAATACCCACATCCACCACACAGGGTGTGACAATTTCTTGATACACAAATAAGTACTTTCTGTGTTGTGTAAGCGAAACTACACTTATCATGCTAATTTACTATTTACATTTCCAAAGAAAATGAAATAGGAGTTAACTGATTAAGTTTCTTAATAATACTTCTTTATTTTTTACTGTACAGATAACAAAATGATGCGAAATCCTACAGAGCTAGTTGATTTCACAAAGGGCAAAAATAAAACAATAACAAAGGAAGCATATGAATGGTAGGTTGGTGACCAAGAAAGGAACACAGAAAAGTTGCCACTATTTCAAATAAAAAGAGGTCACAAATAAATCAATAATAATAACAACGAAAAATCCCACATTATAATTTGGAAGCACGTTTAGGTCAGCTGAAATTTCCAATCGATGTCGAGAGATTGAACAGACCTACATTTTTCACGATTTATACCACGCATAGAAAATATGCATTTACACAAATATACGACGTAGGAGTATTTGAAAAACTAAATTACTCTCCATAATTTTAACTAATAAAGGTCGTCTAATACAGGAATATTCTTATTATAAAGTGACAAAAGACACGAAAATTGTAGTTGTAATATATAGATATCCAAATCGAGCTGAAGATATGCATGCATGCAAAAACAGGTACGGTGTATTTGAAGATCAAGGTAAAACAAATGCTGCAAACTAATACACAAAATACGTTAACATCAGAAAATATAAGAATCTGAGAATAATACATATACATTTGGATATTATGAAAGGCTCTTTGGTACTAGCAAATTAAATTGCCGATTGATCGCTTCCAATGTAACCGCTGTCTCTAAATCTAGTCGATCACGCAGTTTCTCCAAGGGTTTCGGATCTAGATCTATGATGGCACAGCTAATTAACATTTTGGGAATACAACAGCATGTGCCCGAAATAACAGGTGATGATGGTGGACATCTTTGACAAAGAGGAGAGATAATAGTAAAATACAAATTGTAATTAACAAAAGTGTTAAATACTTAAAAAAAAGTATGATAATTATTTCAAATAATTGGGAATGACAGTGTTATTAAACACAACTTTTCAGTGCTTCATGTTTATTAATTAAGACGTTACCCTTGGAAGGAAATTTTTAGTTAGACCAGACATCTATTGGATTCATTGTGAGTAAAATAAATAAAGATTAAGTCCGCTAATTGTTTGTTGCATATTTGCGTAATGATTGTTTGAAGTATTTGAAGTACGAAATAATATTTAAAATAGAATGAAACATTACATGAATCCAGCGCATCGACGTATAAATTACGATCACAAATAAGTTTAATGCTGTTGTAAGGAAGAAGTATTTCTTTACTCATTTGTTTTCAGACTAATTTTTAGCATAGATAAAAATGGTTTTGACGATTTCATAAAATATAACAGTATCTAGTACTTATCAGGGACACTGTATGAATTAAATACACGAAAATAAATTTGTAACAGTGAGATAAACTATTGTCTTTCTATATTTAAAGTGAAATGAAAATGGATTGTGTTGTATGAAAATAAGCGAAATTCTTACTCAGGTCTTGCGCGTTGAACAGTAATCATAATTGAGCAATCCCGAGCGATTAAAGCAATCAAATATTTTTCAACCTAAAAAAGGTTGAGGCATATAGAATAGAAGTAGAATTTTGCAAATAAGGTCGAATCTCTTAAAGTGAACTAGGGCTATAATAATGATACAACAGGTAAAAATGATACTCTGAAAATACATACTTATTTAGTATAAGTCACAAATTTCTTAGCCGTTTTAACACATGTGATTTGGTCTGAATAAAACACTGCGACTCCAGGTTAGATGTCAGGATTCACTTAGCAATATCAAATCAATTACGACTCGATATAATAAGATCAACCTGATTATCTCAGATAAACATCAAAAACTACAGTGGATTAACAACCACGTAGGTAAAAAATTAAAAAGTTATCATTTAAGAACTAATTATTCTGTCTGGTAGGTCCATAGTAATTCAATAATTTAAAAAAAAAGCTAATAAAAATTCACAAAATATGACTAGTCATCATTTTTATGTGATGGAATTGTGTCAAGTTTGAACCTGTTAAGTTGTGAAAACTATTAATTCAATAAAATGCTAGAATAACTGTTTACGAAATAGGAGAATAGACTACTAACCATACGACAAAAGTGCGTTTTCAAGGATATTCTTAAACAAACTAATGAACTTATTGTGAATACGTGTTGTTGGTTGAGTAGAAAGTACGTTTTATCTAGAGCAAAACTTCATATGAAGCATGTTGAATGAGTTATGTTATTTGATCAGAAGGCATGAAAAATAGTTGAACTGTGAAGTTACCTACCACTAGAACATTCATTCGAGTCAATGGAGAATCCTTTATATAAGTTATAACAACTGAAGCCCATTAAATGGAATTTGAAGTCCTATCGTTTGAATATCACTCTTCAGCATACGACAAATAATTAAACTTTTACAGACTATCACAAGACGACTCAATGGTTAGCTAACCTCCTATTTAATATATGAGAATCAGTTTATCAGTGGTTTCCAAATAGAGACAAAACTTCTGTGTTTAATATATACCGTTGGTAAATTATAACGTTTCGTCTCAATGACATTCAATTGAATAAGACGATACCTTAGAGATAGGAGTTAAATGCACTAATATGGTATGTGTGAAAAGATAACAGTTCAATACTGACACAAATTATAGAGTATATGATGAGTTGGAATCAGATCTTACAGTCGGGTCATTATTCAGCGGAGAGTAACTGCCAAAACTGATTACCTTTGATCACTCATGAAATTATTTGTTGTCTATTTTTGTTAAGAATTTGTATACAAGCATCCTTTCTAATTAGGCTGAAAATCTAGTCTTGTGAGTTGTCTTTTCTTTGAAACCAGTTAATTAGAGGGCTTGGGTTATTAGGTTTCGTGAAAACACATCACTTGATATTCTGTTATTGCCACAATTAGCAATGGCTTTGTTCAATATTTTATACTTAGTCAGTCAGTCAGTTAGTTACAACGTAGAACTTTGTACGTACATACATCAGTCAAAGTTGCCACACCACATTAGCACAGAGATCGAACTGTCAATTCAAAACCCATAATAGTAAAGGTAGTAGAAGTATTAGTGGTAATGGAGAAAATTAGGGTTCGAAGACACTGTTTAAGAAGTATAATCCAGTGAAACAAATTTGAAAAGAGAAAAAAAGAGGTGATGAGGAACTCCGAAGGTTAAGATTTGAGAGAACACGTACAATGAATGCACCTGTGCCCTTGCAAACGGTTTTCAGCCATATATTAAGTGAATTAACCATCTGCAATTAAATGGAATATTTTTAAGAAAATAAGATCCTATACAACATTTAATTAGAAATATGTTTAACACTACACATTTCAGACTAGGTCAGCTCTTACAACCTGTTCTTTGTTGAGTATATTTATTAGATACACTATTGTAGAGCTCTTATACCTTTGCTTGCATGTATGGGTTTTAATGTTTCAGTGTCTTGTTCTAGCAGAACATTGGGTCATAACGTCAAGGTAGAAGCTACGGTCGGATCAATAAGTAAGGATGGCAGATCAATAGATTAAGTATTAAAACTTGATTATTTGAGGTATTTGGGGCATGTGTTACAAAAGCTTAACGACCGACTGCCTCAACGAGCTATGCTTTGTGGTGTAGGGGTTGGATGGAAGAAAGGTAGCGGTGGCCGAATCGAAAACATGGCAAAAATCCATACAGTCACTCATAAATGCACTCAGCCATGTTAGTAGGTTGGTTGGGGTTCCCAAGATAATGACAACCGATGGTTAGAGACCGAATGAAATAGCTCAAAATTGTTTGCAATCGTGCAGGTGCATCCATTCTCTGTGTTATCGCAAATTCTAATGTAAACTCCACATGACTTTCATCTTTCACGTCTCAAATCTATTTCATTGGATTATACCTCTTGAATAATATCTTCAGACCGTGATCTTTCGGATTATTGCTAATTGCTACTACCTCTACTACTATGAGATTTGAATTGACAATTGCGTCTCTGTGATAGCATGGTATGGCAACTTGAACTAATGTACGTACGTACGAAGTTCTACGTTGTAACTGACTGACTAACTGACCATGACAGGCTGGTAGTAAAAGGTGGAAAGGGGAATTCGGACACAAAAAATGTTGATAGCGCGTTTTGCATCAGTACACTGTGTTAAGATATCAAGCATAAAAGCTTGTAGAAAATGGAACAGAAACGAGGTATGAGAACAAACAATAAAGCAGGTTGAAATGTTGTTATGTGGATGACGTCTTAATTCGAATCATAAAAATTGTTTCAAATGAATTCAAATCATGTATGATAACAGAAGGCCTACAGATTTGGGGACATCATGAATTAACCTTGATAAAATGAATGTGAACTAGTAAGAAGGATCACTAATCACTGAATCGATTAGAAGTAAAACAATTTCAGCAAGAAAATTAGTCCCGATTTAAAGTAACGCAAATAATCATACAGTGCTTGAAGGTTTGAGAGCAATCATTTTTATTTATAAACTAATCTAAAATTAAGAAGGGTGTTTTTCCGTCGTTCCGGTGATTATCGACTCAAATTACCTTGATTGGTTTAACATTTTCATATAAATATTAATGTATATTAGAGTAAAGCCTAATGATGATCTAATCCAAAACAATATTGTTCGCTTATATGTGTTGTTCTGGTATAGTCTCAATATAGTGGTTGGAGGTTTATTGTATACCAGAAACTTCTAAGACGTTAATTTAGAGAGAATAGTAAAAAGAAAATAAACTTACTATATCAAAACTTTCAGCGATTTCCTGTGTATCCAAATATTTCGACGCTTCCCCGTTTCGTGCTAGTTTAAGCCACATCTCCCTAGAAAGTATTATTTTGATCAAAGAAAACAGACAATATTCTAATAAGAACATTACTGTACTCAAATTTCAAAAGTATATCACAACCAAAGGTAATCAAATGTATTGAATCCCTACTATTCCAATGGGCGAGATACACAAGAAAAATGTGTGTAGGATTAGAGTGTAAAAAGATTGCTTCCTACGCACATGTGCTGACGTACATAAATTACCGAACGAACAACATCTACTATTCGAACGCATTACTGATGACAAGAATCATGTCAAAAATTTGAGCTGGTTTTTATCTATAAACAAGTTGAGTTTGTTGGCGATCAGAATGAACATATGCTTATATCCGTATTGTAAAACAAGACTTATAGTTCGTAGCAAACAGATGTTACAAATTAAAGGGCCAAAACTTAGATTATTTCTTTACTATTGAGTTAAGATAAAATAAATCAAACACGAACAACATTAAATCTGTTTAAGTCAAAAAAGAAGTGAATATTTTATAATTTCTTATTCGATATCTATTCTAATTAATTAAAATCAATGTATTTTGAGATAAAAAAAAACCTGTCCAGTTCAGATAGCAGAACAATTCAGTGTTTATATCATTCGCATGATATTAAAGCAAAGGTCTCGACACAATCGACAACCTATTTATAGTTAGATACATACTTGAAGTGATGTAGAGCCTAATGTCTAAAGTTCATAGTCAATAATGTGACATATGTTGAAAATAAACCACAGAATACGTAGGAAGAGTATGCAGGCATATAGTGCTAATGGAACAGATAAAATAGTGATAAATTTCAAGAATAAAATAATCTCCATAATTTAGATTCGGATTTTAAATGATATCTTTTAAGAAGTTGTCATAGCAAGCAAACTAGAAAAATGTACAAATATAGTAATGTGACATTATGATTGTTTATAACTGTCTGTAACCAAACAGCTTATAATATAATTTGTACATCTGCTATGCTTGCGTTACTAAGATACAGTGGAACGTATAACCAGCAACAGAATAAGAGGACAATCTAAGCTATTACTCTGTGCATGGAATTTCCTCACAGAGAGGAAAACTGGGGGAACTACTGAAATTGCTGAGGAGATGAACAGGTACCAACCGGTGGTGCTTGAAATAAGCGTAAACAATTGGATGCAGGATGGACAAAAATAATAGCTCAAGGAGAGATGCTGACTTTTTCTCATCATGCAGAAGAACACATTTGACAGCATGGACAAGAGAATATTATGGATCCTTCGTCGACATGGTGTTACTGCGGATATTGTCAGCACCATACGGAATTCCTGTGAGGAACTGCATTGTAAAATGGAGGGAAACTCACAAATGCAGTTCAAGTGAAGACCGTCATAAGACAAGGCTGTGTCTAATCCCATCCTTCCTCCTTCCTCTATAGGCTGACTTGATTACGGAGACCTCAATATTTAAGTGGAAGCATGGGATACGATGGAAAGCTCGGATGCAGCTAGACGACATGAAACGCGCAGATCGCCTAGTTCTTCTATCCCACACACAACAATAAATGCGAGAGAAGAAGACCAAACCAAAATTGATAGGGAAGCTTCGGAAGGTGTGGATACTTTACATACCTGGGTAGCATCATTGATAAACAAGAATGATATGATGCAGGTTTGAAGACATGGATTGGTAGGGGGCAATATTCCCACAGTTGAAGAACTTCTGATACTCGAAACAACTTTCAATAAACACAGAAGTTAGAATTTTCACTACAAACGTCAAAATTGTTTTATTGTATGAAGCTCAAACCTGGAGAACTATGAAAGCCATTATCAAAGAATACGGGTGTTTATAAACAATGGTCTATGTAAGATACTGAGAACCCGTTGGCCAGACGTCATCATCGACAATCTACTGTAGCAAAGGACAAAATGACTTCCAGGCGAGGAAAAAATTGGCGAAAGGCGTTGGAGGTAAAAAGGACACATTGCGAAAGCGCCCAACTGAGTCACGAAGCAAGTCTAAACTTAGAACCCTCGAGGCCAAAGGAAAAATGGAAAACCAATTGCACAGTGCACTGAGAAAAAGACAGAAAAGAATGAACAGCACTTGGGAAGATCTGGAAAGGAGAGCCGGGGCAGAGCTGGTTGGAGAATCCTGGTCAGTGGCCTATGATCTATTAGGGGTTACAACCGTAAGGAAGCAGGTATGTTAGTAGACGTACGCGAGTAAAATAATATTTCTTTCCTTATAACTAACTACTACTTACCATGTCCATCCATGTGCTGTTAAAAAAGTACATACACGTTTATAGTGTGGGAAGATAAAAGCAATATCTGTTGTGATCAATAACTGGACAGAAAGTATACGTTGTAAAATACAACCATCTGGAAGTTTACAATTTCTTTGTAAGCTATAACAATTGTCACGTGAAGCTGAATGAGATTTATCTGTGTTTATGAAAGAAAGAGAGAGAAAAGTCAATATTATGTGAAATATAAGATACTGAAAACGGAAAATGTTGAAAAGGATTTAATGTATATATTTATATGAATTTCGAATGATCAGAAACTAATAGTCTGGTGATGTTTCGCTTGAAATAAAAGTCGTTCAATGTCTCCCGTATTTATTCCATTTACATCACTTTGCTGATTACTGCTGGAATCCTAATGCAGTGGACATATACGATATTAGTTGGCAAGTCTACCACCAGACTAAGTTCCTCAATGAAAGCATTGCTTCGGTATTAATTTTTATCATCTAAATTCAGTCAGCAATTCAAATAATCATTCGAATTCACATCTATTTATCCGATAATCCACAGGACCGCATATCTATGAGCGATAAATTAAATTAACTAAATTAACAGTGTGAAAATGACACTATTGTAAGCTGTTAATTAGTTATATATATATATATATATATTCTGATCAGTTTCTCACAAACGTGTCCATCCGAGAACTGAAGTGACCTTTGCAATACTGCCAACTATAATTTACTGCAATTTTATGTGATAACAAATGAAGGTTAAAGCAAATTATAGAAAATGAAATCAACCACATACCAACAACAATAGATGAGGCAAATGTCAGTCTAAAGCATAAAAGTCTTATTAGATATACTGATCATTAAGTTTTGATGAACTAGTTTTTAATGTGTAAATTCAGTCAAATTCATACAGCCCGATATCTTTTTTTTTTACCGTGAAGTGTAAACTGTAACTTTCGTTCGCAGATTCTATAAAATACTAAAGAGTACTGTTTTCATGAAATTATTCAACAAGAAAAACAAACAGAGAACGCCATTTGATTAACATAAGTAAACAAACTAGTTGTTTACTTACGATCTGCGTGTAATGCACAATGCGTTGAAAAGGGTTGACAATCAATCGATGGTTTGAACGTCCTTATATCATCATTTGTACAGTCGAACTTGTGCAACAATGCTTCTAATAGAGTTCCACGTACCAATCGATCTCTGTCATTAGCAAACAGACATTCGTTGGAACTGGAAGATAAAGGATTTAATGATTATGAATATTTATGCAGTAAGACAGTTCAGTAAATCACAGGAAAAATTCAAAAACATACTACTAGCAGTTTTGAGCTATAAGTCAACATATCGCAGAGAAATATAACGGAATGAATGACCTTAAAACACCAGATACAAGGGTTTCAAAACATTTTTATTGGGTTCAAATTTGATTGTATATAAAAACCCCATTGGTCCCAGATATCGTAGAACTTTAGTAAAAAATTGAAATTTTAGGGAAAAGGGTATTATACAAGTATTATGACTAGTACAAGAAGTAGTTCATGTAGGAGTGGACAACGTGATGGTGATTGAAGTGAGCGGTACTGTATCCGAGTCTTGAAGTGAACATTAAACTTCGGGACGCAGGTATATCCACTTAACAATTCTCGAATAGGATGGAAATCACATATTGAGATCTACTGCTAGCCACATTCCATCTATTTTATGTTCAACGAAATTCTACTGACAGGTTTCAAATTACACTTGATAATCTTCAAAGTCTGCAAGATTTATGATTTTCGAGGTACATTTGATGTGATAAACATTGCTGCTGAAAGCATTAATCTATTAATCCACGATACTGGCATAAATAAAATGGAACTAGTCAGTCAGTCAATTAATTAGATACAACGTACAACTTCGTACTTACGTAAGCACATCGGTTCAAGTTGCCAAACTACATTACCACAGAGATTACGTTAGGACTAGACTCCTTATTCAGATTCCAGAACCACCAGTACTATCACAGTTGGATCATATTAGATAAAGCCAAATAACCATTACGGTATAATAGTTATTACTGAACTAGGTACAAGTGGGATTTATTATGAGTGACTAAAAGAAAAACTTTAGACAAATGACCTCCTATCCTTGATTAGCCATGTTTCAAAACCAGGGAGTCTGACAAATAGAACTGAAATTTTAAAGATTCACTAACTTCTCCTTTGTGACTTGTGCGTGTACAAAATCTTAATCGATGAGCCTGTCATATGGACCACAGCACTGACCAGTATGAGCAGTTTCATCTGGACAACTAAATGTTTACACTTATTGTCTAATGTATATTATTTTTTGCTTTGAAAGCGAATATTGGTTGAAGTAGAATTCGTTAATGTTCTGTTTGTATCCCCACTCTTAAGCTCTAGACGCCATTATGGTCACAATAAATCCTGTATCATTTATGCTCAGAAGCGTGGCCCAGTTAGAAACTTGTGAAACAATTACTATGGCAAATGTAACCGACACTTTACTGCCTCAACAGATATAGGTTAATAATGAATACGTTTGCCTATCGCAATGTAAATTTTGATTCGTGGACAATCATTATATCTTTACGAGAACGATTAACAAGTTGGAGTTTCCAATTGGCGTACAGTGAATTCTATTTGTGAATGATTGATGATTGTTCTTATAGAACACAATTTATAGAAACTATAATAAACCAGATTTGTCACTCAACAACACTTCAACGTCAATAATTCACGCGCTAATGGAGACATAGAGGATAATTTTACATTACGTAGAGCAGTTAAATTTGAAATGTAACAATTCTACTTTAATAGTAACAAGGAGTAACCGTAAAGCACATGATAAAGTTAACTAAAAATGATGGCAACTAATCATATAAGAGTAAATGTTATTACGTAAATATGAATTAGGAAAGTTTCATCAAGGTTGTACTTGAGAGAGAAAATTAACATATCATTACAAAAAACTGGATAAGCTGAACTAACCTTTGCAAACAATAGATTTTATTCGCGGAAATAAACATCAATTTTGATGTTAAACGATAGTATTAAAAATCTACTTGTCAAAAACACACATATATCTGTATGTATTTATATGCGTAAATAAACTGAGAGATTATCTTTATTCGAAGCGCTTCAACAAAAGCCACGTTTTATTGGGTTTTACTACAAAATAAACGGCTATATATATATATATATATATATATATATATATATATATATATATATATATATATATATATATATATATATATATACAGTGCTTGAAAAAATCTCAAAACTAAAACAATCATAGTAAACGAAAAGAAGAAACTTACCGATTACAAACATTTTTATGAGCAAAACCATTAGGGAGTTCATTCTGTTGTTTACTTGAAGAAATTGAATCATGTTCCAAATGAAAAAATTTATTCAAGCCATAATCTAGTTTATCGACATCATGAGAATAAATAGGATGACTATCCTAGATAATAGAAAAGAAATCTTATGTACTTTACGAAAGATCTGTTATATATATATATATCAAGGTCTCACTAACATTAATTATTATAAATGACATGAAAATCATAAAAAGATTTAAGACAATAAGACAGAAACATATGGAAAAATAACCAAATGAAAGGTGATATACGTCGGTTAAAAATTACGCAACTTCATTGTCGGAAAACGATTACTTCAATCAAGGAACCGAAGACCTATTTCAATCAAATGATGTTTGACATTCGAGTCTTAAACAAAACAGCAGTTAATGTTTCTGTGTCAATCGATACTACGTCAAAAAGTAGTTTGTCAGTGATTTATTTCTAGTACTACTTCCAGAAAATCTTAGTTCTCCATACATGTTAGATCAGAAACGACAAGTGAAAATGGTCGGTATCAGTCCGTTTCGGTAAGCAGTATATGTTGCCAATAATTTAAGCAGGTATCAAGCGTTTGGTTATTAACGGTTCGTGTGTTTTGAATTATGAGAGCGAGGATGGTGAGGTTTTTTAGATGCGTTTCACCCAGTTTTCAAGTTGCGCATGCCTAAGACTGCTTTTATACAAATAATGATGAATGAAAAGAAAGTATTATAAATATATATACGAAGGTCATTTCCAAAATCAATTTCATTATATAAGTTCACCCTCGATTGACAAGCGTAATTTTACATTGGTTTTCAGGAGAACCAGATACGGCCCACATGTTAACACTAGAACATGAACAGTACAGTTCAATCCTGTGGTGCAACCACACAGGTACCTGACACCCTGGTGAAAATCAGCGACTCTTATTGTGAAGATTATTTGATAATATATCAAACGATTGATACGGGATAATCACAAGATATATGACTGCTAAATATTCATGTTTCATATTACAACCGAATGTTGGATATTCGAGACGAACTCATGAATGGAAAGCAGAATAAGTGATGCATTTAACACACCACGGTTCACGATTTAAGACTAGACACGAATCGAACAATAATTTCTAATTAATAGTGAAGCAGAGACCTATGTTGAGACACCTTACCACAGCACATGGATGAAACCAATTTAAAAATTGAAAAAATGTAGAACAAACAGAATCGGTATGCAAAGAAGATAATAAGCCTTTACTATAAAGGATAAGATAGTAAGTTTTATTCAGTCCCCAATTGTTGATTTTTAGCACCTTGAAAACTATAACAAGGAAGTTGGTTTACAAAATTAAGACGGGTTCGAAGTATATATTTAATGAGATTTCAAATTCGAATGAATTGCTGCTCAAGTAAACCACTGATAGACAGCATTTACGAAAGATAGTGAAGAATAATGATCCGGAAGAAATGAAGCAACGGTTTTGTAAATAGAAGCACAGATGATACCATGATTGATACTCATATACTTGAACAATTACGAGTTCATCTTACTCGGAAACAGAACAAAGACCAATGATTCAGTGACACGATAGGCTACTCTAATCCGATCGTCCCAGACCCTAGTAACTAAAGGAAGAGGTTCTGATAAGACGAAGAGAAATGCATTCCACAGACACCCAAAAACTACAAGGTGCACAAGCATACAAATCAAGTTTATTTGTACATTGATAAATCACGCTTGGTGAGAGCCATAAAATAGCTTACTAAAATAATCCATCAACCAATCGTAGTCAAGGATTTCCGAGTGGGAAATGCAGGCTGAAGGTCAAAATGAGCGTCTTTTGCGCGAAAACATAAGATTCAAAATTTCAAAACAGAATTACTAAATTAGGACCTTTTCCAAGTGAGTTCTATGGATCTAACGTCCCCAACAGTTACTTTACGGCAACATTATAAAAGTTGATTTATATATATATATATATATATATATATATATATGTAAAAATTATCTCAAAGAAAAACTGGACATGATGCTTATTGACATAGGCATAAGACACCTGCTAAAAGCTTCAAAACACGATGGATTCAGACCTTCTGCTAGTCGTTGACAAATGTGGGGATTTTTTATGCATTACAGCATAAATGAAACTGAGAAACATAGGACGTTTGAACTTCAGTATCATTAACAAAGCATTATGATATATTGATGAAGATTTTATAGAGGCAATAGTAGCAAAGAGCACAGCACTAATGTGTAATCACTTTTGCAAAAGCGAACGATTACAAGTTTAAAAACATCCGTTTAGTGCAGAGTTAGACCGATATTTGACGATCAGAAGTGTTAGTTAGTACAGACAACTTTGAACTTGTCATTCATTTATTCTAGAGAATATGTTCAACTGAAGCACTCAGTAACGAAGAGAAAACTAAATTATGTAACCTCAGAAACACAAAGAAATAGATTGTATTTAACTTACCAAGTAGACTCGGAAATTATTTTGAGGCGTGGTCAGAAGAGCATTTAAACCATGCACTAGTCGGTCACGATCACTAGATTATTTTTAGCAGGAAAAGAGGGTATGTGAAAATTAACTAGATAATTGAAATTTGATATGAAACACTAGGTATTAATAAAAGAATTAAAAATATGGTTTTCATCACAGATTTACAGATTAATTTAACATCGGAAACACATAATGCAATCACATATGTTATTGTATCATTTTAATAGCTATTATATGAAAATAAGGTGTTTGCTGTAATAGAATACTAAGAATAATGATATTAAACAATTCAGACCATCCGAATATTTGAATAGAGCATTCGGTCACACTTTAACCATGTCTAAGTGACAATAATATATTCCCTGAGTTTTGACTAAAATCGATCCATAGACATTGTTGATCAAACATTTTTATGTGAGACAATTGTTACGTGTATTAACAAAAATCCTATTTATGATTGAAATGATCGAACAACAAACCTACTTTACTGTCAAACCTTATGTTACAAAACTGTGTGTATTCCTAATAACATATTTCATCTTAAATCGTTTTATTATGAATGATAATTGATTGCACCTGAATAACTGTAACCAATAACTAAATAATAGCTTTATTAATATTTGAATGATCAAGCTATTAAGCCTAATACAATTTTACATTGCTTATCAACACCTTATTATAAGTGAAGAAATATCAGAATTCAATAATTTCAGTTAACTGTTGCACTAAATGACACTAAGAATTCATTGATGTTTAAATAGCAAGTATTGAATTTATTGACAAAGAGTATGAATGCATGGGGTCCGAAAAAAATAATGTTGAATAAGTAGTCTTTCTTTGATGACCCGATGTTTCCGGGACACAGTTCAACTGAAGTATGCGTAGATTGACGAGCCAGTATTTGTTTACAAAGAATTAAAATAAACACACTATTTCAGGAAATTGGAAGTGGATTTTCACTTCATTTTCGCAGGATTAATAGTTATGATTACAGAAAGATTTAACTCTTAGAATGTTATCTCCGGCAGAATCGAATTGTGATTAAGTATGGAAAATATCCGAAGTCCCAGCAATTTACTGATTGTCAGAAGGAATACTTAAACATATATGAAAAACTGCCTGGTCAATTTAAAATCTCAATGTATTTAAATAATCATTAAACCTATACTTTATGTTGAATCCCTAAGCGTTGATCAGTATTACGTGAAAAATACAAAACATCAATCAGAATTACGTCTTCGCACCGGAAACCCTGAATCAGCTCTAAAACCTTATTGGTCTACAACTGAATAGCTTCTGTTTTTTTTCTTTCTTTCCTGCCTCTTGGTCCAGAAGTTCATAGATAGGCTCTGCGAAATTCTTTATGTTTCAGGTATAAATAGTTTATATACCAGACCAAATCGCACCACAAAATGAGAAACTACATTTGATAAATGAGCGAGTCAAAAGTGGCTGTGCATAGGGGGGACTGTACGTAATAAGCTTGCAATAGAGTAAGACTAATAAATCACATAACAAAAGTTAATGAATTAATCGGAGGATTGTAAATAAAATAAATATATACAAAATAATCTAGTTATTGATTAAGACTACACACAATAATAATAATAATACACAAATCAGTCCTGAAAGTTAGCATTTCTCTAATCTCCTTGCTCATATAGCACTTTACTTTCAATGAATTTGAATAATCTCAGCTTGTAAACAAGATAACTAATTCAAAACACCACATGATTTACGTAATATAGAAACATAAGTTACTGAAGATAATTTATTTTAAGATTGTCTTTAGTCAGCTTGAAGCTGTCTCACAATGTATATTTTATTTAAGATATTATTTTCTTATCCAGTTCCCAGACGCCTATTAGTCTACGGTTATTAAAATCGAAATATATGGGGTTGGAAAAGAAGTAAATATTTCTTAGGAAGGTTAGTAGAAGCCTAGAAATCAAGTTACGAGTGATCGTAAAGTTTCGTAAACTTCTCAGAAAATGTTACACATGACAATAATTTAAATTTTATTGATCAAATCGAGAAAGAACATAACTGGGACAATTGTCTAGCATCCTCCAAGGGTGCGGTTGTCTATATTCACTAGAAGCATTACAAAGCAATTTTTTCATAGAAAACTTCTCGATATCAAACGATCTGAGTATTAAACAAAGACTTCATTAGTTACTTGTTATATACTGTTATAAAAACCAGTAGTTTTCGGAGTTCATTTCACAAATAGTTTGTTATTATAATTATTATGGAATGATATAAAAAGCTTTACTAATCAAAATCAAAGGCGACTGAATTACATTTTATTTCTAGAAAGGTGTCAATAAAATAGAACGCTGTTGACGTTATATGTAGTTGCCTGTTTGTGATGATCACCATTTTTAAAGCTATCAACTAACCAGGAATCAATTTGAAATCTGAAGAAGATTTCTACTTTACATCTTTTAAATTCGATTGAGGCCAGACATCAAAAATTATCATAATGTTAAAAAATTTTAAGTGACCATTTAACAAACTGATAGTAAATCCCAGAAAAGTGAGTCGCTCAGTCAATCATCTTGCACAATTCGATCAGTTGAGATTTAGTTAGTATATACAAGTTTGTAAAATAACACTGAAACGATGAGTCGGCTATCAAACGAGAGGTTTTCAAACTCAATGAGTGGTTATATGTAATTAATCAACTGTTTAACACCGTAACTCCATATTTATACCTCCATTTAGAGACGTATTTTTTACCTAAATAATTGAACACATGGTTAATGAGATAAATTTATCTACTAAAAATCGGAGTTAAATTATAGGCATTTTTTTGTATGTGTTATTCTTTTTTGATTAGCCAGGCGTACGTTGACGGGTGAAATAATTGTTCATAATCAGTATAAAAACATAAAACAAGTAATAGGTTGAAAGTGACGTCAGAACAAGCATAGAATGAACATAAACACTAACCCAGAAAATAAGTCACAAGGACAATATGTGGACAGATCTTTCCAACGTGATCGTTTACTCTGAAAATAAACAGAATATCGACTTAACAAACTACTAAAAAAAACACCAACAATCGAAACATTTATTTCGATACAGCTTAAAAATAAAACTGCTATCCTGCTGAAAAATTTAAGAATATATTAGCACAGTGAACAATTTAATTGTGCAATTTATTTGAAGGTTTGGAACATAACTAATTTATTTCCGAACATATTATTAATATCAAATAATATCAAGTGCACATGACCCCTGTTAGCACTTGGCCAGATATATATAATATATATAATTTAAATTAATAAATCGTTAAGTTAATAAATCGTTCTATTACGAAAAAGTCACAAAATCCGTTGATAATTGCATAAATGACATCAGTTTACAGTATCGAAAGCGATTAGTAAAAGAAGTTAAGGTTTATGAGAGGCTTGCCATTTACTGAAATCAATTAATGCATAATTAAAAACATAATTATATACTAAAATATTATTCTAAGTTAACTTCGAATGGCGAACTTAAAATTGAATAGATACTCGAAGATCCTAATGAGTGTCGTGATCTAATATCCACATTATTATTAGGAAGAAAGATCCTTCGGTGAATTCTAAAGACTGATATTTTCACTGAACACCTTAAGTTAATCTTGATACGTATGAACTGGATTTGCTTGTATCCGTCAGCATAAATTAGAGTCATGTTGAACACCTATAAGGCCAGCAGTCTGCAAGTGAGTTACAACGTAGAACTGCGTACGTAAGTAGATCATTTCAGGTTGCCATACTATATAAGTACAGAGGTGAGATTGCCACTTCATATCCGAGAGTAGTACAGGAAGTAGAAGTATTAGTAGTAATCATAGAGATTAGGGATCGAAGATGTTATTCACGAAGTAGAATATGGTGAAATAAACTAAAAAATAGAAAGAAAAACATGATAAGGGATTCAAAAGATTAGGATTTGACAGCACACAAAGAATGGACCCACTTGCACCATTACAAACGATTTTGAGCCATGTCATTTAAGGTCTAGAATCATCGGTTACTATCGTCTCTCGGATCCCAACCAGATAGTCTACACCTACTAACTTGACTCAGTGCAGTTATGAGTGACTGTGTATACTTGTTCCATACTTTTGGTTTGGCTGTCCCTACCTATCTTCCAGTCTACCCCTAAACTACAAAACATAGCTCGTTGAGGCAGTCAGTGGTTGGACATTCGTAATACATATCCCGACCACATCAACCGATCCAGTTTCAACACTTCATCTATTGATCTAACATCCTTACCTAATATCCTTTTCCTAACAACAGCATTGCTTACTCAGTGGTCCCAGGATACACGATCAATGCTTCACAGACACCTGTGATCGAAAACCAGTAACCTACGAATATTTTGTACTCTGACTGGCCATGTTTCGCAGTCATAAAGTAGGACGGAGAGAACTTCTGCGCAGTACACTCGTCCTTTGGTTAGCAGACGGATATCTCACCTAGGCCATAAGTGACGCAAGTTGGCAGAAGCTAATCGAGTCTTCTGTATCGCCGTTGTGATTTTGTCAGACACCAGGTCATCAGCACTGATGAGACTCCCAGGATAAGTGAAGCAGTGGACTCACTCAACTACTTCACTCCTTATCAATAGTTCATATAATAAAAGATGAACATATGTATTTTTGCCCTGAAACCTAAAGAAATCCATCAGGACGCGACTGAAAACAGTAGCATTGCGATTTTAAAATGAAGTCACTTCTATTCAAATATCTAATAACGCAGCAAACTCTTAGATGATAGAATCACACAGAGGAACCTAAAAGAAAACAATGACGTAAAACGTAAACAATAAGCACCTACAATGGTCGTTATTTCTGGGAAAACTCACAGAATGTTCTTGTCTTAAACAAAACAATGATGCAACATTTTTAACCATATTAACGACTCCAGTAGCAGGCCACAGTGGGATAACACCAAACTTCGGCTGCAAGGAGGAAAATATCAAATCCACATGGGATATGCAGTTCACTGAATAAAAATATTGTTGAAAGTTAGTAGTAGTTTAAAAATCAGTAAACTGTAAGATATGAAAACTTATCAACTGAATGTGGGTTCAGAAAGCTGATACAAAGAAAAGAAACGAATACCAGTTATTTTGTAATCTTCGTAATAATTAATAATTCAGTATTTGTCAGGTCAATTTATTTAACGTCTAGATGGCTTAAATTACATTATATATATATATATATATATATATATATATATATATATATATATATATATATATATATATATATATATATATATATAACACAGTTGGCTTGTTGATAGTCCAGTTTTTTAAAACCTATTTGCTGAGAATTGAAGGATCACCATGTTCAAAACCAAGAAGTGCGTATTAAGGGCTCCGAACACTTTGAAGTCTCAAATTTCAGTAGTCAATTAGATAACATTTTACCAAAGGTTGCTGAGTTTTTTATTTAAATAGTATTTTATTTTCAAGAATAAACGGCCTTAAATGATGGTATATCACTAGATTTCAGAACACAATCGTGATCCTTAATATTTCAGAAAGCAGTACAACATCTGCTAGACCTGTTATTACTGTTATGATTTTACAAAAACTTACACATCAAGTGACACACTAGTCTAGATTATGACATTGGCAAAGCACAGAATGGAGGAAACTTGACATAATATTGACAGCTGTAAAAAAAGTCAGTCACACAAAGTGACAAAGACAACTACTAATTGCTCTTTCATTACCAGGTGCTAATGTATGTATGTTGGAGATAATCAATGAAGTAAATTCACATGAAAACACTGACAAGTAGCGTTAATAAATCTTTGTTAGACGATGGATATCAGTAATTTGAGTTTATGGTGAATATAATGGTACATAACACGTGGTTAAAACATAAAATAACCATTAAATTATTTGTAGACTGGTAAATCGAAAGTGTCTGGCGACGGGATGGCTGAACATATTTTGTTTATACGATCGTAGATAAAAACTAATTTAACTTTATCAAGGACATCTTTAGCATATAATTTACTTTAAAACTGGAACAACCTGACTAGCTGACATCCTAAACCATTTTTTCTTGATTTGATTAAGAGTAACATGTTTTATGATTAAAGTCTAAACTTCAATGATCGAAAACCTAATAATTGAAATACATCAATGGTAAACGAATACGATCATTACCTTGATTTCGACGCTTAAAGTTGGACCGAAAGCATATTTCACGAGATGTGATGGCATCTGTGTTGCATCGGATGTGACAAAAACAAAGTTTTCAGAAAGGTCCACTCCTTTAACTTTACGGTAGGCTAAAGTGATAAAAAAAAGTAGAAGAGGATTTATGTGCAAACATCAAGAATGTTAGGATTTAAATGTCTATGTCTATGCTCCCACTGACTGCAGCTCGGATGAAGTAAAAGATGGGCTTTCTAGAAACCTTTCTAACCTTCAAAAATTTAAGCGCTCTGATATAGTAATAAAGGCTGGTGAAGTTTGTGCTGATGATGTTGTTCAGAATAACAATGAAAGCTCCACAACCAAAACATCCAGCTCAGAGAACCAAACACCACCACCACAATCATCCACCTGAGCTACAAATCTTCTCCACCATCTTTGTTCTAGAATACATGTCTAGACTCAGATCATGCCCTTGTACGAGCACGTATTGTCTGAGTCTTACTGGTCGTAGGAAAGACACTGCAATGAAGCCTCCTAGGATTCCGCTTAAAAATAGCAAAGATAAGAATATATTTAAGAGGAAACCAGAAAAGCAGTTAGGCAGCGATGTAAGTAATGCCCAACCTGAGGAAGCTTGGAATGATATCTAAAAAGCAGTGATATCTGCTAGTAAGGTTAGGGATAAGTCGTGGATCTCAGTAGCATTTGCTCAGAAACTCGACTCGTGTAGCTCTAAAAATGATGAACAGATGAATCAGATTAAGCGCAGGCTGATAAAAAGCCTAGGCAATGATTGTGAACAGTGGTGGGTAGCAAGAGCAAGAGCTATGGAAAAGGCAGTGAAGATAGGAAACGGCAGACGACTGTCAAAGACCTATCACGGTAACTGGTACTAAGAATCTATCTGTTAGCGAAACCATCTCAGAAAAGGATGGTCGAATCATTCATTCTCAAACCAGGAGATTGGATCGATTGGGGGAGCAGTATAGGAAACAGTCCAACTGGTCTTTAGCTACACTTCAGTTACCCAAGATCGCCGGCCAACCTGAATTTCAAATTGTATGTCCTCTGAATCTTTATGAAGTTGAAAAGACTATAGGAAGTCTAAAGCGCGGGAGAGCAGCGGGTCCTGATGGGCTGCTTCCTGAGATTTTGAAGTATGGTGGACCCGTTTTAACAGTGAGACTGACTGAGATCTTAGGTAGAATCTGGGAACTGGGTCTAATCCCATCTGACTGGTTTCAATAGCTGATTGTGCCAATTTACAAAAAAAGACTGCGAAACATGGCCAGTCAGAGTACAAAATATTCGTAGGTTACTGGTTTTCGATCACAGGTGTCTGTGAAGCATTGATCGTGTATCCTGGGACCACTGAGTAAGCAATGCTGTTGTTAGGAAAAGGATATTAGGTAAGGATGTTAGATCAATAGATGAAGTGTTGAAACTGGATCGGTTGATGTGGTCGGGATATGTATTACGAATGTCCAACCACTGACTGCCTCAACGAGCTATGTTTTGTAGTTTAGGGGTAGACTGGAAGATAGGTAGGGACAGCCAAACCAAAAGTATGGAACAAGTATACACAGTCACTCATAACTGCACTGAGTCAAGTTAGTAGGTGTAGACTATCTGGTTGGGATCCGAGAGACGATAGTAACCGATGATTCTAGACCTTAAATGACGTGGCTCAAAATCGTTTGTAATGGTGCAAGTGGGTCCATTCTTTGTGTGCTGTCAAATCCTAATCTTTTGAATCCTTTATCATGTTTTTCTTTCTATTTTTTTGGTTTATTTTATTGGATTATACTTTTTCTCCATTACGGCTAACACTTGAACGACATCGATCACTACAGGATTTGAATCGGCACTTGAATTTTTGTACTAATGTAATATGACAACTTGAGCGGATGTACGTGCGTACGATGTTGTACGTCGTAGCTGACTGGCCAAATATCATGTAACAAGGAAAAAGTTATACTTTATAAAGTTTGTACCGCTGTTTACGTTATCTGGAGATAATTGTAAATGGCTATCTGCATTCAACAAATTCGAGGAAGCTTAAATCTTTAAAGATTTCGCTAGTAGGATAGTGAGGGATAACTAAAAGCGTGTGTGATTTACAGTATAGAAACAATACCTTTTTGAAAGAACTTTGAAAACTAGAAGTTATTGGTTCGTTCGTTTGAAAAAATTATTCAGTTCATGTAATCAGGAAAAAAAGTCGTCCTTAAGAGAACATTTCACAAATACAAAAGGGACATAAGATGTTCAACGTTTTCACTCGATTTTTCTATACCACAGAGAATAGCATTTATAAAAACATGAGAAAACTGGTTACGTGTAATCACTTACCAGGTCTAAATGGTTCGATTGCTTTTTCTAGTTCACCAAGAAAAGTTGGACTTGTTTTGATGAGATGCTAAAATTAAAATTAACCCAAAATGGCATAATTTGTTTTAAAAAATACGTGTAATAAACGTAACAAATTAGACAAAAGTTATTTCTGACGAAGAGATATTACCCAAGTTGTGATACTGAATCCCAAAACAAGGTTTGGAGGTCACATTGTGATTAAGTTCGCTCGTAAGTGATCTAAAAGAGCGGAATCTTTTAATCAGCTATTTCAAATGCATAATCACTTTTGTCTGGTACTCTACATAGAATCGTATCATATTGTGAGAAGTAACTATTCTCCAGATAACTGTTATTTTCTAACTTCAGTTAATTTGGAGGCTTCTGTCAACGACTCAGTATAATGAGCTGTTATCGCTCGGCTATATTTCATACATGCATGTAATCTATTGAGCAGCATTCTGTCAATGGTTTTCACATTTAAAAGTGTTCATCACCAAAATTCAAAACTATTTTCTGTAACAAATAGTCAATTCAGCAATACGAAAAACTCTATGAACTGTTCCCCTAGTGGTTGGAATAATAATAAGAGTTACAGAAGATAAATAAGTAAAAACATCATTCAGAAACACAAGTTAACGCATAAAAGAGGATTCGGTCAACTGACACTCCAGGAAAAATACATCTTTCGTTAAGACTATAGAAATGTACGGATAAAATTATCAATTAACAGAGCATAAAATAAAAACCTATTATAGATCACTGGTTAGTGCTATTACTATCAATATTCGGAAAAGGTTTTAAAGCACATGCTTGTGCAATGTCTAATAATGATCACGTGACAGAAATCGTTTGCCCTATCTTAGAGTGCTAAGGCCTAAAATATCAAACATAAGTGAACCAGTTATTTCCATAAATTTCGCATGTACAAACGAACAGAATTTTATGATGTTTAACTGCTTGATAAAATTTATAAATTTTAAATTTTATACTGTATAAGAATAACCAATCCATTATTTAAGCCCGGTCCTAATGATTGAAGAATGAAGCACTGAAAAAAACTAGTTATTTATCAACTGATCGGACTAACGGGTCAGGTATCAATCAATCAATCAATCAATAGCAACGTAGATCTTCGTACGTACATCAGTTCATGTTGCCATACCACATCAGCACAGAGATGTAATTGTCAATTCAAATCCAATAGTAGTACAGGTAGTAAAGGTATTAGCAGTAGTCGGAGAGGTTAAGATTAGAAGATATTATTCAAGAAGTAGAATCTAGTGAAATAGACTTAAAAAGACAAAAATAAAGTGAAGAATTAAACAGTTCAGGATTTGAGAGAACACAAAGAATGAATGCACCTGCGACATTGCAAACGGTTTTGAGCCATGTCATTCAGGGTCTCTAATCATAGATTATTACCATCTCTCGGGCCCCAACCAGGTAGTCGACAACTACCGACATGACTCAGTCCACTTGTCAGTGACTTCATGGATTGCTGCCATCCTTTGGTCTGGCCACCCATAGTTTTCGTCCAACCTATTCCTACACCACAAAACAGAGCTTGACGAGACAGTCGGTCGTTAGGCATACGTAACACATGTCCCAACCACCTCAACTGATGAAGTTTCAATATTTCATCTATTGATCTGCCATCATTACCTAGTACCCGTTTACCAATAACAGCGTTGCTCACTCGGGAGTCCCAGGATATATGAGCAATGCTTCACAGACATCTATGATCGAAAACGAGTAGCCTTCGAATATCTACTCTCACTGGCCATGTTTCAAATCCATATAGTAGAAAGGAGCGAACTGCTGCACAGTACACTTGTCCTGCGCCATAAGTGAAGCAAATCGGTAAAATCCAATCGAGACCTCTGTATCCGAGCTGAGATTTCGTCAGTCACCAGGCCATCGGCACTGATCAGACTCCCAAGGTAAGTGAAGCGGTCTACACGTTCGACTACTTCACTCACTAGTTCAGGTCACGATGCAACCCAGTCTTCAAGAGACATTTCGCATTTCGAGGAGGAAAACCTCATCCCGAACATGCTCGCATTGTTGCTTAGGGCAGTCAGAAGACTGCATTTTGTCAGCGTCTTCACCGAATTGAACTATGTCATCGGCATATTCCACGGCAGAAAGCGGTTTTCCTGGTAGAAAGTCGACTCCTGAAAAGTCGGACGAGGATAAAGTTATATCTAGCAGCATGTCTCTGACAAAATTAAACAAGAATGGGGAAAGTGGACATCCCTGACGGACGCCACTTGAAGTGAAGAATTCCTATGACAGTTTGCCATATGCTCTCACCTGACCAGTAGTGTTCGAGTAGAGAGCTTGTATAAGGTTGATATACTTCTTTGGTACACCTTTTAATGACAGGCACTGCCACAGAACTTCACGATCCACAGAGTCAAATGCCGCCTTAAGGTCCGGGAAGACAACTATTGTAGGACGCCTAAATGTGTGTCTGTGTTCCAGGACCTGTCGTAGTGTGAAGATGTGGTCTATACAGCCACGTCCACGAGCCAGGTATAATAAACCAAATCATGAACGTTCTATTTGGAATTTTTATCGACCGACTAGAATAAATGGACCAACTCATATGACACAAAATAGTGAGTTGAAATGCAATATGCTTTTAGCGTAATAGTTGTGTTATAACTGGTTAGTTTTAAAGTGTTTGGTAACATAATGTTACTCAGTTGATTGTAGTGTTAATGATTTATAATTATGGCTTTAAGACTTTGACGATAACCATTAAATTTAATAAAAAAATGAACATTCACTTCGAAAACAAAGAATTAATTAGTGAACAGATAAAAGCTCAAATAAAACGAGATTACAAATTCAGTAATTACCAAACTTCTTAAAAACTTACTATGCTGCGAAGAAATTGGGAACCAAACTGAAGAAATATACGCTGGTTTGCAAACATCTCAGCTCGTTTAGTGCGAGCCTTCGGCCAGTATCCCTAAAGCAAAAACCCTAGTAACAAATCATGTGGCAATACCACTCACATTGCGTCCAAGATTGGTTTTCCGAATACGCAATATCAAACCACTCTATAAAATGATTTATTGAGTAAGTTTAACACACCTGTGTATTGGATACCACAATTGTATTGTTTCCTTCATCTCGATAACAAAGATTATTCAGATTAAATAGTTCTGTCTGAAATAATATTAGTAGCCGATGGATATTATAACTTGGAAAATAAATACATTCTTTAAAAATGCTGGAAAGGTAAAACGATAACACAAAAGTTTGTATAATTTACGTTGACTTGAAACTTTCCAACTATTATTTCTGTTTGCCAACAAGCTGATGGTTGAAAATCTAAGCATAATAATCAAAATAATCACTGGAGTAACGAAATACATGCAGCAACAAAGTTAACTTTTTTCTCCCCAGACTTAATATCCACCGAAAGAAATGTTGAGTATAAATGCTAATATTGATTGTCATTTAAGACCATTAAATAAACGAATGATCTGGAGTAATCGCCACGAACTGTATAATTCAGAAGGACTTTCAGTTAGTCGAGTTATCAGCTCTAATAGCTGGATACATGTACGGATTTAGACCCAATCACACTTGAGAATAGTAATAATCGACAAAACTAGTGACAGTCATTAATACTACAGTCTACAATTGTACCGGCAATATGATAACACATACCTTAGCTGGAAGCATCTAAATACTAGAGATTGGTGGTTGATGATCTCGTGATAAGCTGTAGTAGCTTAGATGGGTTTTTATTATTCATTCAAACACAAACAATGGTACAAAAGGGAATCTAAAAAGTTAAGCGCCGCACAAATCATAGTGTTTGTGAGTGGGCTAGGATGCTGCCCGAAATGAGGTAAGAGGTTTTATAAGGAGACCACTGCTCGATCTTTTAGCCTGCAGCTCTAATCCACAGGACAGCGGAGTAACGTAAGGAGATGCAGTCCCTTGAAGGAAACTAACATTGTATTTGATAATAAGAACAATTAGGAGTAGTATTTTCCACCGAATAGTGAGAAGTAAGCATGATTAGTCGTGAATATCCGGTTAGTAGATGGGGAAAAATGTATACAATATGAACAAAAAAGTTGTGATAGCCTCTAGTTCCGATTTCTAAGAATCCATTGCGCATTAGATGTATGCAACCACGGTATCTTCCGTCTTTAACCTAAGACTTTATTTGATCCTATGAATGGTAGCAACAAATATTGGAATAAGGTATATGACCATGTTAGTGAAACCGAGTAGATGTTTCCTGATACGCAACACTTTGAAAAGACTCATGAATTTCAGCAAGGTAAATCAACACCCAAAGCTTTTCTATATCAAAACTTCCTACTTTGGCCTTAAAATACACACACAATAGTGTCACAAGGTTAGAGAACATATCAACAGATCTGACGTGCACTTACTACCAATTTATTATTCTTGAATACATCTACGTACTAAGATACGATTGTCAAGATTTTCATAGGGCTTTATGAAACCCATTTTCGTGTGAAGTCAAGATGTAGCAAGTGTGAGCTTTGGAACTAAAGATCAAAAACTGTGGTGCATATGCTGGTTCACCGACCTTCATTGCGTTGGAACTGATTAATTACACTGATTTCATTTATAAAATTTGCTTTTTTGACATATTTCGATTATATAAGTTAGACCACAACAAGAAAACATAGTGTGCAACTGAAACCTTATTAGATAACTAGAAAAATCAGTTGACAATACTTACACAACGATTTTAAACTAATTTTGAATACTGATCATTTTGCTCATTCAGACCACCTAAGACTGAAAATGCTCAGTAGAATCAATAAATGAAGGTTTTTTGTAAAGACTAGTCAAATATCAATGGTGATAAAACTGTTCATGGAAAATTCAAGCACAGAGAATCGACAATTAACTCATCTGGACAGTCGCTTCGATAGAAAAACAAATCCATTGGTTAGGCTGAATTAGATCATAATAACACTCTAACCCGATTAAAATGAAGCAATATAGTTGAAAACTGTATCGGTCATTAATTTTTTAATTAAAAATCTCTACTTTCGTAATTCCAAAGGCGAAGCGCCGGAAAGCAGCATTGTTAACATCAGTGATAAGTCACTAAGAAGAAATCTCTACACTAAATATTTTGGTTGAATTAACTACACAAGGATTATTCACAAATTTTGCGGTAATAATTGCTCACCAACCTTCGAAGCCAAAAAACACATGAAACTATACAATAAATTAAGTTTTCTTAGAAATATTCATCCAAAACCGTTTGGGGAATCTAATAGTGGTTGAAGTAATGGAAAATCAAACGGCGAAGAAACAAAAGTGACATGGGAAAACTTGAAGCGTTTCCATACTATACTTAGATTAACATTCATAAAGAATTTCATAACAACAAATAGAACTCGTCGGAGAAATCGAGTATAAACATTACCTCATCAACACCTAAAGGTTCATCTAGTGGGGAAGGATTGGTCATACGTATGTCTAACAGTAGACTACTTCAATATTTCTCGAAGTTTTGGAAGGAATCCAAGATTCAATCTATAGCGCAGCATCAGCACATGATTCGTTAGTAGCTTAAATATGCCGCCTGAATTAGCCTTGAAATGAAAAACAGAACTGACGCAGCGGTTTCATATTTGTTGTCGTTTGAATTGTTCAAACGAGTTGCCCTCTCTCAATCTCCAAGGAGGGAATTAGGTGAAATACATCCTACTGGAGACCAGCCACATTGCTGCCAACATTGATGAGGGTGGTAAAAATGAAGTCCAATGAATAAATAGGAGTAAAGATGGATACGAACTATGTCATTCATAAAGCCTAACGTGGGTGACGTAAAAGCAGGTCCTGTGCGTCCGTCCTTCACGTAGAATGGGAATCATGGACAGTCTATCGCTGCTGAAACAGATGGATACATCTGTCATGTAATCCACCTCGACATGGCAGACGATGCTTATACTGCAAAACTGGTGAATGTGTTCCACTGAACCACCTCTATTCTGACTCCAGAATTAACTTGAAAGCAGGAATTTTCGTGCCAAGGATAATAGAATTCATGCTAATTGGTGATCACCAACATAAAAAATTCACAGAGGTTCCTCTAAGGTGAACTCCTCTTCGTGAACTTTGTTTATGACCTGTCAGATAAAATCAAATCAGCCGCACTAATTTAGACAAACGAAGTAAATATCTGGAAGTTCACATGATTCATTCGAGCTTTAAAATGATCTTAAAACGATAACGAAATGGGCAGCAGACATCAGGTTAAAAACCAATCAGTGGGAAGATCAAGTCATGAGCACTCTGTCCCATGTGACACAAACAATCCACATCCTTCATTAAATTCCGCTCTCAAACGCGTCCTCAAAGCGTGACCTCCGCCCAATAACCGCAGATACCATAGAAATTGGTTCAGACTACACGAAGGGTGCAGCCAAGCCAAACGCAACTCTTCACTTTATGCGAAGACGGCTCCGTGCTGTCACCCCAGCTTTGGTCCCACCTCTCCTTAAAACAGACACAGCCCACATTGAAGTTTAATAAATTGTCTCAGCTATGTCGTAGGGCCAAAGAATAAGTATTTCGAAGACAGACTTCGAACTTTTCTCACTGGACCATAGGATAGTTAAAGATGGTTCCAAAATGGCTTACAACATATTTGTCGCATTACATCAACCTAACGCAAGCGTCCAACCAATACATCACTGACACTACATCCCTCGAGGCACCCCAAGTTAATTCCGGCATCTAGGAAAAAACGTTCGGACACGCCCCCACTTTCTCTCACTAAGAGTCGCTCCACTTGGGATGCTCTCCCAAATTAAGTGGCCATATCCACCTCAGTGGACAACTTCAAGAAGAGAATTGAAAAACACATACTCAAAACCGAATCACCATTTCTTACCTGGGTCAGGTGTGCCTAATGCATGTCTCGAAACGTGTTTTTTATTAATATCACTGTTTTATGTCACTTATTATCATCTCTGTTTCCTCATTTATCCCCGCATTTCGGTCCTTTCACATTATTCGCACTACCAATTAATTAACTCACCCATTTACTTAGTTTACCAAACGCTCCTCTTCTGTTGATTATTCTGCACATTGTAATTAACTGATCCTCGGTTTAATGTTATAATAACTGCTGGCTTACAGAGATTCCACAGCTCTGTGACAAACGCACTCACTGAAACTGTAGGACAAACAAATTCATAAGTAGCTATCAACGGACTAGAATTAGTAGTCAAATGGCTGGACTACCGGCAATTTGATACTACCAGAAAGTTGAAACTGTACGGAAACAATGAGCAGCGACCACAAAAAAATTAACCAGTTTATACTAGGCTGTGCAAAAGATATCAAAAATCGAAAATCACTTTGACAAATGACCATGATGCATCTTGGTGAGTGGTCGTTGAATAAAATTTTAGTCCACACAATGTGATATCGATGACTCTCCCTAAAGTCAAACTCGATTGACTCCGCGATTTCCATGTTGATGCAGCTTTTGCTAAAGTAGCTAAAATAAAGCACTGTAGACAGTAAATAAACCGAAATTTTAGTTTTTGTGACAGATCATTTCTATTTTTTGTAGAGCACATTTTCGCGCCAAGTAATGAATATAAAGTCACAGATATGATTTCATTAGGAATTTAGTGCGTAACCAACTGTTTGTGTTGAAGTTTATATTTCGGGGATCTTCTTACAAGTTGAGGTTCAATGGCTTCACATTCGGTATCGAAATTTATGGTAAATCTGCTGAAAATCTTAGTCTATTTTTGCGAACCTCTGAGGGACGGCGAAGTTGACCGATGACATAAAGTTTTAGCTAAATAAACTTTCTTTATCAATTGCAATATTGAATACTATACAAGAAACTGCTACTTTAGCATACAGTTTCAAGAATGAGCATCATAGACTGACTAAGCCCTGTCACTGCTTGTAGCAAATGTTTCAGCAGCGGTTCAGCCTAACATTTGTTCTCATAGACCATTAAATCTGATTTTGGAGAGTGTTAAAATGAACATATTGTCATTTTGTAAAGAAAGAGACCAACCGTTTGGTGGAACTAGCTTTAATGAAGGGTAATTCATATACTAAATGAGGAGATTCTGTGAAATAATATGCCTTACTTACCAATTTATTTTGATGAAAAAGCTTGATGTGTTAACTAAGTACATCGTTGGTCCTTCGTTAACGTGAGCATAGTGAGTCGTACTACCAGAAATGAAGACACAGAATTTAGCTTATTGTAAATATATTGTTCTAATTAACTTCACGTTACATAAGAAAACAAGCAATCAACCCCTATAGAAGTCTTTCAAAATAAAAAAATATAAAAGTTGGCTTTCGATCTTGTATCGAGACTATATCATAGGCTACGCTCCCAAATAATGGGGGAGTTTAGTGTGTCTAGGGCTTTGATGGTGTTTAGGACGTAAACGTTTTACCATAACGTATTATATGGATGATGAGCTGCATAAATAAAATGGCTCGGACTGAGTCGTTGTAGTATATTTAGTTTACACAAAGAACTCACATAAGGTAACTTCATACACGAAAGACCACATCCTAAGATGGAATTTTGCGAGTATAATCTTGGTTAAAAAGAATCGCCGTATACACTTAGAACAGGAAACTATAGATTACTTTGAAAAGAAATATTAGGAGTACCTAATCCGGTTAGCAGCACAGGTTTGCCTTTCCGTATTGCTATAAAAACGAAAATAACCATATACAACTTAGTGATCATTTTATTATATATAGCTTCTAAAAAGTCTGTAAAGGCAGTTAAAACTTGTCGTAAATTGTGATCGTACAAATGGCTAGAATGATAATAATAATTTCATTCTCAAATAACAACATGTTGCAAGACTTACTTTCTCACTTACTTATGCCTGTTACCAATGATGGAATGATTTCGTTGGCGCATGTTGTGTTGTATCCCAGAAACTTGCTTTACCCTTTAAGTATGTTTAGACCTGCAGATGCTAATGTTGCTGCTACACTTATCGTCTTCTCTTGCATTTGTTGCTGTGTGTGCGATAGAAGAGCCAGATCATCTGCGAAGTTCAAATCGTCCTAGCTGTCCATTGGAAACCATGCTTCCCTCCAGAAGCTGATGTCTTCGTAATGTTTTGTTTTGCAGGACGCTTTAATGATCCTAGGTCCATGAGATTACTATCCTATTAGGGCCTTTAGTGCTTGTTTGGATAGCATCAGCACAACTTGTGGTGTATGTGAAGCATTTTCTTCTTCGTGACCAGAGTAATAATAATAATAATAATTTATTCTCAAATAACGAACATGTTACAAGAGACATGACAATTTACAGGCAAGATCAAAATGTTAAGATTAGCAACATATTTCTTTTTAAACCGTATAACAGCAGATCCCCTGAAGCTAGTCTCAGTTGTCTTACCTGTGTTCGAAGCGTTTCGCTGATTCCAAGCACCTCCAAGTTGTACCTTTTCATTTCTGCTGCAGCTTGATAAAGTCTTCCAGTCTCCTACAATGTTCGAACGTTCCATGTAGCTAAAAGAATGGTTCCGAGGGAACTCGGATTTCATCATAAGACGTGATAATTCTGCCGGAAGGAGACATTAAAATGGTTCGAATAAGGTTTTCTGGTTAACTATTTCTAGCGATTTGTTTTTTGTGAGGTGGTGTCGCCAACCCAATGCCCAACCCTACACAATTATACAGGCTTGAGACCGACAGTAGCCCCAGAGGGCCGCAGGCGGAGTTAAATGTTTAGTGGGTGACTCCAATCGAGATTGTCTCTGACCACCACTAAATACTAATTACGAACCTGTCACTGAGAGGACAAATAAAACCAGGGCAAATAATTAATTTGCTGGTTATTTCTTGGTATTCAAAGAACATCGAAATCGCACCGCGAAAATGGGCGAAATAAATAGCCGCTACATCAGTGATGGCAGCAAAACAAACAGAAAGCAACAGTTAAAGTATCACTGGTAGAATCGGTTATTATAATGAATGTTTTCATTTCAGCAATCGCGTTCTCTTCGTAAAAGCATTCCACTACACATGTTACAAGAAGCATGTTAATTTACAGGCAATATCAGACTGTTAGTATTGCTAACATTTTCTTTAAATTTTGTCCAGTTACGTTAATATTTCACAGGACACACTGAATACTTATCGATGGCTAAAAATTTTGACAAAAATCTACAGGTAATTTTTCAGACTCTTCAATACACAACACGATAGTTAGCACGAGATACGCCAGTTGCGTTGCGGCAAACCACTGCTGCTTGAGAAGTGATGCATGGTAAATTCAGGTCCGCATATAACAAGAATCGGTGAGGTAAATATGCAGATATCTGTAGTGGCGATCGAGTCGCGATTGACTGTAATCACCACTACAGAAATTACGAACTGACCAGTGAGAAGAGTTATTCCATAGTAAGGAATATATTAGCTGGAGATTTTGTGGTATCGAAGGAATCGTGCCAGAGAAGAGGGGCGAAATTGGCAGCAACACAAACGGAAGTTATAAACAAAACGTACAGTTAAACAATCACTGGTACATTTGGTTGTAATAATGAATGTTTATATTAAACCAATCGCGTTCTCTTCATAAAATT